CATCACCGACAGTATACGTCACACTGGTGGCGGTTTCTTCATAAGAAACGCTGTCGGGTGTCTCGGCCTCCTCTGGAACAGGAGCAAGGTAATCAACAGTTGGCACCTTAGAAACATCCCCGCCATAGGAGCGGTCGAGGAGCTTCTCCACGAGGCAGGAAGTAATGTTGCCAAGAAGGTCCTTGATTGGTTCGTCCTTGACTGTGGAGTACTTGACAGCAACGGGGCCTTGAAGAATACACACACGCTGTGGGTCCTGGTCAAACACTGCTTCGATATCCTCTGCAGCCCAAAGCGAATCCTATATTCATCCATCATGATGAGCTATCTCAGCAATAGAAAGTTGGTCAATACAAACCTTCTTGAACCACACCTCAAAGCTACTGTCCAAAATCGGAATGAAAGGCGCTGGTTTCTGGCCTGCGCGCTGAGAGATGGTGAGGAAGTACGCACGGTCCTCAGAAGCGAGCAACTGAGTCTTCGAAGCAGGATACTTGTCAAAGAACGACCCCACAAACTTGCTGGGATCGTCCAGCTCTGTGAAGCTCTGCAGGATACTGGGCTTCAATCCTCCATTAACACCTGCAAACCTCTCCTCCACGCGCCTCAACCAATCGCCCGTCAAATTCCTCAAGCTTAAATCGATCCATCGACTCTGATGCGAGACGTACATCAGACGGACCATGCGTAGAGCGACTTCCTCATATGTCATGTCGCCCAAATCGAGGGCAACACTCCCATCCTTCTTCCAACCGAACCATGGCTTCGCAAAGTCTGCGTTCAACTTGCCGATAATCTCCGCTTTGCGCTCAGCGAGCCAGGGGCCGCGCTTCTCCTTCGGAAGCTTGAAGACGGTGTCATCAAACTCCTTCCAGAGCTTCACGGCACGCGTAGCGACCTTGTGGATAGGTTCGCCCAGCTCCGAGCGCACAGTCAAGATCCCGCCGGTAGGCTTCATGTATGTGCTTTCCCATTGCTTGTCGTCAACACCAGGCGCTCCCACAATGAGATCTTTCACACTGGAACTCGTATGTGCCTCCTTTGCCACCATCACGCGCGATGCGAACAAGAAACCGTCGAATGGCATGAGCTGCTGGCCATAGAGATCCTTTGACCAATCACCAGTGAGGTATGGCCACACGTCGTCAGCACCTCCAAACCCGGAACCCCCGACAAGGATCAAGTTTTCCTGCGTACGCATGGCGCTGTATGTTTTCAGCACGGGCATATGGAAGTCTTCGTAGGAGTGGTGACCACCGGCACGACCTCCCGTCCATTGAAGAATGACAGGGAAATCAGGGTTGGACTTCGCGATGTTAATGACCTGCCTGATGCCGTCCACCGAACCTGGCTTGAACGATACATGCCGGATACCAGCCTTCCTCAATCCATCAATGATCTCTGCTGCTTTCTCAGTGCTGGGAATGCCAGCAGCAACACAAAAACCTTCGATAGGCAAGCCCTCGCGGCGCATTTCCTGCCACAAGGGGAACTGGAAGCCAAATTGGCGAGGGTTGATGTAGAGGGCGTTAAGTGTGAGACCAACGCCTGTTGGAATCTGTGCTTGAATCTCCGCGACTTTTGCACGCAGTGCTGCAGGGTTGTAGTGACCTCCACCCGCCAGCTCGATGTGGTACCCTGCAGAGAGGACCGCAGAGACGAAGCCTGCTTTCACGGTTGTGGGTGTCATACCAGCGACCATGATCGGAGGCTTCCCGAGCAGGCGCGAGAAAGGTGTGTCGATGTGAATGGTACCATCGCTGTCATGTTATGTTAAAATCCGGAAGGAAAAAATGCCATCCGACTGACGCACCTTGTTTTCACAAGCTTTGGCGCGTATTTCTTACTCCACCACTCCTCGTACGTGACTTCTTCAATGTCAAAGAGTTCCGCCTCACCGCGGCCCTTGTCGCCTAGCGTGACAACGCGCACGCCGCGACCTTCAAGATTACGAGCTGTGAGAGGCCCGATGCCATTCAGGCCACCGGGACCAAAGTCGATGACATGTGTTGCGGTCTCAGGGAAACCAGTTGCGAGTGTCCAGTGGATGGGGGACGTAAAGATCTGATCACATAACGAACGCGTGATAGATGTCTCCGAAGTACGCATATCAGAACCTACAACCATGAAATCAGCCAGAAACGCGATCTGAAGTGACTATATGCGCACCATCCTCGGTGTTGAATACTGGGATTCCCAATTCTTCCTTGGTCCAAAGCTCCTCGCCTCCAAGATCTTCATCACACAACTTCTCGGCAGCACCCTTCAAATGCGTGCTGTGGTAGGGAGCATTGACCACCAAAAATCGGACACCGAACGCAGGTTTGCGCTGCGAAAACGGCACCTTGCTCTGGTCAAGCCCAGAAGATGCACGTACCTTCCTCAAGTTCGTGACAAGTCCACAAAGGGAACGTGGAGGACCAGTCACGACAAAGTTTCTGGGACCATTGAATAGGGAGACGGCGATCTGCGCATTGGCAGGTAGATGATCGTTGGTAGCATCGAGATGGGGCTGCAACAATTTGAGGGACAAGTTTGTGATGGAAAGCATGGGCGTGGGTTCACCCTCGCCTCCATCGATGCAATCTTGAACAATGCTTGGTTCTAGGGCAAGCACGGGGAATGCTTCCTGTCCGCGCATACCACAAAAGAAGAGCCATCGGAGAGCTTTCTTTGCATTGATATCAAATGATTCGAAGGACGTAGATGCAGAAATGGCGATGGCAGAAACAACCCCCTGCGAATGGCCAGTTGCACCAGCAAAATGGTCACGTAGCTCGCTGGGAGTGAATCCAGAGACATGACAGATGACACGGTACTGCACTAGCTGGGTGAGACCGATCAAGGGAAGAGAGACAGGGATGGAAGCAAGATATTCAACTGGGGGACGAGGAGAGGTGCCTGCGAGCCATGCTGCGACGTCCATGCCATAGTTGTAAAAGCTACATCCCTGGCAAGATGTGACAAGGGGAAGGAGAATATCATTGGTGATTGACGAGATTATGGGAGATACGTAAGGCTTGTAGATGTCGTAAAGCGATTGAAGCTCGTCAAAGTAAACCTCGTTGGTGCCTTGACCACCAAAAAGCGCATATATTGATGCTTCGGAGTCATCAGCAGCTGTGAGGAGGGCAGAAGCAGGGGGACCTGGAATATCTGCAACATTATGGTTCTCTAGGGTAGCACGTGCAGCAAAGTAAGCTGCAAGAATTCCAGTTCGGACCTCGGTATCGAATGGGTTGACAAAGGAGTAGAGGTCGGTATCGGTAAGATATGAAGAAACGAAATGCGTAAAGACACGAGTGAGCACAGAAAGGCGTGCTTTTATGCAGTCTGATGCATCGGAAGTCTTCTGTGCGATGAAAGCAAGGAAACGTGCAAAGAGATTTATGTAGGCCTGTAATGGGCGTTCCGGGTCTGCGACGGTGTCTACGACATCGACGTGTTGTTGTGACAAGATGAAGTCATCTCTAAGGACTTCAGCAGCAATCCACTCGTCTATTTGGGTAGACACGGGAATAGAGACCTGAAAAGCCAGTTTAAACAAGAGATAGGTGAGATAGAAAAATGACGCGTACTCTAACATTCGCGATGGATATTACTAGTGGACGGGTAGCAAATTGGTTTTCGTGAACGGCATCACCGTTCTGGCTAGACATTTTGAAGGGAGGTTAAGGACGTCGAGAACGACGTGGGGAAGGGAGTGAAAGAAAGAGAACGGGTTCAGAAGTTTACTTTATATGACTGGTACTCCCCAGTGTATTTGGATTATTGCAATTTTTTTGGTTTCAGGCGCCAACTTCCCCAAAAACTGTATACAAGTCACGTGTTTACGTAATACTTTAGACCACGTTACACCAACATTAATTTCTCAAATTCTATCTACTGCAGCGTGTTCATCGATATGGCCCTTCCGTAATAATCAGTCTTGGTTTGGCCATGGTCTCATCATACACTCATTTCCATGACAAGTTATTCGCTTTCTCAAACAGCCTGGTGGTGACTGGCAGTGACAAACATTTATTTATCGCTTGTTCCCGTGCAAGACACCTCCAGCCCCTGTCTCTTGTCAGTATGCCCGCACCCACACAACGGAAAATGGACATGCATCGAGGCAAATGCAGACCACACGCGTTTGTTAAATTGCAACATGTGTTGTTTTACATACACGATGTCGCTTTCCATCAGTACACATCGATCGATTAGCTTTGATAAGGAGTCGCGCTCACTAGCAAGCTTGAAACCCCGGCCCAGTCAGCGCTGAGCGCTGGTCTGTCTCCGCCTAGGTGACTTTTATTTGAAAACTGCTGGTATGATAGACTAAATCGAGATATAAAGTATCTCTTGTTCCAACGGTGCGATGTCTCCCTTGTCCCATTGATGATTAAATCAATCAGTCTTCCTCTCCGCCCATATCCCACGATCACAGATCGTCAGCTGTTTCATTTTAAAGGGGTCGTTCTCGCCCATCCAATACTCAGCGCTCAGCACTCTGTCTTCCCCCATTAATCAACCTTCCTCTGCCGATACCCCATATCACAAGCGGGACTACCCGTCGTCCCTCGTGTCAGCTATCTAATTTTAATAGGTCGTTCTCGTTCATCGGTGAACAATCCGTTTGAAATAATAGATTCAAATGGATTATAATGTTTTATGCGAATGTTTTATTTATCCCCACGGCGCCATCATATCCATATTGTCAAGTTTCACCTGTAGGTGTCACTTGTCTGTCAAGCATTCCTCCGATCATCACATCTCCTTGTTTGATCACACACAAGGGCCTCAAACACCAAGAACAAAAGTCAAGTTTCACATGGCGATAGTTCACAACAAAAAAATGGACATTCAGAGGATTGAACTCTGGACCTTATACATGCTAGTATGCAAAGCATACGCGCTACCACTGCGCTAAATGCCCATGATAGGCGCTTAACGCCGTGCGGGAATGGCTGATTAACTTCGGATTAGGGCCTTCTCAAAAAGATCATTGACCCATCAAGTTCACCAGAACGATCAAACATTTCATGCTTAAGATCTCAATATCAATTGTTTACAAGATCCCTGCCGACACAGCTCGACATTTTCCTCCACTCAAAAGAACAGCCTAGTTAGCGGTTCGACCACCATGACCAAGGATGGCATATAAATTCATATCAACCAACACCGTCCATGTCCATGAGCTAAGTGCTCAGTAGTCTATACGGGTATTAAATACATCATCAAAAACGTCAGTCAATCAAAGCTAGACGACGAAATCGCAGATAGAGATGCAACATAACATAGTCCTTTCGAAGTGAGCGTTCTATCAAGATCACCAGCCCATCCACCGCCGCATGCAGAAAAAAAAATGGCATGGATAGAGGGCTAGTGGTGAACAGAATCCCATGGCTGAGATCTAGATATATAGCTATGGAGTCCGCATGGGGTATGTGTCCGAGTGAGAAAGAACAGACTAGCATGTAGGGATTGTGATGTTTTTCAGGTTTTTGCTATCAATAGACATTAGCACCACACAAAGATAACGTGGAATAAGAGATTTTACTTAGCGTCGAACAAGCCCCAGTATCCCTAGCGAGTAAGGGTGAGATCACCATGACGAAACCAAAAATATCTGAACTTTACCTCTACGCCACCATACGTCACGTTCTGCAAGGCAAAGTCAGACTCCGCTCCTGGACATTGCGAGTGCAAACTTACCTTCCAAGGCTCGTCACTGTACTATTGTCGCACATTGCAGTGAGTACAATTTAAACGTTGGGAGACCGAATACTCACCTCAAAGAAAAAGTATCCAGTTCCGTTTTTGGTAGCTATTGACGTAATGTTGAGCTATCAATTATCTTTGCTCCCTGTGAGAAGAAACACATACCTTGACATGCGAAATCGTTTATAAATATCTGCCAGCACAAAATGAGTAATCATTGTGTCACAAGCGACGAGACTAGAACGAATCCCACCTGCAAGTTTTCCACCGAAGCGAGCGAAGGGCCATCGTTCGGGTTAGCATTGAAAGAAGAACTACCCTGTTGTGCAGGTTAGACGAGTCAAGGATGAAAGAGAAAGCAAACAAACAGTCGGCCAGCCAGTTTCAGCAATGAACATCTTCGGTTTGTTCGGAAGAGATTGAGCAAGAGCGACATCTGTGGTGCTGAAGAATTCGGCCGTCCATGCGGCAGCGTTAGCAATCGATTGATTGGCGAACCACGGGTGAACGTTCGCCATCTGCACAACATAAGTAGGCACACCAAACATACATATAGACAGAGATACCAACCCCATAGTCGACAGCAGCTAGCACTTCGTTATTGAAATAACTTCCAGCGTCTGCATTACCGACTAGGATATTACTCAGACCCATCGAGGACAACATTGAACGAGTATCGTTAATCCAAGGTACCAACATCGCCGCGGCTGTGACAAAACAATTGGAAATGTGTTTCAGCGGGAAGGAAAACCATGAACTCGCCTGCCTGTCCTGCGGAGCCGTTAGGATCCGTCTGGCCCTGTGATGTGATGTAACTAAGAGCTGGTTTAGCCAACAGTTTAGACTTCAGAGACGAATGCTGACTCAAGGATGAATTCATTGCCGACTGTGATGCCGGCTACGTTGGATCCACCGTATTGTTGAAGAGCGGTTTGAATTTCGCCTTTCTGGCGTGTGTACGCAGCCCCATTATCGGTGGCATCGGGGTAGTTGCCGAGATAGACAGACATGTTGACCTTCGTAGCCTGAATGGCGGCAAGCTGCAAACAAGTGTAGATAGATACATCAAAAACAGTCCACATGACAACTTACGACGAGGGAGGACTGGTTGCAGTCAGAGCCATAAAGACGGATAGTCTGGTAATCGCAGAATGAGTGCATGACATATAACACACCACCGAACCACCCACAGATGTGAGCTGAGACAACAGCTATACATAATGTAAGATAACGACCACTCAGAAAAATTCCTCGAAATATCTACCTGAATATCCTCAATGACCTCCGCTGTGGTACATTAGATACATTCCAACCAAGATAACGCGACTTTACGTACTTAGACTATTGCCACAGTCCGGGAGCTGGGAGCCCAGTGGCGTATACGCGATGCCATAGAATGAATTGACCAAAGCAGAATTTTTCGGGAAATTACTCGGATCATTGGGGTTCGTCCCAGCTGGAACGCTACTGCTCGAACTCGAGCTGTTGTTGTTCGTGCTCTTTTTCGAGAGCGTGACACCAACTGCGATACCGGCAGCGATTAGGATAATAAGGGTGGTAACCGAGCCAATGACCTTTTCAGCAGGACGTCGTTAGGCGGTCAAACACTGCGTAGGTTGAGAGCGATACTCACGATGAGTCTTGACCGCCTGCTCGCCTTCTGCGTCTGCTCCAGCCAGTCGCTGTTGCGAGGCTCCATGTTCTGGTATCCTGATTGTGGAACGGGCATGTAGGTCACGGTTGAGGTGGGCTGGCCTGCAAGTGGTTGTTGTGTTGGAGAATTCCTGAGCGTTGGCTCCGATGAGAGATCGTGCGACGAGTCAAAGGGTGAACGAGCGTGTGTGGCCTGCGCAGCAGAAATTTAGTTCAGAGAAAGATGTATGTAGAGGCGCAAGCGAAAGAGACTGGAACGGAAACAATTGAACCAGCAGAAATCCAAGCGAGCTCGGGTTTCAGACTAGATGCTCCAAATAATATATACGTATGTGATTCCCAACATAATGAATGGTAACGGGGGTTCTTACTACGGGGTCATTGTTGTCTTGCAGGTTTGGACTGCCAGTGTATGTCGTAGGGGTGTCCCTGTAGGGTGCTACCTGTTGCATTGAGCTCGAGTACCCACTTCGTTGCATTTTTTGGAAGTTAAGGATCACAGAAGAGATCTAGAGAAACACGTTGGAACGACAGCTGGCTTTAATTTCCCGTGCCTCGTGAGGGTCGCCTGATTGAACGCGCCCTTAGTAACTTCACGCCCAGACCCACGCATCAAGGATTGCCTATTCTTATTTGAACCTACCCAGCCTTGATGACGACGGGCACCCCCGGCCTTATTGTGGTGCAAATCTTTCCTTCGATAGACAAAATTAGATGCTGCGGAATCGCAATATTAGTTATATATCTGCCGTTACCGAGCCTGGTCCGCGGTATGAAAACAACTGTCCTTGTTATTTCCCGAAGTGTAGCTACTTGACAGCCCTAAAGTATACATAGAAAAACTCAAAATGCAATTGTCCAGACCGGTAAAAAGGGAAAAAAATAAAACGGGGGACCGGGAAATCGGCACAATAACGCCATGCTCGCCTCAAAAAAGTATATTAATATCACAAACTTCCAGGTGCTCACTCCCTCCCATCCTACCCACCCGCATGGGTCCCAGGTCGCGGCTGAGCTGATGCTCGTTTCTGTTTTCTGAGCACCCTAGCGCGATGTTTCTCCTCGTCTGTGCTCCCTCGATTGGAGGGCAGCGTCCGACTTCGGCTCACTCCTACTGCTGCGGGACCTGAAGCTTGGCTTACGGGGCGGGATGTTGGTGTCTCCAAGACAGGCGACAATTGTCCACTATCAATATCTTCTGATCTGTCCAGCGAACCTAAAAAAAGTGTGGCACAATCACGAAGGGGTGCCCTTCGACTTCAGCGACGGTCCAACTGATGGGCGGTCCCCCAGGAATGACCCACCAGTGTATTCTAGCGTCGTGCGGCGCCGGTAAATGCGCCGTCTGTCACGGCCAACAAGCTTCCAGCCTCCAGAAATTGGCGTGTGCTCGTCATCTGAGCTAGGCACAACAACAAGATCCGAGTCTTCCTCACTCGGTACCTGTGTGTGTGCATGGTGGGGCCGTGGTGGTGGTTTCCACGAAGAGCTCTGCTCCGATCGTGGTGGCGGTGGTATGTCGAGTAAGAACCAATCCTGTTGCGCAATGAGAAATTCGAGAACACGTTGGCTTAGCGCATGTTCCCCAGGTGACATTTCGTGGTTAGGATGGGATATAAGGCCGGGCCGAAAAATCACTGCGAGATCTGCGCGGAAGATGAGAATAAAGTTAATCGCAGAGGGGTTCGGCGTACTTGTGGCCGTCATGAGATTCTTATCTGATTTTCGTGCAAATACTGATAATAGATCCAATACGTAGAGAAGAAGGTATTGGTTCGCGCGGGGCATACGTTGGATTAGACGCTTGTACGTTGCAATCACTTCATCATAGTTGAATGGTTTCTTTCCTGCACAGGCTTGAATTCAGCTTGTGCCTCAAGCCTTTAAAACTCCTTACGCAAAACGTCCCGGAACTGATTGAAAAAAAGTCAGCCTCAATCAACAAAGGAAGTAGCATACACTCACATCGTGATACATATCGTGCGGTATTACGGGTTCCTGAGTGGGACATGAGTACGCACAGCGTGGAGCGTGGAGTGCCACTGACAGGCATCTGAGTTAGATATCTACGAAAGACGCTTGCAACGTCATGTGTTGTAAAATGTTCATTTTTCCAGTCCAAGGATTTCCCGTACTGATGGCAAAAATAATACATCAATTGAATTTCATGGTGCTATATAGTAGCAATTTGTACGCACACGTGGTGGTGTCTCGAAAGCGGCTTGTAGATCTCGCATGCGCTTAGTAGAACCATTGACACGAAACGTCCCCTCTACCTCTGTAGCTGATAGATGCAGAACATTGAGGTCAAATTTCACATCATATATACCATGTACACGCACCATTTTCTTTGAGATAAAGGCCACTAGAGGAGCCAAGGTACACAACTAGTCAAAACGATGCAAGGTAGCACTACTCACCATTTCGCTACAACGACAGGTATGTACCCCCAAATATACAGCTCGCCGTTTGCATTGGCAGTCGAAATCTGCACGCTTGCATACCTCAGACTCTCTTTGAGTGGTTTTTGAAACACCGGATGTTCCTCTTGATCTACAGCTGTATAATAGGTTGCAAATTAGTCGACGTGATGGGCCGGAGGTAAGAATAGTACAGACTTCTACTCGAGTCGGAATCCTTTTTGCGATTCTGAGCATGGGTGAATTGAGTCCACCACTTGAGGAGGCCAGCTTTTGTTGGCGGGGGGCTGTCTGAAGGCATGTTTGAAGTTTGAGGGGGGCTATGCCGAGACTCAGTGATAGGGAGGGTATTACTTCTGCGGGATCGTTTGGTTCTTGAGAGGAAGACGAGAGGGAATAAGCGTTGAAAGGAGGCCAGCACGGGCCACGATGAGTAGTTGAACGGAAAGCCTGTAGAATACTTTGGGGCGGTGGAATATGGTCGTGACCCGCAATTGGTGCTTCTTCGGAGCACAGCCACACACAGCACTAAAATGCAAGCAGTACTATTAGTCACGGGGCCTCTAGTACTAGGGAGCTCGGGACCTTGGCTAGAACTATCTTTGAATAAAAAACATGCTATGCATTGCAGACTACTTATAGTGTACGCTATAGACTATCATTAGACAAAAGAAGTTGGCGTAGTGATTTTTAAACTATGTAATGCGACTTTCTCGAATTCTGATCCAACTAGTGCAAGTTTAGATAAGAATGAAGTTCCTGGTCTAGTCTAGCTATAGCCTCGATCTCATGACCACGGAGGGGGGAATTTGACTATGGGTTTTCAACGTTTCAACGTTCAACCTCGGAAGAGAGTGTACGCCTGAGATTCTTTTGCCTTTTGCTCGTGCAGCGCGGCGCAATACCAACTCAGTGCGCTCTTAGGCCTGAGTAGATATTAATCACGGGCCCCGGGGACTTTCGAAGACTTACCACTATCAGGCACAAATTTCTCGTTGGTTCCGTTGAATGACTAGTACCGTTCGCGTTGTTGTCACGTTTTGTGGCCAGCTCGGTCACGAGTCGGCAATCGTCAACGAGTCGCGATGCCGTAATCATGATAGCTCATCCAAGTTTAGCATCCGGATCTAAATTTGTGAGCTGGCCTTCAGGTGTAAGCACACCGGCTCCCACATAAACACTTTCCGCGATACAGACACACAAGCTTTCAGCATCAAGTACTGTCTTCGATTAAGCGGCGTCACCACTTACATCAGGCCTACAGGCATTTTCCGTTCCCCTCTATCTCCTTCCACTACCTCGTAAATCATGATCCATACAGACGTGCTGGCAAAGCTGCTTGGCGTTCTGGAGGCCATTCAGGCTCGCGCTACCACCCCGACTAGGCTCTCTCTTGGTGCAGCAGCGGGCGTAGTGGCGTTAACGATCGTCCTGAGGTATCTCACCGCGAAACAATCAAAGCTCATAACAGACTATGCGAAAGTAGCGAGGAAAGTCAATGACGACCACGGAGCAGAGTTTGATGAGTGGGACTTCATCATTGTTGGAGGAGGTGTGACACATTCAATGATCCATATAGCTACATTTCATATCTTCCAAACGTCATCTAGGCACAGCAGGATGTGTTCTGGCATCACGTCTCTCCGAAAACTCAAACCTGCGCATTCTACTCATCGAGGCTGGTGGAAGGTCAGTGTCTTTAAGGGTATTGTTTACTTCTGACATGCTCAACTTCTTCATAGCTCTAAAAATATCCCCTTAAGCAAGACACCCGCCGCCTTCGCGAAATTAATGCGCAGTCAATGGGACTACCATTTTTATACCGAGCCTCAGCAACATGCAGGTAATAAGAGAAAATTCTGGCCTCGTGGTATGTTGTATTTTTCAGCTTCTTAGTGGTAACTGATCGCCGTATGTCCAGCTAAACTTCTCGGAGGCTGTAAGTAGTCGTCGTTCTCCCGGTAAGGAAATATCTTGATGTTTCTCAGGTTCTGCTATGAATGCCATGATGTGAGTCGTAATGCATCTGCCTGCGGGTTCGACTTATCTCTATTATCTTAGCGCACAATACGGTGCACCGTCCGATTTCGACGAATGGGCGGAAATTTCTGGCGACCAATCCTGGTCGTGGAATAATTTCAGCAAGCACGTAGTTTCTTTCTCCTTTCTCCTCACTTCTGATAACTTTGTTGCTCAGGTATATTCGTAAGTTTGAGAAATATACCCCAGACCCGCGCTTCCCACACGTCGATCCACTCCTCCGCGGTGCCAATGGACCTGTTGAGATTAGGTACAGCCCCTACATATGGCCAGGCGCCCAAGCTTTTATCGAGGCAAGCATTAACGTCGGCATACCTTTCTCACCCGATTTCTGTACGACCAAGGGAACGAAGGGGACAAATAAGGCAAGTCTACTAATTTCGAGGATTTGATGTTTCAAGGCTCGCTGACACAGGTCATTAATGTGGCACAGATCAGTGAGTTCACTAGCACTGACTTCAGGCTCGACAAATAATGAACAACTGATACGTAGTGATGTACATCGACAGCAAGAGCACTCGTGTAACTACCGAGTCTGCATACCTCACTGACGACGTCCTTGCCCGTCCGAATTTGAAAGTCGTCACTCACGCGCGCGTCTCTAAGGTTCTTCTTGACACATCCAGCAGCACACCACGTGTCACTGGTGTCGAGTTTGCCAGCAAATCTCATGTGAATAAAGTCGGGCCCACGTTCCGTGCACGAGCAACCAAGGAAGTCATTGTCTGGTGCGTGACTGTTTGATGTTCTCAAAACCATTACTTACCTTTCCTTAGCGGCGGCGCCGTACACTCTCCTCAGATCTTGATGCTTTCTGGCATTGGTCCAGCTGCGCAGCTTTTACGTCACAACATCCCGGTTGTGCTCGACGCTCCCAGCGTTGGGGTTAATCTCATGGATCACCCATCAGTCAATATCCGGTTCAGGGAAAAGAACGGAATTACGTTTCACCACTTTACGCCTCACAGTTTGAACACCATGCGCTTGTTTTTACGCGACTTGCTGCGGTATCAACTGTGGGGCACCGGCCCACTCACTTCTAATGTTCGTCAAGTCTTACTTGCCCTCATATCACTCGTACTGAATAGTATAATAGGTCGGCGAGTCTGTAGCATTTTTCCGATCAGACGACCAGGTCCTCTTCCCGCCTGCCGAGTACAACAATGACCTCGAAGATACAAACTCAGGCCCAGACGCACCAGACATCGAGATCATCATGTGTGCCGGTGCAGTACGCGCACACAACATATCACTCAACCCAAAGCTCCAGGCATATCAGATGATCATTACCTTATTACGGTAAGCCATCAAAGTTTCTACTTCAAACTCAACCATGACATTCTGTGCTGCCAGTCCTACAAGTAAAGGATCGCTCCTTCTCAAATCTGCCGACCCTTGGGATGATCCGCTCATGGATCCAAAGTAGGCTAACCCGCTTACTTCAATCTTACTCTTTTCTTATTATTATCACGGGCCAGCTACCTCGAAACAAAACACGATGTCGATGTACTCGTTCGAGGTGTCCGCGCTGGTATCAAAATCGCACATACAGCACCCATGACCTCTGTCACCGACGTGGATGCCTCATACCACCCCGAACTTGACCATCACATCTCCAGTCTAAGTGACGCAGAGCTGGCGGATCTTGTTAGAGACCGTGTAGAAACGTTGTATCACCCGGTAGGGACGTGTTCGATGGGAGCTGGCGGCGTCGTGGACTCGGAGTTGCGTGTCAAGGGCACTCAGGGGCTCCGGGTGTGCGATGCAAGTGTTTTCCCTAAATTGGTCTCAGGACACCCGGTATGTAGAAGCTCTGACCGATAGCCGTGAAAACTGACAGAGATCTAGACTGGTGCGGTTATTGCGACAGCCGAGAAATTGGCGGACATTATCAAGGCTCGCTACGCATAAAACTTAGGCTCCTCGGCGATGTCGGTGTATCTTATTGCGATTTTGTGGTATGCTGTTGATTCTCAGGACTTTACCACGTGTTGTATTTATTGTTTTCTTGTGCGTTGTACGCCTACTCAACAATTAAATGGATTGTTGTGCACTATCTTGAATGACTGTGAATGGCCAAACCTCACCAACATCTTGACCTTCTTCTCCCATAACTTTCGAAACAGCCCCAAGAACCTTGTACTGCTCACCCATCCCAAGGGGGTCAATGAGCCTACTTGCACCATCTTCGATCGCCTTTTTCCTCTCTAGAGAGGAAGCCGAACGTACGAGAGCGGCGGCCCTGATTTCTATGCCCATAGACATGAGGAAGGTCCGTTGGGAGAGGGGACCATGTGTTGAGACTGTACATCTTGAATAACCATAATCATGCAGCAGAGCACCATCATGAGACGTACCAAGATCAGCCATAGACTCTTTCAGCAACGCAAAATCCACATTTGTCGTAACATCGCACTCTCCGGGACTGCAGAAGATATCAACGATTTTATGTTGTTTGAAGGCCTGTGAACGGTTATTAGGCAGAATTCAGTGCATGCGTCTGAGTTCCTACCCGCAAGGAATCGTTAAAGGCTCTGTCTGCACCATAGTCAATGACAAGCGCGCATCCTCCGCCCTTGGTATTGATGAGTTTCCCAATACCCCGTGCTTGATTCATAGACGCTCTGGATACCTCTATACGCGTCCCCACAGGGAGCGAAAAGAACCGAGGAGACGCAAGTCCGAGGAGGGTCGATGATGCTGTCGGAGTTGGCGTAAGAACACGCGTCCAGCGTGAAGACGTGCGATGCAATTGCGGGGGAGAGTCTGAATTTTGGTCCGAGTCCGAAGAGGGCATGGTGTATTTGATGCTTGGATCATTCGAGGGGGCGATTAGTACCTCGTTCCAGCCTTGTTGAGTTCTCTATCATTCCCGCTAGTAAAGCAGATGTTTGTGTCTCTGAAGGGAACTCACCTCGATGACGTTCACGGGAAGGGCGTCGAAAAACTCATGAGCGACCAGCATAGTGAAAACCTCTTCCTCTGGCTCGATCTCCTCGATTGCGTCATGCCACAGTATCTGGAAGTTGCCTTCCTGAGAAGCCTTACGAAGCTTGCCTTCTTGCAAAGCACGCATAGCCGCACTGCTCTCAACAAGGTGGATACTCTTTAGTTTTCCGCGTGCTGCAGGAAGCTGTTTCAAAACCTGGAAGAAACGTGGTGAGAAGAAACCAACCATCCGTTCAACATCACTCACCCGAAGTATGTCATTCATCAGCGTCCCCCTACCAGGTCCGAGTTCTACCACTCGGAAGGGTATTTTGACGTTCATATCCATCCACTGTTTTATCATCCATAACGCGACAAGCTATTTGTAGCGCATTTTGCGTTGTCAAGATGTGATATATATGATACCATGAATCTCACCTCGCCAAACATCTGGCTAATCTCAGGACTGGTGATAAAATCACCTTGCGTGCCAAAGACAGCATGTTCTGGCTTCATGTAGTACCCATGTGTGGGGTGCCCAAGACTGAGTTGCATGAATGTCGAGAATGATATAGGACCTGTTGCCTTCATTTTATGAGACCCATACTGGAGAAGTTGCGTAGTTGAGGACCTCACCTTCACACTATCCAGCATTATTTTCTCGACATCCGTCAGAGGACCAAAGGAATCTCCAGACATCATGCGGGCACGCAGGATAGTTCTTGCATTGAGACCGTGACAGCAGTTTGGCTGCCTGAGCCACGAAGACAGTCCATTTGAACCATGCCTTGTAGCAGATCGGAACATCTCAACTAGAATTCGGTCAAGCAGCTAGAATTATTCACCGCAATAATAATCTAGGGTTCCAAAGACGGAACCCTGCGAATCATCATTTAAGTTGACAAACAATCTCCACCATTTCTCAGCAGTTTTGTGTTTTACTTGGAATATGCTAGTACAGTATGTAGAACATACTCAGTAAATTAGGCTAAGAAATTAATTTAAAATTGAATGCTGTAGAGACCGTTGCGAATAGAGTTAGGGAACAGCACTCACTCGCTTAGTCAGCACTTGCTAGCTCACCAAGGATTAATGACATCTATTATCCAGGTCTCGGACCAACTCTCATGGATGATTTGACTGTCGAAGATGAGAAGAAGCCTTTCGAGGCCGAACAAAACGATGAAGACACTCAGCCAGATCCTGATGAGGAGCTAATGTTGGACAAGGGAAACGGGAGAGTATGGCTTGTCAAGGTGACCTCTTGATTCCTTTAACTTTCCGGGCTTTCTAATGTTTGTTTGCGACTGAAGATACCAAAACATCTCATGGCCCGTTGGGCGGCCACTGATGCAGAGGATGTCCATCTTGCCACAATCCGGGTGTACAAAAATGCCGTCAGTCCATCTGGTCGATCCCCTCGCATCTTCTTGTTCTTGCCGCCTGACCCGAATGACCCGACCCCACGAGATCTGAGCCTGCCGGTATTTTCTCCGGACGCAGCTTTTATACCTTCTGTTGAGGGGGGCATGCAAGTAGACAGATATGAACTTGAAATGGTCAACGAGGACGTTGAGAATCAGCTGGTAGTCGCAGAACGTCCCAAAGACCCTGGGCCTTCTGGACCAAACTCCGCCTCATATAATCCTCGAGCTAGAACGACCATTCTAACTGGCCGCATCAAACATGAATGTAATTTGCGCCCTCTTTTCAACGAGTCATACAGGCAACAAATGCGCGAACGAACTCGAAAATATAACACCCCACGAAGGCAGATCCGTATGATAGAAGATGCTGGTGTTAGCCGCGGAGGAATTAACAGGTTGAGCAGTGGAGTCAACTCAGGGTCGTTTGCGAATATGATTGTCCGTGTCTGCTTGTCTAGATCATTGCTGACGACTAACCCAATGTCATAGAAATTTCGACCCAAACCTGCCAAGGGCACATTTGAGCGTATGGCGCGTATGCCACGCAACCAACTCTTGGATCTTCTTTTTACACTCTTTCGCGAGCAACCCCGGTGGAGCATTAAGCCACTACGCGAGCGCACCCAGCAGCCTGAGGCATATCTTAAAGAGGTCCTTCTTGCTATTGCTACCTTGAATCGGAGCGGAGAGTACAACGGAATGTGGGAGCTGAACGATGTGTTCGCCAAAGATGGGGTATTTCATTTTTAGTTATGATTGTTTTTCAGAACTGAAGTCTAGAGAACAGATGAAATCTGAAAATGTCCCTGGACCAAGTTCGCTTCCAGAAGGGGTCTCCGGTGATATGGGGATTGATGAGTATGACGAGGACGAAGACGAGGATGACGACATGGAGGAAGTTTCATAGGTTTGCATCACAGAGAGGTCTCGTTGCTTTTTTGCTCATCATGTATATATAACTGCCTTCCATTACAGCTAATTTCATATTGATAGGCCGAATCTCCGCTATCGCTTGTGGAGCTCGACAAACAAAAGGGCCCTGTTTGTTACGATACTTGAGCGCACGAAGTATTTCAGCATGGCCACTCGTCCGACGCTCTACCTGACACAATTGTAGTCCTGTTGCCATGCCTGAAAACCATCGTCGCATTCCAGCAGCTGTAAAACAGCAATGGGCGAGTGTGTCTGCCCATATGTCATCTAGTGCCATAGCGTAAGCCACTCATGAGCCTTTGAACTTTCAACCGAGTTCTTCGGCTCTCTCATCTCACAGGCTCACCTTTGGAAAGTAGACGTTCCGATCTGCTCTCAGTAGCGCTCTCGCTGTTCCTCTTTATTAAGAGCAGGACTTTGGGAATAATTAGACTCAGGCATGAGATTGTTAGGGATCCTGCACTCGACCAACAAGTCTTATATCTGTTGTCCATCAGTGAAGAGGTGGAATCGGTCTGATCATCCTGACACTCGTTCGAAAAGACGAGAAAGATGTCGTGCTAATGACCAGGTTACTAGCCCCAGTGAGTGGAGCAATGATCCAGCATTATTTTCTCGACACCTGCCAGAGCACCAAGGACCCAGACATCATGGGGGCATGCAGGATAGTCCTTGCATTGAGTGCGAGTGCATGATGGCTGTTCGAGCCACACAGACAGTTCATTTAAACATCTGGAATTTGATCAAGCATGCGCAGCTGGATACTCCGCACATCCACGTATACACCAGCAAGTGAGATGCATGTGCCTAGTGCCGCATTTCGGCACAGCGGAATCTCCCCACACTTTAGAAGGATTCTATCAAGAAACTTGAAGAAAGTGGCCCCGGATCTATTTATTTTAACATGGCCTAATCATGTGTACAATCACCATGTGCCTTTTCAGAATTTTCCGTGATGATATGACTGCTGAAGGGTGCATTCCATGTGTAAAACTAACCATAAACTGAGCCGTGGCGCAAGAACCACTAAAAATATGATAATGCGTACATGAGGATTCTGTGTAGAAGTGCGCATGTGCTAGAGTGAAACGAACTCTAGTGAAGTAACTGCTGTACGTACATACAGCTCAATGATTCATTCAGAATCATAGATTTTTGAGTCATCGGAAGGCGTGGAGTAAAAAGGGAAGCGACAAAGCGGAACCGCAGCCGCTGGTTTGATTATGGTTGACTCCTTTGATCAAGTGTAGATTAGCCTTATATAAAATTTTAAAGGGATTGGGTCAAGCACTCAAATACTCACCGGCACCACCTTCACAACTCCCACTCTTTTCTGTATATATTCTATCTTCCGTCTAAACCTCTAGCAGTTGTAGATTATTCTTCAAACCTTCAACATCTAACCATGGCAACTCGTGGGTGTCTTTACTGATGCGCAATCTTACGCATCCCATGAACATACATCACAGGCATCCAATTCGAAAATAGTAGTGAAATCGGCGTGTTCTCAAAACTCACCAACAGCTACTGCCTAGCTGCAATCCAAGGCAGTGCAAATTTCTACTCGGCCTTCGAGGCTGAGCTTGGCGATGTCATCCCCATCGTGCATTCCACAATTGGTGGCACCCGCATCGTTGGGAGATTGACTGCAGGTCTGTGATATTTCTTTCCTCATACTTTCCCAGTAGGCTGATCTCCACCTCTAGGAAATAGACATGGTCTCCTCGTCCCTTCAACAACGACTGATCAGGAACTGCAGCATCTGCGCAACTCCCTTCCCGACGCTGTGTCGATCCAGCGAGTGGAAGAACGTCTATCCGCGCTTGGAAATGTCATCGCTTGCAACGACTACGTTGCCCTCGTCCACCCTGACGTCGATCGCGAGACAGAAGAAATAATCGCTGATGTGCTCAAGGTTGAAGTATTTAGGCAGACCGTCGCAGATAACGTCCTTGTGGGAAGTTATTGTGCGATCTCAAATCAGGGTGGACTTGTTCATCCAAAGACGAGTGTTCAGGACCAGGATGAACTGAGTAGCCTTCTACAAATTCCCCTTGTGGTGCGTATCTATAGAAAGCCCAGTGCAGGTATATCATAACTGAATTTACTCTTATTTCTAGGCTGGTACTGTCAACCGAGGTTCAGACGTTATTGGCGGAGGTCTTGTCGTGAACGACTGGTGTGCGTTTACTGGGCTTGACACTACCGCCACAGAGATCAGTGTCATCGAAGCTGCATTCAGTATGTCTACCATTTTTGCCTCCTGTTTTCACCTTTCCAACGTATTTCACCATCACAGAGCTTCAAGGACAAAGTTCTTCAGCTGTCATTGGAGAGATGCGGGATTCTCTTATCGACAACTGGGCATGATTGAAATTTCACTGTCACGCATCCCGTCACTGTTACATATACCATACCTTCACGTCTACATTTACATTTGAAGTGCAGCAACATGAATTCTGTATCTTTACGCTTGTAAGTCGTTGGAAATGGAAAAATAGTAAGAGGGATTGATACTGGAGAATATGTTCAAGTGTAATGTTATTCGCCAATTCTCTGTTGTATAGCGTTATGTGACAGTCGCGTGACGAACGTATGCAGTGATGAGCGCTTCATCGTACCCGTGCTTCTGTAAACATCCCCATGTCATCCGCCCCTCCTCAAAGACAACCTGAAGATGGCCATACATTCGCCCGAGTGATACAGGTGTGTACGAGAATATGCCTACAATTCTGGATTTGCTCGGGTTAATTGTCTCCTGTCTTGCCAAATAGTTCATGATCAATAAAGCTGCTAGCGGGTCAATCAAAGAGCTCGACGGACTATGCAACATCGCACAACATTGGAAACCAGAGCAACTTCTGACATTGCTACCAGTCTTCTATCATCACCTTGATCCAGCTCGCATCCCCGATGTCGTCACTTCAAGGGATGTGAGAAGTATCATGCTCGCAAGGTACTCCCTTAAAGGAGTGCTAGTCACGCTGAATCGTGTCAATCACCCAAGAGAATTGACGCAGGCGCTACAGAGCATTGCCGACAACCTAATATCCAACTGGACTCGTTGTCATCTCTGGGTCAATTTCTTTTATCGTCACTTCTTCGCTTCCAGCAACCCTGCCCGCCTTCCAGGTCTTCTCATAACTAGATCAGAAGCGCTGAAGCTAGTTGTCAACATGTTAATGCGGATGAGTTTGATCGGCGACTCACAAACACCACAGTCCCTCATCAATACACCATCTCTACACCCCATTATCTCACAGCTGTGGTGCATGGCGGTCACCTCAAAGGATAATGACTTTCTCACCGAAGCTGACAAGGTCATGGGCAGCAAGGAACAAGGGGCTTTCCAAGAGCACATGTCATACATGGTGCAGGCATGTCTGGATGTCGACCATCCTTCTTTTGTATCGACCCTTATTCATGTCGCTGGAGGCATTAGAGCCATAGCTTCTATTACCTCCAGATATCTCAGAAATATCCGCTGTCTGTACAGGAAGAAGGTTGTTTCTGGACAAAGTATCGACGATACGACTTCATGCGATTCTACTTTCGGGGTGCCTCGTTGGCAAATAATGCTCATTAATTGCTTTGGGAATTGTGCAAACCTACTGTTCGTTACTAGTCAACAGAACTGCGCCTTGCGAGAGGCCTATATCGATCGCAACCTCGTGGCCATCGTTATCTATACCCTTCGTGATCTATGTCAACTCTCTCTAACCCTGAAGCACGATGACTTCGCTAAACACGTGAAGAAAGCGTTTGAGGATGCTTTAGGTTACATTGCATTACTCATGGGAGGTCCTGTGGATGACCTTGTGGCCGTTATATGTCAAGCCCTTCGGGCGCGATTCCTCCCTACCGTCCTTCAAGCTCATACCTGTATTCCTGGTGCAGATACGGCGGAATGTCTTAATGCATTGTTGATTACTGCCCTTCGTTCATACCTCACATTCGACAAGGTCTTGCGGATCGCAGGGAGCGAGCTAGAGGCTGACGAGAAATCGCTAGATGCGAATGCTCAGCGCGATACAGACCTACTACAGGCCTGGAATCTGTTCAAAAAAGATGTTCGACGCTTCTTAGACCTTAGAAGTCAGATACCCGCGGCATCGATATTCTTCGATCGTCAATGCGCTGCTGTGCATGTGAGTGAACCATATACTTTTTCCCGTCTAGAGACTGTTGCTAATCAGCCCCTGATTTTGAAGAACACCGATGAATGGCATCCACAGTGGGATCTATTCCAGTGTGCCAGGTGCACAGTTGCGAGATATTGTTCTAGACAATGCCAGAATATAGATTGGGACCAGGGACATCGTATGGCGTGCAAGTACCTCAAAGCTGCCATTGGCGCGTCTCCTTATGTAACCTGATACCTTTTGCATACTGAGACATTCACAGGCCCGAATTCTTCACGGTATATCAGGAGGAGCCTCTTCCTTTTGGCCAAGATTGAAGACGCTGAGATTCAGTCCCATCGAGATTTCATCTCTCAATTGTCGGTGACCGCTCAAGCAGAATACCCGGAGTTCCAAGATCGTCTTGTTCTTGAGATCGATCCTGTTGCAGAGGCACCCATAGACAAATTCAAATACAAGCCAGTGTCCAACTATCTTCATATCTTTCCGGAGGCATCGGAGCGTCCATGGCAAGTCGCTTGCAAATGGCGCCAATCTACGGGACTGCATAGCCTTTCCTTACCGCCTGTAATGCGTATTCACGAAGGATACGAGACAACGGATCGACCAAATTTGCTCTTCAGTCCATCAACAGCGCTCAGGATGGCGTTTAAAGAGCACGGATTAGATGCCATCGTCAACGACAGCGCCTCGAGCGTTTATTATACTGGGAGTTCCACATGATCGTACGTACTGTGCTTGTTCCGCTACTGTTTCTGTTGTACTAGTATGATTTGCTTTCCAAGTTCATGTGCTGTAGTGTGGAGATTTCAACTGTACCATTGGATCCATCGTTTCGCCGTTCATTGTATACCAACTTGCACTATAGATACGTTCGCGTATGATATGGAACGAAATATTTATTCTTATCGAGATGGCAATTGTGATAGGTCACTACCAACGAATCTAGTCAAGACGGTTGTCCCTCAACCGTTAGGCTAGAAGTGATAATCAAAGCTCGGATTTGATTATCGCGGACAGTATTTTATCCGGGTTTACACAAGGTTTATTAGATTCGTCTAATAAACTGACTTGTCGTTTTCCATCTGACAGACATAAATTGCTGGCCAATGAGAGAGAACTCATGTCTAACATAGAGGTGTTGGGGGGCCTTGGCCAAACTGAAACAAGATCATCATTGAGTAACGAGTCAAGGGATGGGAACTATGAGGCGATAGAAGGAACCCTACAGGAGAGATTATTTTTGTGGTGAGATCATGCGTCACATGATTGAGTGTAGAGTGCATTTCAAAAATACATCTGCCCGGCCTCCTACAACCTTCCGAGATGACGGGTAATCCTAATTTGGCTTTAGCCAGCGCAGGTCTTAATCAAAATTAACTTAGCAGATCATAAATGCGATGTCTGCTGCGTCAACCACAGCAACTTAAGATTTGATCGGCAACGTGCTGATCCAGGTCTGCTGTCTTTTGTAGATGTGATCTGCTTCCGAAACCCATTGGCAGGAGGTGCTTGTCCGGTGTTACTTAATCGGAGCTTGCCGTTGTCCTGAATTAAACACTAGATTACAAAGACACAAGTACTTAGCTTAGGGTATAGAATACGAAATACACATACATGACATCGAAGTGATGGTACAATTAATGAGACAGGTGAGATATGGCGGCCTCTAGAACGTTCCCAGACAGTGACGCCGATAGATTAAATCCTGTTGATCGGATCCAAAAACATCTTGAGTATCGAATCATGCACCAACACCAAGCGCTGTTGCCCAAGACCGTCCGCCTACCTCACTCAGCACCCTCTCTACTTCTGTCTGCTCCAGGTTGAGAATGACCCTGCGTTCACCGGGGGACTTGCGGACAGCGTTCACACCATCCTCGATGATCAGAGCGCGAGAGGCAACCAGGGAGTCCAGAACAAGTACCAGTTCCTCCGGCGTGGGCTTCCGCGACGGATCTCCTTCCGAAGTCAGAGCTTCGACATATACGATATGCTGGTTTTCAATCTTACGTACTATTAGTCGAGCACTCCGCGGAATATAAATTAAAATAAAACATACTTCGCTCCATTTGATCTCCTCAATACCTTCTCGCTTTATGCATCTCAGCAGGGATGCAAGCATGATCCGCTCATGTAAGCTGCAGTCTCGGAGGTATGCTGCGGTTGGGCTATTCTGTAGCACTTTGATGACCTCTTTAACATCTTCCGTGCGAGCAGCGCGCCGTTTGGGATGCACGAGTTCCACCGCTCTTCTACCTTTGAGTTCAGTTGTATTGTCGCTACAAAATAAGCCCGACACGTACCGACAAATATCAAGCACCCTTCGTGCGTCTCCACTGATCGATGAAACCTTCATTGCGGCAAACTTCACGCCGTCAGCGTTGATTACATCCGGAGGCTCTTCCAGGCCCTCTTTGGCTTCTCTGAGACGTGCATGCACAATTTTCTCAAGCTGCTGCGTCGTGTATGGCTGGAAGTTGGTTCGGATCATTCCTTTGCAGCATATAAATGAGCATGAGATGGGTGGGGTGCTTGGTTTAACAACACGTACCAAGTCGACTGCGCACGCGTCCGGTCATCACCCGCTCTGGAAGGTCCATGGTGTTTGCGACAGCGATCACGACAAGCTTTGAGCCTGCGATTGTGGGCCAGTTGAAGAAATTGTATACCACATCCTGCTTTGCTGTGACAAGTTGATCAAGCTCGTCCATAAGAACGACACTAGGCACACAACTTAGCGATGATCGACTGGTTGATGCTGCTACTACTACTTACCACGCGTGCCCTGCGGGGCCCGCCCGTGCGCCTGCAGAGAAGTGTTTGGTAAGCTGCTTGAGCGCCTCCTTGGCGCTGGATTTGAGGTGACCATCGCTAGCTACATCATGCCCCGAGACTGTCTCCCAAAGTAGGTTGTATGCAGCAGATGGCTCGGGAATTCTAAGTCCATTGATTTCGACGTAAGTGAAGGGATTCGTTTCCTAACAAACAAGATTATTGAATAAGAAGGACCGGTTGACAAAGAACGGACATTGTTCTCGGCCATTCGTTTGAGTTCACGAATAATAGCATGAACTGTTGCAGTCTTGCCTGTTCCTGGTACTCCAGAAATGTCTAAAAATAGATATCAAAAGGGTGAAAAAAAATGGGTGAGACTCGACACACAAACACAACCTCCACTTCCTTCCTCCAGGAGTTCCTCTACAGTTCTGAGAACGCGACCGTATTCCTCCTCACGACACGGGAGAACATCAGGACGCGCTGCAACATGAAGGACGTGCATTGCACGAAGCCACGGGTCCGGAGGAAGGTTTTGCAGTTGATTGTAGTGCTCCTGTGTGAGATTCGGAGGCGGAATACGGACGGCTGGTGCTTTTCGACTTCGCTTTCGTAATGCCGCTTTGGAGTGCGGAGTGGGTGCTGCGAGCTTCGGTCCACGTTTCTTGCTCGGCGTGGACTTGGGTGTGGATAAGGCGCGTTTGCGCTTGCGCGATGGTGTCTTTGGAATGTCATCGTTAAGCCCACTAAGAGTTGTCTCATTGTCGGAGGCGTCGTCAACAATAGAGGGGATGAGGTGGTCGTCGGTTTCTGATGGAGGTTCGTCGTTCTCGTAGTCACGATCACGAACGACATCATCACCGCTTTCTTCCGCGATGTCTTGAAGTCTCTTTTGCTTTTTCGTACGCCGTCTCAATGGTGTGGTCTCCACAGCGACATGCCAGCAAGTCCCACTGGCGAGGTCTTCGTTAGAGCTGCCGAGAGCTTGTTGTTTGTGAGCTGCCCAGTGGAAGTCGTAGTAAATGTTGCTGCGAGACTCGATTGCAAGGCGACAGTAGAATATTTTATTCTCCTCAGCAGTAGCACTGGTCCAGTTACTTCGTTTGCGGGCTGTGGGTGCGGTCTGAGGAACTTCGGAGATGGTGCAATGCGATAGTATACATGAAGGCGGAAGAATAGCTTGTGAAGCGAGAGTAAAATACACTTCGTTCTGATGGTGGAATGAGCGGATGACCATCAGCAGATGTGCCACTGACCTCGAAATGTTCCCTCTTTGCCCTTATGCGAGGCAGTTCAGATGGATGTTGAAACCAGTGAACCCTGACCATCATCTGTGGTTTGTCGCCCTCCTGGTCATTGTTGCCTTGTAATTCCCACATGGAAGCGATGACGCCAACACTGGGGTGTTTCGTGGACTGCGTTTTGACGAGCACGGTGTCTCCGACCTCAAATGTCTCAGTGTCGACAACTGACCTACGCGCACTCGACCCTTTCCGTGAAGCTGGCGCGATATTTTTCGTCCGCTTAAATGACTTGCGAAAAACAGTCTGCATCCCTGGCCGTGGTTGCCATCCCTCATCCTCTTGAAGAACCTGGTAATCTTCGTATACAGTGGGACGAATGTAGCAGGGAGCATCTGCCCAGATTACAGTTTTGTCTACAAAGGCATCAGTCTTCACGGGAGTTACAAGTGGTTGAAAGCGTTTTGAACGTCGAGAAGGTGTCACTGGAGTCGATTCCATGGGAAAGAAGGTGGTGTCACGAACGCGTGACAAGCGCGTCAGTCACCTCCATGGCATAATATCACACGTCACTAGGTACCAGCCGCGTTCAACTTACTACCGTGACAACGTTAAAATGCAATGATCACTCTACTCGTCGCTTGCAATTGTAGCGCACCGGCTAATGCTCGGCCAAATAATTACCTCCATTTCAAGAAAATTTTGTGTGATGTGGCAAGTAGTTCATGTGGCACGGTCAGCATTGAATTAACCGCCTAGGAAATGTTGCGTCAACTTGGGTATAATTCAGTTGGCAGTAAAGTGGCTATTACCATCGCCGAAAGTCACGGTCAGGACTCAGGAGCCCTTGGCAGAAGCAAGCATTTCCTATAATCCTTTTATCATACACCTCCGTGCTAGATGCAGTGATTTCGATAATTTTTTGAGAACACACGAAAATGCTATACACGTTGAAAAGGCAGAGAGTCTACCGAAAACACAAGTCCACTGTCTGCTGCACTCGAAATAATTCTTCCGTTTGCCGTTCTACCGTTTTTTTTTGGGGGGGAAGCTGCCCTACAGCACCAATGCATAGGATTAGCCAGAACCTCACCTCTCACGTGATGCAATTGGTCATCAAGACGGAATGAATTTTTACGTGAACCGCCGGATCATACGTATTAGCCTATTGAATCGCTGATGGCGGTGGATCAAATCTTCATATGAGAACCATATAATCTCATCGTCAGCATCCGTACGCGTATTCAGGCTGTTAATCCACTTCATAGCTCCCCTGATCGCAAAATGTCCTGCCAACAGCCAGCCGATATGCTACCCCCTGATCACTTCCTCCTCCAACCTCGTCAGGATTTCCTAATCGGCGCACAGGAGGGGCACATTGATACCTCCACTCTCGCTGCACACGATTTCGATGTTGATACTCGCACGGGTTTTATGCCCCCAGATCCTCCTTTAAATAGACTCCCAGAGCAATGGGAACTCTGGGAGACAGCACTGGATGCTGCAACGCAGGCAAAGCTACAGCTCGCTGTCAAACCAGGTCTGACAGCTGAGGAGAAAAACTCGTCTGAGTCATGGCGAGAACACGTTCGAAAGGTCAGCACGGGCCTCCGTATTTTTTATCACGCCCTTCTCACACACACACCAGCTGCCTGTCCTTCCCATGTCTGAGCTCACACAGTCCGAGCTCCTACTTCGGCGCGCGCACCATGTTCTCACCTTTATCATGCATTTTTACATTTACACACTCCCCCTGTCTTCTTCCGTGCTCATTCCGGAATCAATTTCTGTACCACTCGTCGCCATATCCAATCACTTACAGTTACCCCCAGTCCTCACGTACTCTGACAATGTCCTCTATAATTGGGACACCATCCGTCCCAGGGTCCGAAACGAGCTTGGATTCGAGGCCCCTGCTATAGACAACCTTCGCAGTCAGAATACGTTCTCTGGTACCACAGACGAGCAAGAATTCTACCTTGCTTCGGCACGCATAGAGCTTCGCGGCGTCGAAGCTCTCGAGCTTATGCGTTTGACTATGGATGAATTGTTTGTTGGTGACAAGATAGCCATCAGGCGCATTACTGCATACCTCTCCAAGCTTGCTTCGATCGTGAACGACCTTGAGACCATCCTGCTCGACGTGCGTAAGGGCTGCGACCCTAACACGTTTTATAACTCTATCCGCCCATGGTTCCGTGGCGCAGACTCTGATCCTGCCAAGAGGAAATGGGTGTTCGAAGGTGTTGAAGAGCAGCCTACCGACCTCTCAGGGCCAAGCGCAGGGCAGAGCGCCCTGATCCATGCTCTAGACGTATTTCTTGGTCTAGACAATTGCAATATGGTCGAAGGTGGTGTTGCACCAGACCAACGGACGCTGTTGAGAAGGATGCAGATCTACATGCCACGTCACCACCGCAGTTTCTTGCGACACCTCAGCACGAACCCCCGTCCTGTGCGGACGTTCGTGATGCAAACAAAGTCGGATGCAAAACTTTTGGACGCATACAATTCTGCAGTGCAGTCGGTGAAGCAGTTTAGGGATGCGCATATCAAAATAGTGGCAATCTATATCATTGCACCTGCCGCTCGTGAAAGGACAGAGACAGATCGAGAAGCTCGGGTCGTTGGGAAGCAAGTGTTGAAGGGCACTGGCGGGACGGACCTAGTACGCTTCCTTAAAGGTGTGAGGGACAAAACTGCCGAGGCGGTCGTGGAGCCTACGCTGTAGATTGCGTTGGAGTTGGGATCCTGGCACAACATGAGCACCGGCGTTCGTGCATTCGTTCAACCTATTGATTATTATTCTGACTCGTCAATCTTTTCTTCTGTATGACGACATGTTCACTTTAATTGCTTTGTATGAACTACGTTCGATTAGCCTCCCTTAGACAAACAACACGATAATAGAAGTTGTTCAATTGTCTCGTCTAAGTTATATGGACTTACTTGAGAGTATCTTCGGTCGGTTTACAGTAGCAAAGCAAAAGCCTTGCTTTCTCACCGTGTTCTACGTCATAGCATCAGCAAGTGAATGCGCCAGGGAAGTGCCTTCAGAGCTTTCGGTACGACTTCCATACCAGACCATACCAATTAGCCGGCCATAAGAGAATAAATTGTCAGGGACTCCGGATCTCTGGCACTGGCACTCTAGAAAAATGATGATACGACGAGCAACGCCATAAACCTGGACTCGGTGCCAGTTTAACTGGAGCAAAGGGGGTGACGTAGTCATCTACTCGACTTGTTCGTAGCATAAAAGCCAGGCGGGTCACAGGCCTATCATAGGCCCTTCTAAAGCCGCTGACCACGGGATCTTGCCGTTAATTGAAGGATTGCGCCTGGAACATCGAATGATTCGAACTCAGGGAATTGTAATTGAACATATTGAAAATTTCGGACTTGTAATGGTCGACATACCTAGTCGGGCAACTCAATCGGTCCCGCACCTCATAGTAAGCATATGTCAGCTACCATTGTAGGATGGATTGTTCGCGGGATAGCACCTAGATATAGAACATCGATACAAAGGAATGGCTCTGGTAAGCTGCTTGCACTGCATGAAAATTGACAAACTTTTGAATCTTAGACTCTGATCCAGATCACAGAACCTATTCGGAGGATACAAAAGGCGCCATGCCGACGTCGATTGATGTCATTCTTAAGTGCCCTCGAGTAGATGATATGGCTGGTGACGATATAAGACGCCCACGAGCAGAGCGCGATCGTCCGATTTCTGGAACCAGAACCGGAGTTCCTCGCAAGAACCTTGAACAGGGTTTCATTTCCGAGTTGGTTGTCTAATAGATTACGAATGGATTGAGAAAAAAACGAAAGGTGGCGCCCAGGATAGCACAGGACCTAGGAATAAGGTTCAAGGAGTAGCCGAAGGCTCATTGCGATATGGTTCACGGAGTGCTGTGAAATCGTTACGAATTTTTGGCAAGAGCTAACCAGTTCAAACACGCAGCAGGATCCATCCGAGCCTCGTGTCCGAGATTGCGGGTAAAATCTCTCCTTTGAAGTTGCTAGATTAGTTGGGCGCAAGTGTTCGATATGATATTTTGGTTGGATGGTCGATCGGATCTCCTGTCAAAGTTGTGAGAAGACGTTCCATGTAATATTTTGCAACGAATCATGCCCCCACCGACTAGCAACAATTAGCAATAACGGCATGTCCAAAAATGTATTATAACAAATAAGTACAAACAGTTATCCTCTCGCTTCATTTCCTTTTTGAGCTAATTGTCTTGCTCACTAGATTATCAGTCATTGATTTCAGTTTCTCATTGCTTTATTGTTATTGGGCATTTAGGAAGCACTGTTTTCGCATATCCGCATCCATTCCTTGACTACAGACACAAAAAGCCTTGCCGGGTCTTACTTTCAGACACTTGAAGACAAAAAGCACCAGACCTACTTTTTGTTCTCCACCAAGATCGCAATAACTTCTTGACACGCTCGCCCAAGATGGACATACACATCAGCTCTTTCAGCTATAAAACACGCCAGAAAATCATGGTCGAGGTTAACCAACAAGTATCCGAGCTATCCACATTACATCCTTATCACGATGGCACCAGCAGCAGCCAACTACTACTCCGCTCCTCCCCATCCACACCAGAAGCAACGTGGCTATCGCATCTGCGATACTTGCGGTGCAGTTGAAAACCCAGCTGCCCAGAAGTTCAGACTCTGTGGTGGTTGTGTAAGTCCCTTCCCTTCCCTTCCACCATCATCCCCCCTGACCACGTCCTTATCTTTCAATAGATGACCACCCAGTATTGTGTAAGTTACTCAGTCTCCACTAGCATGACTTTTGTCTAACTCAAATTATAGTCTCCCGAGTGCCAAAAATCGCATTGGCCTTCCCACAAGACCATCTGTCAGCACACCGCTGCTCAGATGTCAGGTGCAAAACAGCAGGCCATCGGGCCTGCATATCCTGATGAAAATTTGGCGAAGTACCTTCGCAAGTTTACCTCAACACATTCTTCACTTCTCGGATGGGCCGGCTTCCAGGCACTTCAATTAAAGCGTCTGCCTGCCAATATCCGGCAAAGTGCGTTGCTTATCGAGCTGAGCTACAACGCTCACGCCGAATCACTATATCGGTAAGTTCTGGTCACCGGACTTAGAGGGTATAATTTATACTGATTCCGCGTAGTTTCTCAGTAGCAAATACGCATATAGTCTCTCGGACATATGTAACCAGTCATGATCCCCTTGTAGCCGCCGATATCAGCCGGCGAGAAGAACGCTGTCGCCGCAGTGGGGGAATTGGCACACTTGTTATACTTGTACAGTGTGGTGGCATTTCTCAAGTTATGCCTGTGGAAGTCGACCCACCTAGTAAAATTTCATGGGATCCGCGAGACGATTGGGCAGAAGTCCTCCGCCATTTCGTTGAATCTGGCCGAACAGATTTCAAACCTATATCCACGACCGCCAGGGGGTAAGTAATCAACGTTTGATGCATCGGACCGTGAAACTGACCGGATCGTATCTTAGGGTCGTTTATGGCTAATCTGAGATCATCGCCTCCCTGACTTATGATTATCTTTTGGCAACGTGGATCGTTGCATGACCAGCATATTTTCGTTCCTCTGCATCGTGTTCGGACAATTTGTACTATTTGCGTCGCATCCATTACAACCCATCATACCTCACGATTCCATGTTATGTTGTAATTGTACTGCATGTCGATTTAATGATTATCATTCAATACAGTTGAAACTTGAATCCGCTCTCAGAGGTCATGATGTCACTGGAAGTTTATGGAACACCGCCTGATTATGTAAAATTCATAGATGGACTCGAACAATACGTCGACCCTTCCATCCATTCCAATTTACTCAAAGTAACATTGTCCCTGATCAATAATGACTTCTCAGACAAGGGCACACACATCTCCGCCTGCTGACGGATCCCGGACGATTTCTCTACAAGATTCGCAGCCACGATCAGAAGATGAGCCTGGGGCTGTGGGAACTCTCAGATTGCGAGGAGAATCACGCAAAACCCGTCAGCGAGTTGCATGGGATGAAGACGTGATTGACAATGAAGGATGCGGAAAGAAAAAGTCAAAGAGTGAGTGTGATCAGTCTTGAATTCTTGTGGCGGTGTTGACTGGACCACCCCCCTAGTCTGCTGTATATACCACAAGCCTCGACGGTTTGACGAATCATCTGAGGAAGAATCATCTGAGTCAGACTCTGATTCAGACTGTCAGCATAGTGATTGCCCACGTCAGAGAAGGATGCATCATTTAGAAGGAAATGGGCATAGTGACAGACTTACTACACGTGGGGCCCCTAACGGGGGAGTGATTCATGAGGTCGAAGAAGCAGGCTCGAGTGGTAATGCGTATGAGCGCACGCCAAAAAAAAAGTAATTAGGTATGTGGTTGAAGTCATCGAGTATGGAGCGTTGCTCTGACGATGGGCATGTCAAGCCTATCCGTCGGGCTATATATCCTCGGTACTCTACCCATAGATTTGTAGAATATATAATACGCTTATTCGCATACCTTCAGGGAGCATATGTACCGCATACATTTGGATTATGATCATTTTAGAGACGTCTTGCTCCTGTTCGAGTTGTGGAAGTTTCTGACTCCTACTATAATGGAGGCTCCAATTTCTACGACTTGAACTGTGACCTTGACTTGGTACTTCAACCATGTATCATCCTTTCAAAAGGCCAAAACGCTTGCGAGAAACGACAAATCCCTCGTCGTATCGAGCGCGTTCGCCGTCTCCAAGATTAAAACAACGGCATCGTGGTCCGACTCATCCGCCTTCGCCCAACTTTTTACAGTTTGCTGGTTTTGTCGTTGCAATTATCATAACTGGTACTCTCTATATCTCGTTGTCGAAATTAGCGTCGCGACGCACAGGGACTTCACCTACTCCATCATATATCGAAATAGGTTCAACTCGAATACGTTCACTGGCACCGTCACCAAAAGTCATTGACAGAACCGTCCTTCATGTCCTTCATGATATCCACGGACCCGATGATCATCACGATTTATCTCCCTTGACAGTCTCACGACCCCATCTCAAATGGCCCCCGATTGTCACCAGAATTCCTGAGTCTAAAGATGTTTCAGAACTTGAACGTGCAGCCGTTCACGCTCCCAGTATACTGACAGCTTTGGCAGGTGCTGACGCAGCCCGATTCGACGAATCAGTTTGTGGTTCGTTTCCCTGTCGTTTTCTTCTTCCCCTTCACATCGCGGAGCAAGAACCCAAAGCCTATTTCCATCTCCACCAACTAGCTATCCTCGCAAGCAGCCTGAATCGCACTCTCGTTCTCCCGAATGTAGGCAACAATCGTATAGGAGCTTGCTCCAAATGGCCACTCGATTCATATTACGACGTGGATTTGCTCAGAAGCGCCCTCCCTGCTATCAACACTTTGCCTTTCACTGTGTTTGACAATTGGAGTGAAACGCGTTCTATCTTACCTACAAGCAGAACCATCTCTTTCAGTGTCGGGGAACGAGATTCACTACCAGATCCTCTCACTGACGACGATTTCACCATCGATTATGGCCTTGCAGATCACAAAGTTGCTTCCTGTCTGGACTCAAAATTTCCCAGACTTCATCAAAGCTCTTCTATGACTTCCTTCACGTTCTATCGCAACAATCCGATCAAGCAATCGACAAGCTGGCATCTAATCCAGATTCTCTCAGAGGCTGTGGATTCCGTGGAACATTTCTCAGACGAGCTTGCCGCGCTTCGGCTATCTGACGTGTTAGCCATCGAGTGGGATCTCCGCCGCCCAATCTTCCCTGAGCCCAACATAGATCTGCAATACTCTCATGCGCTTGTTGAGCTTGCGGAAAGATTGGCCAGCTTCACAGGACCCTATATTGCGGTGCATTGGCAACTAGAACGCGTCCCGGTAGAAAATCTTGCGTGGTGTGCAGCATCGCTCGTCTCTACTCTTCGTTCAGTGCTCGAAGACGATGACTCGGGGCTTCAGCTGGTCTGGTTAGCTACCGACTATCACACCTTTTCAAAACAGCCAAGTGGCGTGAAGACTAAGAGCGCGAGATCTGGGACTTTCCGAGCTGTTACGCCGGAAATTGAGGAAGCCATGAACATCCTTCAGGACGCATTTCGGACGGGCGGTGATTTAGACGGATATGCCATGACCGAGCTACCATCACAGATAAAGAGGTTAAGAATGTTCGAAGGGAACGTTCAGTTTGAAGAGATTCAGAAGGACTCGGGAGTTTCAGGTATCCTAGATAAGTTAGTGTCGATGCAGTCTCAGGTGTTTGTCAGCGGATCTAGGGCTTGCAGCAAGACGAGGTGCGTTTTCATGACAGCATTTGGTAATATTTGATCGACGACAGACGACAGTTCCTCTTCGAAGCAAATAGTCGAATTCCGAGAAAGCGTCAGGAGGGATAAGGAAATCGCTCTGGACATCCGCAACGTTGTGGAATTATTCGGAGAATGGTAGCGAGCTTAGCTCCTGAAGTTGAAGTAGACAGATGAGAAAGAACGCGAAGGAGAGCATAGTATAGTCATGCATGGAACATGCTCATACAAAATTTTGCGATCACCGAGGGAAGCAAGTTCTAGCACTCTGTCCGAACTCATAGCGCCTCATAAAAACCGACCACCTACTCTCTAGGTGCACCCCGACCAACACCTGCGAATGATGGCCTGTAATCGCCTGGCGCACCACCCTCCTTCTTCCGGTAATCGTCGCGGTCGCCGCGAGGCGCGCGGTAAGCACCGTCGCCACCACCAGGGCGTACAGTTGCTGGGCGTGGGGGGCGAGCAGCCCGCTTGTGAGTCGAAGGGACGATCTCGTTGGGGAGGTGTAGCCTATTGATACATGAGTCCGGGTAGATACGATATGATAAGACTACACACCACTCCCTGAGATATTCAACGCCTTCAGGGGTCAGGACATAGTAATACCACTGCCACGAAAATTGGGTCTTGACAAAGCCCTTGGAGGTCAGGCTCTGCATAGCCTTGATGACCTGGAGGTTAGGAACATCGAGCTCTTCATGCTTCGGCGCGTTGTAATCTTTCTTGGCGACCAGAACACCCTCTGAGATCAATCGATAATGAGCTCTGGAAAGCCATCGCAAGGCCTGTATGCCAATGACCCACCCTTGAAGAGGTTCTCGTAGATGGTGCGCCTGTTTTGTTTGGTGATAATCATGCTGGGCTAATTGAATAAAATGCGGAAGCTGGGTGAGAGTTAAAATAGGTTGGACAGTGCTCATAGGAATCAAACGTACTGCGATGATGATTTCGCACTTGTCCGGCTGAGGAAGACTGGAGTCAGTCATGTCATCCAATTGGGAGGTAGCTCATCCAGCCATGGGGAGTTTCTGACACTCTTCTTTGCATCCCAACATACCCCAAACAGCATGAACAGTACTCACAAGGATTTGACGGGCAGGAAGGGCCTTGAAATGAGTCTTGACGTCGAGCTGGACAGCGTACGCGTGCCTTTCGGACTAGGTTTCAACGAGCAACGGCGGAGTATGAATATTTCCAAAAAAGGAACTCTACCCAAGGCGAACGTTTGCACTTTACGAGAAGTAAACCTGTAAAGACTTCCTTAGATCTATCTGATTCTAAGGCCTGAGGGATCACAGAAACTGATACGATTTGTTTTCAAGGTAAGGCAATATCATATAATATGCCATGCTCAGCTACATTGATACAAAACAAAGGCAAAAGGTGGTAAAAACACACAGAATCGCACCGACACTAGTATTGTTTACAGGCTTGATGCATAAGACTCTTCCAACAATCATGACGGCTGAATGACGAGACTTGCAACCATGGTCCGTAGGAATTTTACAGCTCAGGCCCCCCTTTCGAGCACGCGGATCATCCTCTCGATGTCGTCTCCGGAAATTGGATTCCTTGCCCGACTAAACCACTCGTTCAGGCTGAGGTCGCTCATTGTAGTAGGAGATTGTCTGGTCGAAGGCAGCTTCCCCATATCCGCGTTGATGTGTCTCGCCTCTAATATGATATCTTCCTTATTCCTTGCGCAAAGGGATTCGTAGTAAGAGTTGTACTGCCCCTGGACAGTCCTGAAATTCTCATTAATACTTTGTCAACCATTTTTGATAGGAAATCCTCGTACTTTGTTTGCTCTTTATCGCGCATTTCAACGGCCCGTTTTGCAAATTCGGAAGACACTGGCCCTTGACTGTGATAAGCAGCTCCAGCTGCGCTTGGGAAAACAGTTGGCATATCGTCCCGTGATAACGTTGTGTTTGTTTTACGGTTCAGAAGGAGCGGTGTCTGTTGAGTACCCTGACGACAACCCTTGACCTGCGCATCGAGACTAGAACCCTCGAAAATTTGACTCATTGCAGGCTCTCGCGCGCGGTTTACTTCGGCAGCCCATCTGGCCACTTTGGATGTGACACGCTGGGGAGCTGGACTGAAAATATCTTCCGAAATGGGCATGCGTAGTGTCGTTGTACCTGAAGGCTGGTGCAACGAGGCCCCGTGGGCTGCTGACGTTCCCAGATACACTTTCGGCGCGGAGATATGCATATCTACAAACCTTCGCTCCGCAGCAGCCTCAGCTGCCCAATCAGGGACGGGCCCGTGTGTTGAAGGACCTCTGTGAGTTTTTATGTGATTGGAACCCGAAACGGTCATCCGAGGGGGAACGTTTCGATGAGTCGCGTAGGCTCTGGCAGAGTGCAAGGACCGCGGTCTATAGGCCTTCAATGCAATGTGATCAGGTAGATCAGTCATGTACTTCCTTGAATGGCCCGGGGTAGGGTTTGGGAGGTTCACATTCAAAGCGTGGTCGCCTTGTTCCAGGCCTGGTCCAACGAGTCGCAGAGGCGGGTCATACTTCATTAACGTACTTTTCAGAACTAAGCCTTGGGGTGTAAAAGACCCCGCATGATGATTCAAGAAGTTCTCGCTAAGAAGCACGTGTGGCGGTCTTCCTGACTGGGGCATTGCGGAGCCGGACTCGATAGTTTCCCCGATACAATGATTCTGAATCGATTCTGATGACTGTGCCGAAGGAGCGTGGATAGATGCGGACAAGAGCCGGTGGAAAGGTGCGTTCGTTCCCAATTTTAGAAAATCCCACATCTCACTGTTCGTCTCCTGACCTTCAAGATTGGAATTAGATGCAGAATAAAGTTTGTCATCTGACGCTATTTTAGTAGGGCCTTCCTTCATACTTGGAGGGCATCCCTTGGTGTTCTGAGATGTCGACGGTTGATCGTCGTGTGCAGACAGCTGTACGGAGGAAAATTCGCCATGTATCGAAGCCTCGGGCATCGTCATAAACAAAACATCCTCCTTAATGTGCGTCTTCTGTGGAGCCGAAGAGGGGATGAAGGCTAACTCTTTCGTTTCCATAATCGCCTCGGGCATGAACATTTCATTACCTGGTGCCAAGCACATCTTGTTAGGGCTGTTGTCTTCGCGTTGATCGCTGTTCTCTTGACGATGAACAGTTGAATTGTCAAACCGCCTTTCATTCTCGCCATGGATAATCAATGAAGGCTCAGAGGCCGCGCTGTGACTAGGTGTCAAAGAATCCGCCTGAATGACCCCATGAAGCTTTATGCTGTCCGCAGCTGGATCGCTAGGGGATTCATCCACTGATGACTTAGTCCCTGGACAATGACTAGGACCTTTCAGTTCAGGGACATCAATCACGACACACGGATTGACAACATCCCGATTATTATGGAAACCCTTCTGTTTCATAGCTCCAAGCTCGGCGCTGCCGGGAATAGTTTTTTTGTAGACGGCTCCTTCCGAGTACATCGGCTGCTCGTCAGGAGCTCTTTCTTTTGGCGTCAGTCGGGTAATAGGATACCCTGTTTTGCAAGGAATTGAGGCTGTCGCCGTTGCTTCATCATCCCCGGAAGGCACTAATGGCGAATAGGCTTCTGGACCCTCGATTTTAACTACCACTGGGCCTCCAGAATCCCGTGAACAGGTGGCGTAAATCTCAGGTTTCCCGGTGATCGCGTCAGGCACGGTATCGTCAGGAGCGTCTAGCCTGATTTTGAGGTCTGAACAATCGGTATGCACTTCCTGTCCGCCCAGTAAGGCGTGTCGTTCGATAACCAAAAGCTCGTCTTCACCACTGATCTGGCCACAAGATGTATGGAGCAAGGGTTTATCGATCTGCAACTCGTCGATAATGCCGTCTTCAAGACAATCTTCGGAACTTGGGCTTGCATCCCCCAGATGCGGCTCGAGTCCAGTAGTTCCATCACTGATTTCCTCCAGCAGTGCGGCAATATCGACGCTCTCACATGCGCTCGTCTCATCGTTTTCAGCAGGCGTGATGGTAATGATCGGAATTTGTGTTTTTGTGGCCGGTTTCCTCTGCACGACATAGTGGATCGCCTCGATACCCATTGAGATCCAACAGAGGCATGCAGCGAGCAAGGAATAAAACCGGTTAAGCATGAAGAGCGGCCACCTCCGTGCAGTCACCACGAAAATAGTGGTGTAATGAACAGCGATAGACGATATGTGAGTAACCTTGCTGAAGCACGCTGCTAGGATCTTGACAAGGCGCGCTGTACCAGTGCGGAGACAGTAACCGAGCTTGGAGATTACTTCTTTCGTGATGGACCATGACCAACGGAGGGCAGGCATGGGAAATGCCACGACACACCGAGCGACTGCGGCACCTGGCTCTATCATCTGAAATATCCCTCTCATAAGGCTCGCCACACCAGGGTTGATAAGCAGTGCATCACAAACTACAACCTCCGAAGACCGTTCGAATGGTGCAGCGACGAGCATCGCGAGGACCTGTGCAGAAGATATCACCGGGGTATGTCAGTTTAAGGCGATCGGCTTCGGGGGTATAGGACTCACCGATAGTATGAGGTATGCTGCACTCAAAGTGAGGGCATAACGGGTGAAAAGCAGGACAGGACAGAAGGTGATTATGCGCGGGGAGAAAGGGGCGAGTGCTTTGTGCTGCTTCTCGCCAGGCGCGGGTTCCTGCTGGCGCACCCAGGAAGGGAATATTACGTTGCGCATGCGCTTCTGTGATGGGTGGAGTGCGCCTGGGGGTGGATTGTGAAACCAGAAAGCGTGGCTAGGTTCCGCCAGCGGATCAAGAACCCAAGGTGTCGAGGTTGGAGATAGTAGTGTTAACGTTGTAGTAGCTTTATCGTATGAAGAGATAGGAGAAGATGTGGCTATTGATGTTGAAAATGATGGCTGAAAGTGAGCCAAACCCTCTGGAAGTATGCCATTTTTCGAGTGTAAATGAGGAGAACTAGGTCCGAGAAGTAGATATGGCTGAAGATATGGGAGGGTGTACAAAGCCTGCGTCACGCGTATGTTGAAAATGCGAAGCAGCGTGTCCAGAAGAAATGCCCAAGCAGTGACTTGGATCTCTGGAGGAATCATTTTGAGCGCCAATAGGATCTATTTGAGTGTTGGTACAAATATGTTGATAAAGAGAGGTAAAATGGAGTGAGAAAGATGATGAAATGGCTCGAGAGGGAGATGTTCAACTGATTGTGCTAATTCCAAGTCGACGTGACGACAGCACGTGACTGAAAATCAATGCTAAACTGGCAATTGCAACTTACTTACTTTCTGCCGGTTGGATTGCAACGTTCTGCCGCACATTTTTCATCCTGTTTGTACTCGGCTTTCAAACTCGCCCTGATGCACGACAGCATATATTTACCCTTTTATCTTCTTGTTGTCGCAAACCATGAAGTCATTCTTCAGAACTATTGCTGCAAGCTTCAAAACCTGCCATAACGCAATGGCTGCTAGCGGTCACGGTATCTTCGCCCTTTGATATCATTCTATGGTGGATATGCAATCCCTTGGCCAACTGCTCCAACAGGCTTGCGGTGAATCATGTGGCTGAACGTGGAACATTCCATCCCTTCTCATTGGCTTAGTATCAATATCGCTGTCTTGGCCTTTGTGGTTGGGGTTTGGTTCACTTGTTGTGAACGAGTTTCATACGCTTAACGAAGTTTGCTCCACTCTCGTCCCTCAGGGTCCTGGCTATGAGAATGTTTCGCTTGTAAACCAGGTTTGCACAAAAGCTGGATCGCAGCTTCCCATTGATAGCAACATCTAGGCTGGATTGACGTTTGACTTTTGATCGAGTCATCTTTGGAGGGTGGGCCGGTCCTGCTATGTGAATAGCTGATGACACCACCCCAGAACTCTATGTCAGGATTCATCAGCCTTCAGCGGAGCTCTTCCAGGTCTTTGACAGATTACTCCTCCTCGGCAAGGGTGGACGGACTGTTTACTTCGGCAACATTAGCGAGAATTCATCGACCATCCTGAACTATGGTGTCCCATGCTGCGACCCTGGCGCCAATCCGTAAGTAAGGTGGAGTCGTGCCAGGTATGGTGCTTACCAATGCATTCAATTGCGGAATATATACTTGACGTGATTGGTGCAGGGGCAGCTGCGGCCTCCACAACTGATTGGTATCATGTCTGGAAAAGTTCATGAGAGGCAATGCAACTTCAGGTTCAGATCGAAAAGATGCACGAACATGGTCGTACTTGCCCACAACAGCAGCAGCCCAGCGTCCAGTATTCCGTCTTCGCTACCTCATGGTCGCACCAGTTCATTACCTTCCATACAGCGTACGAAACCCGTGAATGTTCTAGTAGGATGTATCACTGGACCGCTCTCGTCGTGTCACAACTTGCTGCTGAGTTTCTTTGGAACATGCCAAGGGCGGCGATGTTCTTTCTCTGCTGTTATTGGACTGTCAGATTTTTCACGGGCCGACTGGCAGACTACATATTCCTCGTGCTCCCTGTCGCCGTCCTGTTGTTTTATACCATGCTTGGACATGGCATCGCGTCCATGGCACTGACCACTTCAGTTGTAGCCCTGTACTTTACAACTTTCCTTATATTCCTCTTGATCTTGTGAGATGCTCGATTTGAATGACGTTGCATCATACTAACAGCACACCAGTGACGGCGTAATCGAGTCATTCATGGAGCTTAATTGATGGAAATGGATATATAAGGTCTCTCCTCTCGTATACATCATCGAAGGTCTCATTGGTCAAGGTCCGTGAATGATATCTCACTGGATAATCAATACATCTTCGTGGCTATTGGCGGGGAAGCCATTCACTGCTACTACACGGAATTAGTCTCCGTCAACCCACCGAAGGGTTTGACGTGCGACAAGTACATAGGTCCCTTCATGCAATTTGCCGACCGCTAGCTTGCCAGCCCCGAAGCCGCAGAAGGCAGCCAGTTGTACTGTCCCTATGCAACTACGGACCAGTACATGTTCTCAAATTTCAACATCTCATATGGAACCTTGGCATTATTTTCGGATTCGTCGTTTAATGTGCGTCACTGCCGGATGTTGCTTGGATCTCGTGCCCACATAGCATCTTAAGATTATCACTGTTGTCTGATTCACATATTTCGTGTGCATTCACACTGTCAGTGTGTTTGCTTCTCTCAGGCAGAAGTTAATTGTGGCAAGTAGATTAATGTGATACCTCGTGGATGCACTCACCACGGGGTGCCGTTTGCAGCCTACTGTATTTATAAATCAATACAATGTACGACCCTTCTAAGACCCGGAACCGTGATACTTTACAAAGGAACAGACCGTGATGAGTAGTCGTTTCTAGCCAACAAAACCCTCGAGGCTCTGCTTTTTAAAGTCAGAGAATACTTCGCAACATCCTATCAACCGCCCCGAACGTGCTCACTGTCCACAAAGATATCTGCACGGACAAAATTGTTGTAGATCTCGTTGGACGTAAGAAGCGTGTCTGTACTGTTCGGTGTCGCTTCGGGGTGGAGGAAAGCAGAGAGTGGCTAAACATAGTCAGCGATGCCGTAGGATGACAGTCGTGCAGATGAGAATGTTGAAGGCACCCAGAAAAAACAAACAAAAGACAAAGAAGTGACGTACCTCGTGAAACTCGAGGAATGCTGCAGCTGAAGGGAGATTCAGTAAAAATACATGAGAGGGTCTGGGACGTACAGCCATTGATATACCCGTCGTCCTTCATTCCCGAATTGCCGTGAATCTTCTTTCGAAACTGCTTGTTCGGATGGTTGTTCGTGTAGAACATAAGGCCAGCCTCTGTGCGTCACATATTCGACATCACACGAGTAAGCGCAAGTTGAAGGGCAAACACACGGTTCGAATCAAAATCGACCTTCAACCCCGATTTCTCGCTTTTCAACTGGACCACCGGTTCATTCGTGCTCTCAAATATCTCTTTTACCATATTTAGTTCCTCTCCTGCAGTATCAAATTCTTTTGCAGATATACGGTGTGGCGAAATTTGTTCGCATGGGCGAGGAGCAAGAAGATAGTAGTGGTCATACCCATAGTTTGGATATCCCTCTTTGATTAGTTTGTCGTCGTGTTCGTGCACTGTGCCGCCGACTGGGCAGTATTTTCCGGAGGGGAGACCATTTGGAAGGAGCTCAGCAATGTGGCTCGCCTAGGATGTGCGTGCTCTTAGCCCCAAGGAATAGAGTAACAGAGGTACGACTCCTGGCGCACCTTGATATTTAGCTTGTGATTCTTCACTGAAAGCTTATCATTCCCATTTTCACCCTCCTGCAAGCTTGCATCGAGGTTGAATCCCCAGTGCTAAATTGGATCAGCACTTATCTTCTTCAAGATCATTCAGACACATACTTGTGTCAAATTAATGGGAGTGACACCCTCATTTGTTAACCTTGCCCTGTACAAGATCACTATGCTTCCCACCTTTCCTTTCTCACTTTGTGCAGGAGGGAGCAGCGCAACGAGCGTCTCGAGGTACAACTCCCCTGGATAACCTTGATCTCCGTCTTTTGATGTGTATGCATAGATAGCTGCATTATCAGATGACTCAGAGGAGCTCTGGATAGTGCGGATCTCAGCAGGTGTGAAGAGCTTGGCATTTTCGAGGGGCAAGCACTGCCAAACTGCAAAATCAAACCCCAGGAGACCGCCGTGCAAAGAAACTTCAGGAGACTCTGGCGAGATGGCGGGTTAGACAGAGGTACATGTTTGAGGAGTGGAAGAAGGGCAAGATTCGAGACCAAGACCAGAATAGAGCACGAAGAAATCGATCGACAGCCTTGATATCATGGAACCCACCATTGCTAACGGGCTTTGTCAAGCTCTCGAATCCATCCTTCTTGACTATATGTTCCCCAACCCGCACGCGGTTGGCATACCGTCCGATGATGGTGTTTGTGTATTTGAATGTCTCATAGTCTTTGGGATCTTCAGGACCGATGAGGATATCGTGTGTCTAATTTCGTTTCGATTAATGAATAGTCGTGAAGGGAAAGTATTATAAAAGGCGGGGGATGATTTTGATGAAATATGTCATATTCGCAACGAGTAGTATTTGGTCAGTAATTATAGTCACAGAGGAGATGCAGCACAAACCTTTCCCTCTACTTGCACAATGATCCTATGGATGGTCACGCCATGCGGGAGGACCTGTACATTCATGAGTCAATATCATTAGTCTTCACTCGAGATTCATTCCGGCATAAACTGTCCTTTACAATACACAAACTCGGGGTCGTATACCCAGACTGCTAGTACTATAGTGAAGTCGAACAACCAGAACACTCACCTCAACAGCAAGCGGCGGGGTTATTGCCGATGAGAGAGATAACCACTTGCCCTGATATCGCTTTTCCATTATGTCCCGTGTTGCTTGCTTTCCGCCCTTTGTAGTGGGTATTTACGGTCCAAGGCTCGTGAGAATTGTGCGTCGAGCAGTGGTATTATAATAGTTTGGATGGTTTTATGAATTTGAAAAACATACAAACCTACGACAAATCCCGTCGTATCATCACCTGACAATGGATGTGCTGTCTCCACAGGAAACACGTCAGGTCTGTTATCTGAACGCACGAGCGAAGTCATCTCATTTTACTCTGCAAAGAAGAGGCTAGCATAATACACTTGAAGTTCCTGTGCTTCAACAAAACTAATAGTAAGTACAGTCAGTCCAGCGTCGCATCCTCTCCCAAACCTCTCACCAACACCCGAGTGGTGCCCTCGTGTACTCTGGTCAAGTAGACATCCTGACTGGCTTTCCAGTCTGATGGTCATTCCGTCAACTTGAACACTGTCCGAGGAACATCAGCACGCCGAATAACTCTCAGAATCAAAACCAAAAAATTACCACACGCGCCCATCCCCGGCTCTGTCGCAAACACACAGCTTGCGAGGTCCTCCTCGCTCATACTCTCATATGGCGCATATTTCTTCTTCACATGCATGATGAACGCCTCAACATCGTCTCGGTGTATGAGAGAGACGGTGCAACCACCCCAGCCAGCGCCTTCAAGCGCATCAAATCAGAGGGAAACAAGTTGTATGAAACAGAACGTACCAGTCATACGACTCCCATATATTCTCCCCTTTCCCCGTCCTGTCTCCAATTCCTTGAAGCTCCGCGCAACACAGACGAGTTCGTTCACTTTCGGATGGGAGCATTCGAATTGCCTGTCACAACTGTCGTGTGAGTCATTCATAAGTTTACCGAGGGTCTGGAGTTTGGATTCTTCGTTGCCTGGTGAGTAAAAGGTTGATGGGCAATATGTCGATCAGCATCGTCGAGTGCAGATAGTGTTATTTAATCGTCACAAAACACCCAAGGCCCAAGGGAAAAAAACTGCACCTCCTTCAACTAAGCAGACCTCCCTGAACTGTAGCACTCTGAGCGCCTCTTCAAAAACGTGTCGAGCACGTAGATACAGCTCAAAGTTAGTTGTTTCCACTGATGGATGTTTAAATAGAAAAAGATGTCAGGACGAGCATGGGAGTTTAGCAAGTTAGAGTGATGAATAAAATGGCACCATAAGAAAGCTTACCGTCCACCCCCGAAAAATACGACTCCTTAAATTCTGCCTCGTTCATCCCACTCTTCTGAATCATCTCATCTAAGGAAATATCTGTTCTATCACCAAAATTTGGCAACAAATAGTCCATAGTATTTCCCAACATGTTCACCAACCCTTTCTGAAGCTGCACAAGATCTTCCGACTGCGCATCTTGCTCATCTTGATAGAAGCCGCTCTTCCGACCAAGGACTTCACGTAGGGTCACAAGACGCCGCTTCGTGTTGTCACCATCTGCGGAGTCGACTTGGAGATTAAGATGATGAGAGAGAAGGCGGGCGGCTGCAAGAGTCTCCACAACGCGGAGGTTGTATTGATGTTTAGCGTTTTCTGCTTTGTTGGAGACCACTAGGCTGTCACCGATATTAAATCTGTCAGGAAGTTTTGGACAGTTATGAACTGGCTATATGTACCTATTAGCACAGACTAACACGGCATCGCGCGGAAGTACGATTGGTTCCGCATGAAGGGAAGGCACGAAAGAAACATATAGCGCGCTGCCAGGAAGAGCGATCACGGAAGCTGATTGGTCCATCCTGCAAGGAAAGTGAACAGTTAGCTACGTGGAAAACACTACATATCGAGAGCTAAATTTAAACACAAAGTTGCCACAAAAAAGGACCAGGTAAAGCGACACTCACCCTCCACTATTCACTCCGACTCGTCTCTCATTCTCCACTGCCATATTTACCAGCTCACCCTTGGTTGGGGCCTTTTCCCCGTCAAAAATATCGTTGGCCGCCAAAAATGCCAGCGTACTGGAGACGACCATGGCTGCACTGCTTGAGAGACCAGAGCCAGGGGGAACATTTCCAGTGACGAGAATGTCAACAGGAACAGGGACGGGGGATATGGACGATGGAGAGAAGAAGTGATTTAGAACACCCTATACCGACAATTAGGATACGGACATCCATGGAGAATTGAAGTGAAGGCGAGGAACGCCCCAAACTAGAGAATGAATAGGACAGGGGCAAAGACACATACATAATATCCTGCCTTGACATAACTCTCCCACCGTAACTCGCTTTTATCGATATCCAAGTGCCAGGGAGCGACGCGCACAGCGTCAAGGGGAACATCATCGCCAAGCGTGTGACTGCGAGTCGGCCAGAAGACCTGGCGTGCGTAACGAGTGTGAAGGTTCTCAGCTACGACAGAGCCCGGCGCATGGCCCTCAGGATGCGCAGCAGCGGTAGACGCTGACCGCGGAGCACAAGCAATGAGAATATCATGTTCTATAGCGGCTGGAAAAACGCCGAAGTCGGCGTAATCTATGTGTTCACCTGCCGTCAGTTAGCATTGCATACCGCGGACAATTAATGAAATCATAGTACCAATGAGGCTGTGTTATACGGTGAATGATGAACGCCAGTGGGAAAAGGAGGGAGTGTGAACGTACTTGACTCGGCCTGGGGCTCGGGTGACATAGGTAGGTTTATGCCCGAACTTGGACTCAAACTCTCTGACAAGGTCATCCCAGCGTTCTCTACTCAGAGAAATTAGATATTAGTGCCGACCTAGAGTCCAGACTCACGCATGTCTGGCTGCTGTCGCAAGACTGCCATATACTTCATTCAGGGTGGTAAAGATGGGGATTGGTGCATCAGCTGCTGGAAGAACTGTCATCCTTGTAAGTATGAAATGAACTGCCCCAGCCCTGCCGAGCCTCGGTGCAGAGCAAGGGCGGCCCGGGTGAATTATTGATGCGTACTTGCGTTTGTTTGCCTTTGTTATATGGAACAGTATGGCGATGGTCACGTAGATATTGTACGATATGGAGCTGTAGTCGAGCCCCAAACTGATCCACCCTCAACGAAAACATGATTACTCTCCTGATCAATATGCTGTCGCCATGACCTGGCTGATCTGCAAGGGACTGCTATGCATGCATGCTCCGGCCCGATCAATCTGAGACTCGTGCAAGTGTACCCTTATTCTTGTACCTGCATCACGCGCAGGAAAAGAAGTTAATTTCATGAAGAATCATCCATTTATCCTCGAGCTCGTTGGTGACTTTCTACTATTTTGTCTTCATTATAATTAATTGCTTGCCCCTTTATCAGTCATGTACGGCCTCTTTTGCGCCGACTTACAGTCTTCCTTGTTATCACCATCGATCAAGTCTTCGAGGTCGACCACCATCAGTTCTCTTGTAGACCACTCGACGTTGTATCAGTTAGATCCCGCGGGCTGCTATCACACCTGATCCGCGGCTCCCCATTGTTATTATATAGTGGCCCAGATCGACACCCCCTCGCGTCAATCTCATCTGCTCACCCATCACAACTGCTTTCATCTTCGCTGCCACCCCCAGATTTCAACCCTGCCGGCATGACCAGTTACGAACACCTAGAGATCCAGTAAGTTTAGAACACCCACTGCCCATACTCGTTCCCTTGACTTGGAACCGAAATGCTAACAGATCATGCCTTTTTTTATTACACTCTCAGATACCCGTGGTCTCAGTATGCCCCGCCCATATCCGTACACGCCGGATCACTGCCACGTTCCTTGTCGCCATGGTCCGACGACACGCCATTCGTCGAACGTGAACAAACTATTGTGGGCTCGTTCTCTATTTTTTTTGATCGTGGGGACTGATGTGACGCGTATATCTCAGTGCTCCGATTTCACATGTTGCGGGTTGTCTCTCAGAGACCTTCACTCATTGGTGGATCACTTTGAGGAAGCACATGTTGTAGTGTTCGACAACGCTGGGAATGCTGTGTACCCGAACCCTAGTCCCATCCTGCGCGTTTTAGATCACGAGAACGAAGGTCCTTACAAGAGTTTTGTATTGGGCTATCCTGCACCAAAGGCTCCTGTGGCGTTTCTTGACCCGGAATTTTGTTTCGAATCAGCATCCGATCGCTCTTCACCCTCTGGCAGTTCAGAGTCGATCAGTCCTGTAGAGACGAGTTCAGAGGAATGTCTATCACAAAACTCGTTCACAAAAGTGAAGAGCAAGCCAGTTCGCACTGGAAAACGAGTCCATCGACCTGGTCAACGAAAAAAAGACAAGACATATAATTGTCCCGTAAGCATTATTTGATTACGCCCACAAGCTCGCTCTGTTAATTTCCGCTGTTTAGCGTCCTGATTGCACCAAAGTAAGTCTAGGCTCGGCGTATTCAAGAGAAGAAATCAACCCTAATGGCAAAACAGACATACTTGAATGCAAATGGGTTGAAATATCACCTCGAAAAAGGAACTTGTAAAAATGAGATGCCGATGCCGGAGTTCTACCGCTAGTCCGAGGTGAGGCAGAGTCCACCTGATCATTTGAATGTCCCCGCATCTAAGTACGTGTGCAGACCGAGTAACCCGCACAGTATGTACCCCACAAGTTGCAATCCGCGGGAATTCAGGGTCAAACCTAGTACTATAAACGCCGGTGCTACACCAGAAGCAGCTCGTGTTAGTGTATATACTACTTCCGCCAATTCGTTCGCAAGCCAGATATATCTACTACTATGTCAGCCATATTTCGCATTGACGTTGAACTTCGCAGGATGTCGGGTCCGTTTTTTCATCTCGTATGAGATGAGTCCTGATAATTGCGACTTGTTTCTCCTGTCTCGTCGTCGATCTCACGTCTCAAACCATAAAATAAAAAATTGAGTGATAGCGTGATTTTACCCCAAAAGAATTTGTTTAAGCAGATTGGTTAAAAAAAGTTTATTAACTCAAGGGTTGCCTGCGCAAGGGTGTTGCCACGAACGATCTGGCAGATATTGAAGTTGGCTGTTGGTTTACGTGGAAAGGAGAACTGGTGACCATGCACATGATTCAAATTTGAGTCTGAGTTGTTGTAGGGATGGAAATAAAAAAAAATCAGGATAATCGGGGGTGTCAGGGCATGAGGCCGGTGTCGTTGTGCTGGCGGTCGGACCGGGAAACCACAGGGCCAAAAGGTGCAAATCGGGACAAGTGGTTTCAATGAAACCTCACTCTTCAAGTAGCTCTCTCTCACATCCTTCTCTTCCTACATTCAAGACCATACAAGGCCTTGCAAGGGCGTGTTAAGACCAGCGCCTGATATCTGTCAAGTCCGATATCTGGTCCGGCAAACTAAATACCAGAATTCCCTGAATCCCTCATTCTAGAACAACTGGGATTTTTAGCACCCAAGGTCTTCTCGCGATTTCAAACGTTGATTACAGTTCCCAAAGGCGCTCGTATCTTCTAACGTCCTTGACTTTACCCCATCTCCATGCTCACAACCTTCCCTGCACCTGTTCTCTCTGTCACACCCGATGCAGTGAAAGATCTTCAAGGGCAAGATGCCCTCTCAGCTCTCTGGACTAGTAAGTTCTAGCTATGTTATCAGTCAGCTTTCTAATTCTCTTTCTAGTTTTCACAAAGTGCAAGGAGTCGCTTCAGGATGGCCGAAGACTTGAGAATATCTCTTGGAGGCTATGGCACCGTGAGCTTATTCTCGCTCAGCAGTCATACCTGCCTCCTACACCGGATTCCATCTCGAATCTCAAAGTATCGTCCGATACCCGTAACTCGTTCTTCCCCCTTACCGACCCTGTCGAGGTAGTCCAGCCATTAGGTATGTCCGAGGATCATTTCCTTTTTCGTCTTTGCTCATCTCTCGCGTTCTCCTTGTGTTCCGCACATGTAGGCACACCCCCTTGCCCGCGTTCGACATCTATATATCAACATCCTCCATCCCCTGCATCTACGACGAGTCCTGTTGTTCCTGAGCGTCTGTGCATACCCCAATTCTCATCAGGCACCCCCGTAGCACCGCCTCTCAGCACTTCCTTCCGCCCCAAATCGTCTTCGTTTGTTGGCCGAATAATAATAGACATGTTGCCAAATAATGCTCTTATACCCGACAAGACGCCATCTCCGCCTTCGCTTCAGCAACCTACCGTGCCATCCGTTCAACTCCCTTCGACACCTACCTCTACAGAAGCTTACTTTCCGCGCGTTGTCGTCGTCAATCCCACGCCCCAACCTACTCCACCGATGACGCCCTCCCTCAGCGAAGAACCAATCCATGCTTCACAGCCTTCATCAACGTTCCTTCTACCGCCGCTTCCCCCGCCCACACTAATCATGAAACGTCAAGCGCAAGCGGAACAGCCGCTCCCGCAGTCACCCCCACCAAACGAACTATCACCGTCTCCGGCCCGAGGCGCCGAGTCCTCGAAGGTCTCTGGAAGGTTTTTTTTGCAGCAGAGCCCTGAGGATGTGTCTCCGGAATGCGATGGTTCAACGGAGAGCGGTAAGAGCCGCGTTGATTTGTTCGATGCGTCGAGCCCGGCCTCCAGTCAGATACGCAGCACTGATAATGAGAAAGAAGTAACGAAAGAGCTGAAGGAGAAAGATCGTGCCGGTACTAAGCCAAAGAAGGGCAAGGAATTGGGGAGATCGTCTGTTCGGCCGGCCTTGGCAAAACGGACCTACTCGGCAAGGCACATCGGACCTTCGATTCAGCGCAAGCATTCGAATCAGGATAGTAAACCGCGTGCTATGTTTAATATTGGTTCGAACTCGTCGAATGGGTCCAAATCTGCTAATGGGAGTTCGGCGAAGCTCACTCCACCCCCACCCCCACCTGCCCCTGTAGTTAATGGATTGGGCACTGTGCTTAACGGTATGACGGTTACCGATGCAAAGCCTGCACGGCTAGTCGTGGCTCCCCTTTCTGCTGCGAGTGGTAACACCGTAGTCAACGGAAATGCTCATGGCGTTGTCAATGCTGCTGCTGATACAAGTAGTGGCACGGGTCCCCAACAGCGGAAAACCATCGTTGTCGCCAGTACCTCGGAGGAAGACTACGAGACCACTGATGCGGATGACTCCGGATGGGCCTCTGAGGATATGGATGCTGAAGACAAAGCCCGTGAAACTGAGGAAAGTGGACTACGTGGAGCTGCACTGGAGGCTCAGCGCCAACGTGACCTCTTCGCCAAGGTTCCCAAGCGTTCATACTCGAATCTCAATCGCACACAGTCAGGGCTACTTTCTCAGCTTATGAACCCCAACCCTGCAATATTCCCGCCAAATCATCCGTATCGCTTGAGTCATTCAACCGCGGATCTTGTGCGGATGCAACGGCAGGCTCAGCGTGAAGCTGAGCAGGTGCAGGCTCCACAAAGGAGTGCTAGTGGGTTTGCGGGGCCTGCAAGGCTGCAGACAAGTAAAAGTTCGGCGGCGTTACCCCTAGCTGCGCAAATCACTGCTACATCGAGCTCGAAGCCCTCATCGTCTGGAATGAAGGGGACGGAGAACGAGAAAGGGGGGTATAGGCCAAAGGGACGCCCGAAGGAGGAAGAGATGGAAGATGAGAGTGGTGAGGACAATGACGACGACGACGACGACGATAAGATCCAGGTATCGCGCAGTGTAGCCCAGCAGAGGCTTCAAGCGCTAATGTCGCGGCGCGCACCGGAAAACGGCAATGCGTCGCAACTGGTTCAGCCTAATGTGGCGGTGAATCATGTCGCTCCTGCCGCGCAATCCACAACACCTATACCCCTTGGTCATCCGTACAACCTTCCCGCTCCTGCAATACCCATGACGCCGCGCACAACCCGGCGAATAATGCTTCGTACAGAACTGTCAGAGAGCATGCGGAGGCAATTATTGTGGGAGCGGCAGGTAAGCAGTACTACCAACCCAGCTGCAAACGCAAGACGTGCGAACAATAACGTGCTTGGTGGGTTGCGACCGCTTTCTTCGACAACTTCCGTTGGCGAGAATCCTAGCGCTACTAGGAGCGCAGAGGCTCAGGATAGGGATGAGCGGAAGCGACGCGCAATGGCTCGAAATCGAAGTTGGGCGGACGACTACCACTACTCAGGGTGGTGATTTTCTTGCTGGATTCTGCCAACATGTGGATCTTCTATAATCTGGTGTCTCTCGCATATGTTAAGGTGTCTGTTTTCTCATTGTCTTGTCTAATCACGCGGCACTGTTGCGTTTATCTCTCTCTTTTCTATCGTACTTTAGTACTCGCATGCTCCACCCGCGAACATGCTACTGATACTGCAGGGCGGGGTTTCTCTCCCTCCTCTGCCGCGCGTTTTACTCATCCTTATGCTGCGCTTCCCCCCGACCTTCCTCGTATCGTTGCATCTCCCACACATAATTTGCACTTGCATGTCATACTTCGTCCGCGTCATCCTCCGTCATCCTCGCTGTCCATTTACGTTGTAATAGTAGTCGCCTTAATTACCATGTAGTTATTCCTATGGATTAGGGTGATGTGTTCAATTTGCTTTCGAACTCTTGCCTCATGTACTCATAGTGTGTATAGTAGGATGCAAGTTGTACATATAATAAAGACAAGGGGTTCTTCCGTTTACGGTTATTCAATTGGGATCTGAGATCTTGCACTCACAGGACTACGTTACGGACGCGGCCACCTTTTGACAAGTGACATTGACAAGCGAAAATTAATATTTGTAAACTAAATAATTATAATTTAAATACGAAAACTGTGGTTGCCCATGAATTTCAAGAGAGTTAATGATCAGCCCGACTTGATGATATCAATATTTGAAGTGTATCATTCTGAAACTCACGTCTGATACTCCCACATATGCCGTAGGGTCCTGGGTTACGAACGCCATCGGCTTTAAGTATATCTTTCCATTAATATCATTAATTCTCGCGTACTCAGTACCACGTGAATCCTTGATACAGCCCATGCAGTACCCGCAAGGGCTCAAACTTATTCCACCATGTCATCCGCAGAAGACGACTATAACGAACACGATAATGCACTGACCTTGCCCGGATCCAAAAAACGCAGAGTACAAAGGGCGTGTGATATATGTAGACGCAAGAAGAGTGAGTATCACTTGTCCTGGTTTGTTCAAATCCGCTGTTAATTTTGGACGTCTGATACAGTTCGATGTGAGTCAGCTCGCCCCCCGGTGGTCACCCATCAGTAAAATTGACCATGTCCTCTCTTGCTACATTGCTTGTTTTAAGGTGATGGAAGTCAGATGCCAGGGAATCGGTGTTCCAATTGCATTGCGTATAATTTTGAATGTACGTACTTAGAGGCTGCGAAGGTGCGCTCTCCCCCTCGGTCATCTCCTCCAGTAGCGCCTGACCCATCCTGCCCTAGAAACGAGGTCCCCCAAAGGGGTAAGTGTGAAGCAATAGATTTCCCGCATCTACCAAAGGTACTTACTGTCGACGATGTCTCTACACAGATATGTAGAGAGCCTGGAGAATCGTTTGGAGAAGATGGAGAAGCTTCTGCAAAAGGTCGGTTTGTTGCGCAGATACTCCTCGTGATCGTCGCTCACTCCAACCCAGCTCTGCCCTGACGCCGACTTCTCTCAGGAGCTCGGAGGCGGTCCCTTGGACAGGGAGGCCTGGCAAAAAGGCAATATGAATGGCTCAACTAGCCATGTCATGAGCCCTTATGCTACAACTCCCCTCGAAGACCTCGTAACCAGTGATGATGACGAGATAGTATCCGTCCGCCTCGCTGATCACATGCAGAACATGTCTATCAATCCAAACTTGTCCCGTTTCTTTGGAAAATCAAGCGGTGTAATGCTAGTGCAAAAAGCTATCGACCTCAAAAAGGAGTACATTGGCGATGAAGATATCCAATCTGATTTCAGGCAACACAAAGGCCGCCCTGAGTTTCGTGGAACCTTCCCTGTGCGTATGGTCACCGCTTTTTTGTTTTGTTTCTAGAGTTAACATCTCATCAAGTGGGAGCTGGCCGCGAAGGATGTTATTGAGCCGGCCTATAACTTTCCTGAGGAAGATCTTGGTACTTCCCTTGCCGATCTCTACTTTGCGCACTATAATGTTCTAACTCCGCTGCTACACCGGCCAACTTTTGAGCGCAAGGTGGCGCAGGGGCTCCACTGCCGAGACGCGTCGTTTGGGGCGGTATATTTATTAGTCCTAGCAGTTGGCTCGCGCTTCTCTGACGATCGCCGCGTCTGTTTGGAAGGCCAGAGCGAACATTCGTCGGGATGGAAGTTTTTCGAACAGGTACAAATGGTCAAGAAGACCTTACTTGGGCCACCACGTCTGGAGGACCTCCAAGTGCATTGTGTAAGTGTCAAGCCAGCTTCCTTCACTGAATTACTAACTGGCACCTAGCTATCTGTCATTTATTTGATGGGGACTTCGGCTCCGCAGGCATGTTGGACCATCGTTGGAGTCGGTATACGTCTTGCGCAAGATGTTGGTGCACATCGCCGCAAGGCTTACGGCAATAAGCCCACTGTCGAAGAGGAGCTCTGGAAACGTGCATTCTGGTACGATTTAAACTACTCACCGTAGCACATTGCGTCTCAATGTTTTGTCTCAGGGTTCTCGTCAGCCTAGACCGATTGGTGAGCTCATCATTGGGACGACCATGTGCGATACAGGACGAAGAGTGGGTCTATCTGCGTCACTCTGTGAAGATATGAAGCTGACCGAAATCATAGCTTCGATCTCGACATGCCTTTCGAATGCGATGATGAATATTGGGAACACCCGGACCCGGACCAAGTGTTCAAGCAACCTCCTGGCAGACCTTCTCTGATATCGCACTTTGTCAATTTCCTGAAGCTCAACCACATACTCGCATTCGCCCTCCGTACTATCGTACGTAACTTCTCGTATGATGACTACCGATCAATGACGTGCTGCAGTATTCGATCAACAAGCTGAAAGTACTACTTGGCTTTGTTGGGCAGCAATGGGAGCAACAAACAGTTGCAGAGCTTGATTCTGCGCTTAATAAATGGATCGACGCTCTTCCTGATCACCGTATGTATCTTAACTTGGATTTCGTTGTCGCCGCTGCTAAATTTTATAACCAAAAGTCAGATGGGATCCAAACATGGAGATTAATGACTTTTTCCTGCAGTCATATTCGCTCTATTCAAGTTACTATCATGTCCAGATTCTCATCCACCGCCCATTCATCCCATCACCCCGAAAACCATCTCCTCTATCTTTCCCTTCCTTGGCGATCTGTACGAATGCTGCTCGATCTTGCAGCCACGTCATGGATGTATATCGATGCCGTTCTGGTAAGCCGGTACCTTATTCGCAGGTGCGTCAAGGAATTTGGATATCTTATCTTTAGTCCATCGTAACATTACTTTAGATGGCTGCATTCACGGCAGGTATTGTCTTGCTTCTGAATATCTGGGGTGGAAAACGCTCTGGACTGTACACTGATCCTACGAAGGAGATGGCAGATGTGCATAAGTGCATGTCCATATTGAAGTCGTGCGAAAAACGGTCTGTCGACTTTTTTTTACTTCGGAAGAATGTCTCTCATGAATTCATAGCTGGCACACCGCTGGTCGTCTATGGTATGTATATTTCAATTTTGATCTTTTTTCGGTGGAGGGCTTAAATTATATGAAAGGGATATCTTGTATGAACTGGCATCTGTCGGTGACCTTCCACTGCCCCAGCCTAGTCCGTCTGGCGGAACCAAACGTGAACGTGATTCAGGTAGTCCGTTATCTGCTCCACCTACGACTTCACCGTCAGAGGTACCCCGTGCCATCGCAGGATCGCGCCGCGTCGGGCGCGAAGCAGCTGCTCACACTCGATCGAAGCCTGCGAGCTCATTTGATCTTCCACTCTACAGCAATGATCTTGGGCGCCTACCACTCCACGGACAATTGAACTTCCCTAACACGTCTCCATCGCTTGGTTCGTCTAACAATAACAATAATATGTGGTACTCTCACGGGGGTGGGAATTTGGTGCAACCACACGTTACGCAGACTTCTATGCAAAACGTGCCTCTGCCTCAAGATTATTCGCAGGCCGCTGTTTCTACTGCGTACACCGTGGATGATATGTTCTATGAGCAGATGACCCAGTATCCGGCGCAATATCAATCAGGGACCTCCAATTCCTCGCCTTATAATGACGACCCTCAGGGGTTGCAGAGTATGATGGGTGGCACACATCAACAAAATGTGCTTCAGACGAACTGTTTTGACACGGACACGATTGCCATGTGGTCCAACGCTCCCACTGGTTTTGAGTGAGTCACGCTGATTTGGGCTAATTTAAATATCCCCTGCTGATAAATGCACAGGCTTAACGACTGGGGAACGTACATCACGAATGTATCTGGGATAGTAAACCCCGATGGTTCGGCCTCACACTCGAGGCATGGGCACTAAACTTCACAATTGTTTGATATTCTTGGCTTGCATCCATCATATTTGATAATGCCCTAATGTAGTAAGAAGTACATACAGCGCTGGTCTCACTCGCCTCATCTCTGTAGCCTTTCCGTAGACTTGTACACATGACAACTTCAGTAGTATTGTGGGCAGAGCTCCCGCACATCCAAAACCGGTTTAACGTATGAATTGAGGTACTTTAGAACTCCTCCACAATGTATAAGCTTTTCGAACACCTCACGCGCTGACCTTCGCTATTATATCCACCTTAAGAATGTTGCCACGCTCGCTCGCGAACTTCCTGGTGTTGATACAGAGCTTTAAACCGACTTTGCATTTGTTCCTCAGTCTCCGGTGACAATCTCGATGGGCACTGAGGAGAGCATTTGACCTGCGGCGCGTTGACGATGGATTAGCGCATATGGGTCACGGATCATGATGATGGGACTTAATATTGATTTCAACATGCATGTTGCTGTCGGCGAGTGGTCTTAGATAATGAAAACAGCACGTGATTCTGCAGCATGTGCCACCAGTGCCGGCAGAACTACCTTAGAATAGCTCTGCCCACAACACTAGATCAAGGACCCCATGGCATGAACTTATCAGGAAAGCGGGAGTCCGCCCAAGATACGTATGTTGTCTATGGAAGTTAATTTAAAGTCGCGCAGCTAATACTTCATTGAAACTTCCATCAGCAAACATCTCTGAGCTAGTTCTAACATCTTCATTTCAAACATGTCGACTCGCATCCCTCTTCTTTTTGTGAGGAATTCGAATGTTTCCTTTAAATGTCGCGCTGATATATCTTTAAAAGGGCACTATGACAATGGGGTTTGAGGGCATGAACGGAGTGCGGACGACCAGCGAGAAGGGCTGTCAGGAAATCATAGACATCTTCTTTAGTCACGGTCATACTGAATTGGACACGGCACGTATATATGCCGGGGGCACCACTGAACAGGTGGGCACGCCGACGCGCAAACCCTGGCGCCAACTGAATGGTTTTCACGCCAGATCTTGGCCAAGCTCGATCTGAAGAATGCGACGATCGACACCAAGTACGTTGTATTATGGTGATCTTTCAACACAGGACTGATGTTAGGGGCGTAGAGTGTACCCTGTTAACCCGGGAGATCACAGCCCACATGCATTGCGGTCTATTTTCCTCACGTCCCTCCAATCTCTGAAGCGCGACAAAGTCCGTGTTTTGTATTTGCACGCTCCCGATCGCAGTGTTCCATTTGAGGACACTGTACGAGAGATCAACAAGCTCTATACAGAGGGTCGTTTGTGAGTGTCCACGTCCTTTCAAGCGAAGGAACGCAATCTTACGTGCCCATCAGCGAGATATTTGGTTTGAGGTGAATATATTCATAGAATGCTCTCCCAAGTTCTAGGTCTAAGACATACAACAGTAACTTTGCAGCATGGGAAGTCGCAGAAGTTGTCGGAATCTGCAAAGCGAATGGTTATGTGCTCCCAAAGATCTACCAGGTGTTCGTACAACTCCAGTTTGTGATGCATAGAAGGTGCTCACGATGCACTTAGGATGTACAATGCAATCACCCGGGAGATGGAGCCTGAGCTTCTTCCTTGCTGCCGCAAGTATGGCTTGCGGCTCGTCTGTTACAACCCACTAGCGTGAGTGGGGTTCGAGAAATTATCTGGATGAAAGCCTCATCACAAGATGTAGTGGAGGTCTTTTTGCAGGCAAGGTGCTTTCCACCGAGGAGGTAGCTCCCGATGGTGGTCGCTTTGACCCGAAGTCGAAGATGGGTCAGATGTACCGAGCACGGTACCTTAACCAAGGGTACCTTAAGGCTCTTGAGATTGTGAAAGCCGCTGCCGTATGTCCCTCTGCCACTGACAGTCTATGGGACTAACGACTTGAGCAGGACGTACATGGTCTTCGTCTTACAGAGGTTGCCCTTCGTTGGTGTCAACACCATTCTTTACTGACGCCGGAAGACGGTATTATCCTAGGCGCTAGCAGTGCAGCGCAACTAGAGCAAAACTGTGTTGACTCAGAGAAAGGGCCCCTCCCACAGGATGTTGTTGATGCGCTTGACGAGGCTTGCACAGTCGTGAAGGCATACGGAAGCACCCCATTATACTGGCGTTGAATTTCCGTCGAGCATAGTCAAGAGTGTAGTAAACTGTGACAATTGAATTCATTGCCATGATAATGAATTTCAACGAACACTGCCACGGCCTCAACTCAGCCAACTATAACTGTGAGTTGCTGGTATGCTCCAAATCCGTAGCGGCGGGCGAGCCCCCCGACTGTGCCTAGTGTAGGACTATTTCGATACCAGAACTGAGTGCTGAGCTGCAGCCTGGGCCTTTCAAGGAGGCCTGTCACGGTATTGACTTCATGTCACAAAATGACTCACAATAATATTGGTAAACATCAAGTCGACTTGATGTTTGCTACCGTCAAATGTCACGTCGATGCTCACAATAACATGCAGGTGCGGTGGTCGCGAGCGCAAGCAATCCCTTTCTTGAGCCATCTACTTTCATCGATCCCCTGTCCAACGGCACTGCCTGCACCCGTGATCTTCCCTACTTGCAGGAGCTTGGTGTCAATGCCATCCGTGCCTATAGCGTTAACTCATCATTGAACCACGATTCTTGCATGGAAACGTTCAGTAATGCTGGTATTTATACTATGTGGGTACCCATGAAGCATTTTCAGCCTACCAGTCCATTGACATCGTCTAGCATCGATCTTTCTCTACCTGGAAATGGTTCGATGGACCGCGACGCGCCGTCCTGGACCACCAATCTACTTGATTTATACATCGAGACCATCAACGTCTTCTCAAAATACAACAACGTTCTGGCTTATAACGTTGGAAATGAAGTCGTCATCGCAGCTAACGGCACCGCTGCTGCTACCTTCGTCAAGGCAGCTACTCGTGATGTAAAAGCATACCTGTAGGTTAAACCTGAATCCCCAGATACATGTAAGTCTCCGTAACCCTGGCTTGAAATTACAAGAAACTCACCTGTCTGCTGCGCTCATACAAGAGCACTACAAGGGCATATAATATGATCAACAGACGTGCGTGCTGATATAAGCTTCACAAGACCATATATGATCATTTACGCTACGTGTTGTTTTGTTGATGCAGGTCACTGAGCTCAGCGCTCAGTTCTGGTATCGGAACAGTCCTACACTAGGCACAGTCGGGGGGTTCGCCCGCCGCTACGGATTTGGAGCATACCAGCAACTCACTCTGATCGGGGGTTTCCACACTTTGCCTCTTGATTTCAATCAAAGACCAGAGGTGACTCCAGAACAGTGATTTCACTTGCGGCAATTGGTAAATCTCAGGAGTCAGGAAGAGGTTGTTCTTTCTTGTCGCATCTTTTATCAGCAAGTTCATAATCTCGAAGTCGTCCTGACTCATTTCACAATGAAACATGATCATCTCCACACCTGCCAATAGCACGTTGGCTTCGTCTAGTGTTGCCGCAGTCCGGCTCTGAACCTCGGTCGAACCTGAATCTTCCCGAACCGAACCTCGAGCGTCTTCGAAGTTTTGGCAGGTGTATGTCGGAAATCTCTCGATCGCACGGCTTGGACAAAAAGTAAGATCATTGTTGCTCGTTTATATCAAGGTTATGATGTGAATTCTTTGACGTTTCCCCCACATCTCCTGACCAAAACTTTGCCCCAAAGTGCGGTGATACGCTGCTACATGCACAGTGTGTCAGTTAGGTTGTTGACACATATTTATCCTTAACTCGCGCGTCAGTGTCAACGGCCATACTCCACCGATGTAAAATCAAGAATGTGACTCACCCAGAATCCTGGCGGTACTGTCATGCAGGTGAGTTATGTTATCAGGTCCAGGAAAATGCTGATACTCACGCATATTTTATTGCATCCTTCAACTCTGCAGGCTAATTTTGATCTGCATGTTGAGGGACATTTCTGACTCGGATCGCGGCCGTCGAGGCCAGCTGCATCGCTAGTAGTGGGCATGGCAGAGCTTGATGATACTAAAGCAGCAATGACAGCGAGCACAATTGCGGAGGAGAAATGCATTGTTTGCGAATCGTGTGTGCGGGATCAGGTAATTCTGAAGGCGATAGTAGGAAGACGGCTGGCTTTTATGTGGTTCTCCGGAATTACTGTTGCATCGATGTGCCTTCAAATGGATACATATTTACGATTAATGCTAGCACATTGCCATATTGCTAGTATTGTGGGCAGAACCAATGGCAGAACCTTTCCTGCAGAATGTGGCAGAACTTCCGCGCATGTCAGGTTCTGCCAGTTCTGCAAGCGTAGAAAGTTCTTCCCAGGTGCAGCATTGTCGGAAATTTCCATAGGTGCTTTGCAATGTTTAGACATCATTTAGCCGTATTCCAAGGAACTCTTAGAGCATTCCAAGGAAGCGACATTATTTTTGGTAACTTGCACATTCACTGATGTGCGCCGCTATGATCAATTTTCACTGGGCCTGAACTTCCGACATCCAGCTTGCTCACTATTCCGTGGATTGCAAGAGTCTCTGCGTGAGTACTTTGCCCAATAACACACCACCTCATCTTAATGACTCGCTTGTCAAAGCACATCGGAAATTGAGTGACTATTATACGAAGTTCGACGAATTACCATTTTACATATGGTCTTCTCGTAAGTATTCTCTTATATCTATCGTAACGGCGGTTAACCGCCAGTCCCCGACTCTGCCCAGCAGTAGCGCATGTCTCGCCTTGTCTCAACTTACCAGTCACATTCTTTGCTTATTTCGAGACTTCTGTCATGGATATTTTACATGTGAGTAGGAAGGGTATCAAGAAAGGGTAAAATTCGCGAATTGGTTTTATATACAATACAGTGGATTTAACACAAAACAATATTGGAGGTACAAGTCTTGAGTGCAGAACACCAAGTACTGGAGTCTATTCCTCCATATACTCGAGTTTGTCTCCAACTACAGCAGAGAAGGACCCCTTTTTGGTTGGTGACTGACTCATTGTCTCTGATGCCTTGTCTGCAGCCTTCCTTTTCCCCTTACCATCTTTGATCAGGTTGACGAAGGCAGCCTGCATGTACTTCTCACATGGCAGCAGCTGCATATGCTGTAGCATCATCTGATAAATATGGGAGCTGTTGGCATCACAAGGGTTGGAAGAGTTGCTACAGGGCTTAATGGTCCAGCTGCATAGTAACATTAGAACGACAAACACCGAAAAACAACTAAGGACTTACAGCTTCAGAATGACCTCCAACTCCACAATTGATCCCTCTTTCAGCTTTGTCTTGTATTCACTGACGTGAATTTGGACACCACGCTCATCACAAATGTCAAGAGACTGGACCCTCATGCCACACAGATCATATGTGGTCAGTAGAGCGGAGTAGCAGCCCTTGGAATCTTCAAGGTCACAGATGCACCACGAGCGACCTAGCATGTGTATAATCAGATGATGTCACAGTCCATCGAGACATGAGACTTAAAACATACCTGCAGATTTCTGAACAATACATCATCTGATTATAAAGGGGTCAGTCAATCAAAGTACGTCTAAAGATATCAGCGAAGGTACATCAGGATCAGCTGAAATGACAACTACTTTTGAATCACGTAGCCTTTGAGAGCAGACCGCACAAACGGGCAGTTCAATCCACTTTGAAGCATCATAATAGTGATGTAAGCAATCTAACACAACATCCTTTGAGACTGACTGGCCACTCACGCCAACAGACAATACCAAGGTTGTGTTCATCAGCTACCGCCTGCATTTTCTGTTCTTTCCTGACCATTTTCATGCACTCGTGAGATGAAACTTGAGTGATTTGCGAAGTGAGACGTTCCATCACCACAGCTCCGTACTCTATAGATAGTATCTATGCAATGTAATGTTCGTCAGGCTGATCTGAAGGCAGAGTGAAAGGGAAGTAACAAAGCAAGATATCACACACCATACTGGGGCCAATACATTGCAAAAAGAGAGCACGATCTCAGACATGACAGGCAAGACCATTACACATTTTTGCACACGATTAACTGCTAATGGCAGGACGTCCTCTCGTAGGCAGACCATGAATACATTCTGAAAGCACATCAATAGTTAGTTTACTAAGCCTATAAACTAGATCTTGAAGCGGAAGCATAGACCAACTGATTTTGGGCACCTTAATGGCTCCAGCAGCATAAATTTGAAGTGGTGGCCAACAGAGTGCACAGAAAACCTCATCTCCATACAAACTGTTGAAATATGTTGACAACCGAGGCAAGAGAGGCAAAGTACACTGTGTACGTACTGTAGCACTTGAGAGTATCGTTTGCAGCCAGTCCTTGTCTGATTGGAGTAATGTCATCTGAGTGAAATGAGACAGCACTGCACGCAGGTGACTTTTTTTTCAATTGACCCCTGGGTAAAGAGAGCCGGCATACACAATCAAGAAGCACTTTGTCAAAAAGAGTTGAGAAATTCACCTCTAAAACACATTCACTGTAATACATCCATCTAGGAAAATCATCTATTCTAGAGTTTAGGTAAGTGTTGACTGTCAGAGAGCGTAGGAAGCAAGCTTGCAAAAGAATACACAATGGCAGTAACCAGCCTCCACAAATTCGCCCAGAGACATCAATAATGTAGCACCTCACCAACACAGAGTAATACAAACACCATCATACGAGATGCATCCATCAAAGCTGGACAAGTCGCAAGTTAGACAGAAGAATGAGTGTAAGGCAAGAGAGGCTCTGAGCCATGTGCAAAAAAATTTGAGTGTTTCATAAGATACAAGATGATATTGAGGATAATAAAGTGCATCATAGTAATGTGGATAGTCTCGGACAGCATGAAGCTCGTCACAGGAGGGCAGTGGCTTTCCTTTAAGATGCGAGCCAAACGACAAGGCAATTTTTGAATGAAAACCCTGAGGGACGACCAACACAAATGAATCAAAAGAGATGACGGAAAAATCGACAAACACTTACGGTCTATCTACTGAGAATGAGAGCGATGACAACAATATTAATGACAAGAGGCAATCAACGAACAAAAGCTTTCCCCACTGACTAAGCGCAACAATTTTTTCCCACTTCCACGGGTGCGTTTGCAGGTGTTTGAACGTTTCTGTCCAAGAGAACCCTCTCCACTGATGTGGAGTCGGGGATGGTGTTCTGTCTACTTATTCCTTGACACTGGATAGTCCTTGACCCCCGAATTTCGTTCGAAGGTCTTTCAGCTGACTGTGGCAATGACCGTCGACCACAGGCTAGCCTGAGTGGCTACAAAGCCACTTGGAACACACAAAGGATCAGTCGTGTCAGTATTATCAAGACAACTACCTTTCGTTGCAAGCTTCAAGTTCCCCTGTCACTCCTCGACCTGCAGCAGCAGACTCAGAAACCTTATCTGGATCACCCCAGAAACTTAACTTCACAGCTCGGTACAAAAAAACGTCCAATGAACTCAAGGATGAGCTCGAGGAATACTATAAGCTGCCTGTTGAGGATTTTGATGCTTGTGACCCCATCCAATGGTGGGCAGGCCACCGCTCACAATTCCCAAACCTCTCGCGTCTGGCTCGCGATATTCTCGCTATTCCTGGTGAGTTTAACCTGCTCAAAACATATAGGTATACCAATTTTGCACACTGTAGGCCTGAGTCTGATGCATCGAAGTCTCAAATCACTGGCGACAAGTCCATTGGTACCCTCTCCGAGTCCGAGGTGAAACAGGACACACCGCCGAAAGACGTTACCACGACTTTCATCCTCAATTTTCAGAAAAGCGATATCAACACTTCCGAGCAGGAGAAACAGTCTAACGATACACAACAGCCACAATATATTGAAGTGTCGACTCCTTCCCTGCAGCCTGGGCCTGTATCTCTTCCTGTGCCCCATGTTTCACTGATTACTACTACCCATGACACAAGCAACTCTCCAGAAGCTTCATCCCACACAAACACAGCAGATACCACCCCTCAAGACTGTCTTGATCATAGCACGACACCGTCGACATGAGCACTTGTATTACCGAGGACATAGAGACACCTGTAGAAGTAACATTTGCAACCATGGTAAGTCACCGCCAACTCGTGCTTGTATCATGTTCACAAATACTGATAGTATTGTAGGCCTCCTTCCCTGTTATCAAGGACCCTCTGTAAGTCTTCCAAAACCTTGTTCAAACTCGGGTACATGTAGTGCGAAGCTTGCTGGCCGAAATCCCTTATAGAATACAAGTTCAATTCCCTCAGAACTACAATTAAGCTCCTCCACAGCGACTACTAAGTCAATCACTCAGGCTTCCCTACCCACCGCTGGCTCATAATTTGTCACTGTCTGATTTTAACAAGCGCTCCCAGTCAAAACTGGACATAGCCTAACAATGTGCATATTCTGTGAAAGTGCCGACTTCTGTGGGGCCAGATGTGGTGGAAGGAATTGTATCAAAGCCTCATACAGATCTTGAAGTTTCTGAGTCAGTAGAGGGGTTCGATCGCTCGTGGAGCGAGTGGCATAGTCCATAGAGAGTGTATATCGCAAAGGTTTTCCTCGGTCCAGCAACAAAGGACAGGGACCAGCATGAGCTTCCAGACGTCATTTGCAGCCCTATGGCCACGGGTTCGATTATCCTCATGCGGGATCGGGGGACAACCCGACAAGAAGTCAAACAACATTGATGTGTCTGGTCCAGCAACTACACATGAGACATGCTCAAGACGTGATAATGTATCATGGAACTCCTGGAAGAGAAGTTGAGCCCATGAACGAGCATCTTCATGTTTTCCCTTGAACCAGAACATCAACCTTTTTAAATTTTGTGCGCCTGCTAGCATGCCATCAAAATGGCATCTCCAGCAATCAATTCCGTAAATCTGAGACCAGTTAGTTGGATGCTGCTATGTGGCCGTCAGTCACAACCCTGCTATGAATCAAACAAGTATTGCTGACCTGGGCAACCAGACCTGTCAGTGTGATTTCTTCAATATCCTTGGAAAGTGGTGCACAGTGTATTACTACTGGTTCCCAAATCATGAGATCAAGTCCCAAATTCTTGACAAGTATGGTGGAGGGGTCAATGAAGTCCCTGAGCCGCATATCGCTGCTGGGTAGATGTTGGCCTTTGAAACACACAGTGTGAACTGGGCATCCCTGTACAAGGTCATTTAAAAAACAAGGATCGGCAGAGACTTCTGATAGATGTGGCAGAGACGTGGGAAGAAACATTTCCTCATGCGTAGGATAGATATCTATTGTGGGCAGGCCAGCAAGAGCAAGATTACGAATGTTATCCTGCCTATTCAAGAAGCTTAGAAATTGGCGGTTGACATCATAGGTGCAATGAAAAAGGTGAAGCTTGGCATCACAGTACTGAAGGACAGATGAGTATTCATGCTTTTTTGAATGGATGAGCTTGAGTGTTGAGAGGCAGGTCATATTTTTGAGGGCCAACGTGAGATTATCTAGGTGCACCTTGGGACCATCATGAACCATGATTGTTGGATATGTGAATACGAAAGATTTAACTTTCTTTGCAAGATGGGGACACTCTGCAAGCGTGGTACAGACATCTGAGTTGTCGACCGTGATGGACTCGTACAGAGAGTCAACCACAGCATCATAGAGACCAGCGCAGACTCTGCAGAGTACAGCCATGTCATTAGAAGAAATTTTGCTGAAAGAGACAATGAGGAGCCACAACTCAACAGGTAAATTGGTAGTTGGCATGAGGGGCTCTGTAGGTATTAGAGGAGTATCAAGAATAATTGAATTTCACATGATCATGATGCTCCATCGCTGGTTGACTTACATAATCATTGCATCGAGGGATGACGCGGGAGTTCTGCCCGCAATACTAACAAGATGACAATGTCACTATCAGTTTAGAAATTCCATGATCATGTGGTCTAGGAGACACGCAATAATTGAAAAAGCCACTGTCGTCAATTCTCAACGAGCACTTCTCCATCTCGTTGACCTGGCCTTTGTGGACGGAATTGTTCATTGACAAGATCACGCCGTTGATATGATAAGTCGGAATTGAACCTGGAAAACAGATGACTCACCTCTCCGCATCTAGTAACTAAGTAAGCTGCCACCACTGCTGCAACGCCTCCAAACACGCATCAGTGGCAAGGGCTTGGAAAAACACACTGCACGCCAGGTCGTGTCTACTTTTTACCGCAACCTCGTTGATGATTCAGGGAGATTGGACTGCACGCGCTCTGCGGTAGCGCTGCGCAAGGCCACGAAATCGTTGCGCAAGAAGAAGATTCCCTTAGAACAGCAGATTGTACTTGTTCACATAGGTGTGTAGTTAAAACTCGATTCGCTATAAGTTATTTCATCTACTGTATCTCTAGTTGTTTCCATTCCCTCGCTTTCTTGTTGCTTACTTATTTCTGCATGATACTTCGTCATTCTGTACTGTACTAGAGCCACACACAGCGTCCCGTTGAATTAATCTGAGTTACTTCTGCATCGTTAAGCAAAATGCTTTGGATCATTCTCCTCCCACAGACAGGTCGTATAGAATCATCCGGCTTGTCTTTGCACGCTGTCGGGATGTCTGATGATTAAGACGATTTTATCAGCATGACGATCTGCACATCTAACGGAACAGTAGTCCAGCCAAATGTATCGCAACGTTGCGCGCACTGCCAGAATTGCTGTTCGCAGGAGAGTCCCACTCGCGTTCTACAGATGCTGTCACCGCTGGCCAGACATTCGACTGCGTGGATCATTCCATATTGTGCAGTCTTTCCTGGTAATCTTTGTTTGTGAATCACACTTATCTTGTAAAATAGCACAATGTACAACGTTCCGTTCAACAAGCATAACTGTGTACTTTATTGACAAATACAATACCCTAGTGGAGCGTTTCAAGTTGGAGGAATGTTGGACAGATGCGAGCAGAAGGCACTGGATCTTTGTGGTCTCTTGTGAAGACAATATGCGATCTCTAAACACAGATCAATAAAATCCGGAAAACGAGAACAAAAACCCATACCACGAGAAGGTATGCCCTAATATCTTCATGAAATCTTTTGACATAGACCCTATCACCGTGCCGGTGCCAATTCCAAGTTCTCGAGCTCTCTGCTCCCACTCGGCCACCCTTTTGGCAGTGTTGTTCCCGTATTCCGTGCAGAGCTGCTTGAGGATGATATCCCGACTCAAACCAGGATATCCGCTCATGTGTTTGAGCATATACTCTGCCATAGCCTCGAGACCAGAATCAGCGGTCTTCGTCATGTACATGCGCCGGTGGATCCGGAAGACCATCTTCGCTCCCGAATCATCGATCACGAAGCGAACTGGCACACCGTTTGCAGTGAAGAGGAAATAATCGGCTTCTTTATCGGCTTCAAGCATGTCGGCTTGACGCTTTGCAGCAGGGGAACGTTGGCCCTTACAGGGACCTACGCCAATGTTTGCGATATCCACAGTCCCATCCTGATTCGTTGGGAGACCACACATCATGTCGGCAATTGGACTCATTTGACCACTGAATTGCCAAAGGTGGTCATCCTTTGTTCCGCTGAGACCTTTTGAAACTTTCTTCTTGCCACAAGCCTTTTTGTGAACGGGCCAGTCCTTGTTCTGGCAGAATCTAGTGAATAAAACATGAGGTATGACGAAGAAGATTATAGCACTACCACGTACTGGGAGCAATAATGCACTTCGAACTTGAGCTTTGATTTGCAAGTGCTACACACCATGAAATGAACGCCTTGTCCGATGTCTTCTGGTGTTTTCGTACAGTTCTCGCAGCGTACGAGGGGTTTGTCCCTGAGAGTAGTCTTCGCCTGTGCTAAAGCATGGGCAAAATATGCTCCTGTATTCTCCACGACGTCCAGGACATCTTTCATCCCCATGCTACGATGGGTAATGTCGTATAAAATCGACGTCAACGAGCACAGCAAGAAGAAACCTGATACTTGATTTTCAGACACACACAATGTTTGATGAGAGAGAGAAACCCCACCGATGAAGTTGTTCCTGTCAATAGTTGCGACTTCAAACAGGATCTTTGTACTTTCAGATCTCTCTCTGTTAGCACCATTTGAAGTCTGTTTCCACCACGGGTTTGGCAGATCCGACGCCTGTTCCCACCACGAATTTGGTAGGAACGCTGGATTTGACGAATCGAAGACCTCCAAGAAACGAGTAATAAAAACTAGAAAACCCTTCCCGCCATCCGATAGGAAGTTTGAAACAGTGACATCTGGGCAAAAAGCACGACTATCTTGACCCCAGAGCGTAGGTGCCTCAGATGCCTTCTCAAGACCCTGAAGGATATGTCTCATCTGCTCAGAGGCATCCAACAACAACCAAATGGTGTTAAATTGTACTGTGTTGAATGCTTGGCGCAGGTTTCGAGCTGTGCCCTCTTGAATGTGGCGGAGATCCAAGTGAAAGAACTTCAAGCTATCGGGAGTGAAGAAAGAATCATCCAGGAAATGGGAGATCTCCTTGAGGATGTCTGCTGCTGTTGTTGATGCGATCGCCGCCTCCCATTCCTTATCCCACTTGAGCACGTCTTGCTTGACGTCGGGGATGTTGAATTTCTTGGATAAGAGAGGAGGGAATTTCACAGCGCTTGTTGATGCCATTCCTCTAGATGACGACTGACAGGTCTGCTTGATGAACGAGCAGGATACGAGGGAATACGCGTTTAAAACCAACGCTCTCGTATCGTAATAAACCGGATGCCATTATACCAAATATTGATGTGGATGACCTTCAAAGCTTCATGGTTGATGACGAAGAGAAGGGCCATCGTCTTCAAGACGTAAAGCCTCCGGCGCCTCAAGGCTTGATGCTGAGGTAAGCACTTCCGTATCGCCAAGTACATCATCCACGAGGCTGCCTGTAACAGCGCATGAATGGTCGTGAACATGGACCAGATGTGTTCTCTATCTACATGCTTGCAAAAGTCAATAATACAGTGCGTATATATATTACATGACGGATTCTAATTTCTAATGCTATGTCACTGCTGAGTGTCCGTGCCGATGTGTACTGTGTCGAATTTCTTCAAGCTGACCGCGTCAAAAACTAACCCTGAATTGCGCCTCCGATCAACCTACATCGAGATTAAGCACGAAATATTGAACGACGAGATCCCTTACATTTCTGCATTCAAGGGGAGCTTGGGCAACCTGGTATCCTGGTTAGCTGTTGATCATCAAAAAAAGCCTTGGCACCGTGAGCCAATCAAGAAAAAACGACGGACCCTTCTCTCAGTTTGGTCTCCATTTACAACAGTGAAGTCGGTGTAAACATGGTCTCGTGGACGGGTTATCAACGTCGACATGAGGGAAATCGTGTAAAATTGCGCGAGAGATTCATTGAAGACCAAATGCCTGTAGAATATTGATTTAAAAAAAAGCATATACGAGATGTACTTACATGCCATCGGTCTGGTGAAACCAAAGTTGTAAGTCGATCTTTAATACCAAACAGACGAACTCACAAGCGCTATATATATGGCCAGGTCAACAAGGGTCCATATTGCTGTCAGCAGACCGGTCTGCAGAGTAACTAAAATGCCAATTTCTCACTTATTAACACAGGAACCGACTAAAAGTCAAGTACCTCGTATGATCTTTTTTATTATATGATCAGTGTCCATGAATCCAGTTTTATGTTCACGCTGTGGCATGTTAAAGCACGTATGCCCTTGTGAAAATGAGAACTGACAGACCAGAGACCGGACAAGCAACCCAGTAATCAGGAGGTTGTCCAAAGCAGAAGAGGTAAGGCCGACGACAAATACGACTTCGAACCTATGAAACTGGGTGAACACGGGCACCATATTGATCGCAATCGTAGTCCCGATGCCACAAACTGGCAGCCATGAGACAATAACGGTGAGTCTGAACAGTCAGACTACTTACGGAATGCAGTACTCGCGAGAATGACCATGATTCCAATTGGCCATACACTAGACGTCAGGATGCGGATTCTCCAGGCGAAGAAGAACTGGACGAGGGAGGATACAATACCCTTGTACATCATCAGCCGGCAAAAGAGGCTTACGATAGAAGAAAAAATACCGAAATGCCAGGTACTAAGAATGTGATATGGGTAGTTACCGACATGCTAACAGATGTGACTATTGAAGAGAAGTACGCACATAATGAGAAAACTGGAAATGTCCAATAAGATCAAGATGGCGCATGAATTTCGAAGAAACAACACACCCCAGTTGGCTCTGGACAAAGCATATTGGTCCCCTTTGCAATCACCAGTTTAGACTCTGTATCCAGTACGAATAGAATCAACACACCAAAGTGAATAATGAGAGTGTCATTCAAGAAGACGAACTGCAGGATGACATTGGCTGTGCACAACAACAAAAGGGTTGATACCTAGAAAATAAAATCAACCTGCCGTCCGTCCATTTATGAAATACCTCATACAAGAAGTCGTATCCATAGACCGTCACTAGGAAAGAATTGATTACAAAGTGAACATGGATATTAGATTGCATTGCTCACTTTTTGAAGGAAGAAAAATATACGAGTCCCGATGTGACCAGCGCACCGTACAAAATTGCGTTGATAGCAAAGCCTACGAGCAAGGGGCCAAAACTGATTACCAGTGAGTGCGCTGGTAAGACCAGCAGGTATCTGACGAACTTGACGACCTACGAGATTCCAGCAGTAGTAAGCGGCATGCTGGACAAAACCAATAATATTGAGCTGTTCAGCTCCTTGAAACGGTAAGGGGACTAAAAGACTGGGAAAATGGGCAAGGTTCTCATATAAGTATTAGTAGATGATAGCCCATCCGCATCTTATTCTCGTCCGATTGAAGCGTACGTTTTCAGGGTTTAAGTCAGGGTGATGCTGTTATTCTAAGAATCAACACGATCACGAGATTTTTTCGTTCTGTTTTGGAAGGTCGCCGCGGTCAGATTAATTCAAGACCCGAGCACATGAGAGATCTTCAGAGTTAAAACAAAACTTCGAAATTCCTCGCATGCTTTTACATAAGCACTTATAGTGCAGAAAGGAGACCTTAAGGCCACCGCTCGTCATTTGAAAGTCAAAAGTTCACTGTCCTCACACATATCTATCCTGTACTGTCCTGCGAGTCTAGAGCTAGGTGCTCCGAATCCTAGCGACGACGGACACCAACCTAAATTCATAGGTTGCACTGGATTCCGGTAAGGAGCGGAAGCAGGACTCCATAATTCAAAAAGATGGCAGTATTCGCGGGTACTCAGGCTAGGGTTGGCAGAGGATACAATAAGAAAATATTCATACCTTCCTCCGTCACAGTCAGATTTAGCGGGGTCCAACTTGAACCTTTACTAAATAACGTCAATTGAATGGTAACATGGTTTCCAAAAGATAGAGAGCCGAAATGCTAACAGTCGCCAATCAAAAGTCAGTCCCTTTTTAATAATGAATGAGTAAGATCTCATGATGGTAACCTTGTCATTATGAGCTAATCGAATCTGTATCACGAATTAATCAAGCGAGGATAATATCTTGGACCAACCAACTCACATACTCATTAGTGCGTACGCAGCATCTCCTCGAGTCCAGCCTTCCACATCGTCAAATCGCCGTCCCACTCATTAAGGCGCCTCATATTTCCTCCTTTTGCAATCGAGCTACGAACGAGCATTTCGCCGAACTTGTGTCTGCAATATCCATGGTGCGTAATGCAGTACCAGATGATACCTTTCGTGGATAGGGCCTCTCCCCAAGTTTCGCGGCACCCTTCCGCGCAGGTTGGGATTATGTTCAACAGCCGAAGAAGCGTACGCCAAATCATTCGCGGCAAGTAGAGCCATAGAGGGGGGTCGAGCCCTAAACCGGACTATGGGTAGATTCTAAGCCGGTAAGCCAATGACGTACAAATAACATCCGTTGCATGATCCGAGATGAGCGCGTTGCTGCGGCCGCCGTTGCCGTCGATGACCCATCCTTGTGAGTTCTGTGACATTGCAGCAGAAATTCTTTCCTTGAACTCGTCATCTGAAGAGGTTGCCCACCCGGGTCGCCAAAAAAGTGCGTCCACGGAAATATGTGGTATATTGAGTTTAGTGGCAATGTACGCGCTGACGGTTGACTTGAAAAAGATGTTTCCAAGGCTTGGATTTTATATATATTCAAGCCTACCTTGCCAACTCCTGCCAGGTACCCATGAATCAATGAGCAATGAGGCCACGAGCAAATGACGGGCGCACCACTATTGCCCACAACATGTACTCTATAGTTGCCCTTACCGTCACCAAGTAACGACGGGATGTTCATAGTGTGAGACTGTGAGTTATAAAGTAACAGCCTTTGAAGTCAGAAGCTCTTTCCTATCATGCATCAAATGCCGCTGTTTTCACACGGGTGAACAGCTTATGATCGAAATCAGCTATGACACATACATGGTAACATGATGAGCAGAAAACAAGGAGCAAGCAACGCCTGTCTGTGATGCAAACCTATTAAATTTCCTCCATGTCATCGTCCTCGTCTTCATCCCCATATCACCGGAGACTCCTTCTGGAAGAGAACTTGGTCTGGGGACGTTTTCATATTTCATCCGTTCTCTAGACTTCAGTTCTGAAAAACAACCGTAACTGAAATCAAATACCCCATCTTTGGCGAACACGTCGGAACTTCAGCTCCCACTGCATTCCATTGTACGCTCTAATTCAAGAAGGACCTCTTTGGGATATGTTCGGGCTGCTGGGTGCGCTCGCGCAGTGGCTTGATGCTCCATCAGGGTTGCTCGCGAAAGAGTCTGCAGAGAAGATCCAGGAGTTGGTTACGTGGCATACGCACCATACGCTATAATGTGCCCTTGGCAGGTTTGGGTCGAAATTTGGGTCGAAATTTCTACGAGTTGTCAGCGACGATTATCCGAACGATCCACTGCTCAGCCTGTCAATGCCTGCGCGACTAGTGCCACTTCTAACATGCGGATCTGCCTCCCTAGTCATATTTTCGAGCTCGTTTGCGCATTTGTGACCTCGTTGAAAAGAGGACGCAAATCACGTTCATGTCAATGCGTCAAAAGACGTTGCATCAGCATGTTCCGAGATGAGTGTGTCGCTGTGCCATCGATGACGGAGGGCACACGGAGGGCACGCGGAGGGCACGCGGGATTCATACTCCTCGAGTTATTCACTTCTTCCCCTGTTTATCACCCTGTCCAGCACTTGAATTTCGTGTTCTCCTGCTGGATCACGCTCATCGGTCGCCCTTCTGTTGAAGGAACACTTCGGTTTGTCAATAGCGAGCAGGTCACAGTATTGTACGATTGAGTAAAAGATACGACTTACACTCGCATGCTGCCCTCCTGTTGGCTTTTCATACGTTTTGAGAGCAACCATTGATATAATGACACCTGTGCTCGCAATCTGACTGATAGAGTGAGACCAGCATGTTCAATGGCCCAGCGACCAAAACCGTGACGGACCTTTGAATCCAGGGCATGACCTATCTAAATAAGATCATAAGCGGCAGTCCCCGACTTTTCATAAGATTCAACTCGATCTACCGTGATTGGTACACACTGACACAATGGTCTCCACGACGTTGATCTCATCTGTCCCACAACATGTCTCCCCTGAGGAACACAGAAATATCGTAGGATCGACTCCTACATCGTTCAACGACATCCCTCCCGTGCTGCGTCACAAGGAGGACAATGTACGCGTGATGCTCGATCCTCCCCTCCACACATTCACCGAACAAGATTGCGCGAATGGAACGTTATTCGTGATTGAGAAGTAGTTATATTAATAAATCACACATCATCCCTTTATTCTGATGTGTATCTCGTCCCCCACAGCGCCCTTGTCTTCATGTCATCGACTGGGGTCGGATTTCAGGTCCCGTACCCTGCCATCACCCTACACGCAATTGCGCGTCCAGAATCTGGACCGTCGATATATTGTCAGCTGGACGAGCTCACAGGAGAACCTGGAGCAACTGAGTCACCTGAAAATGATGAAGCCTCCGACATGCGAGAGCTGAGCATCATCCCGTCAAACCCTGCGTCTCGTAAGTTTTCTGAGATCGAATCGCGTCACACGTGCTGATAGCAGTTATCTGATCAGTGGAGCCGATATTCGAGGCAATGTCTCTCTGTGCTTCCCTCCACCCAGATCCAAACGTTTCAGATGACGATGACTTGGACGAAGCATTTATGGATGAGAGCGCCTTCGAGACGTTTACGGGTGAAGAGGGCGATGAGCTCAGTGAAGTTGGTCGGGTGCGCAGTGATTTCGTCACCAACAACCGTTATGCACCGTACTAGACACCTCACGCAGGCGGCTCTCGAGCATCTGGAGTCGATCATCGATGATCCATATCATCCAAACAAGAATGGCGTCAATGGCGCTGGTGAAGATGTTGAAAGCGAAGGCGATGGAGGACATTGATATTTTCAATCTTAAACACACGGCACGAGCAAAAGTATATATTTCACCAATGAAAGATCGACGCATAATCCAGACATCATGATCCAGTACATGACCATTCGAATCAACAAATCATTTATTTACGACTTGAAACCCTTGGGCCGAACATCAGCGGACAGTGTTGTTTTTGGTGCGACAATTGGTAGTGGTCCCCAGTCAAATGTAGCAGCGGGGGCTTTTGGTGCGGGCGTCGGAGAAGCCTCGAGACTCTCCGACTTGAGCATAGCTGCCGATTTAGCTGAAGATCCATGTCTTGGAGTCCGTTGTGGGCGACGCAAAGAGGATGCCATGTAAGACGTAGAATCGTCGTAATTGATAGACGTTTCTGGCGACCATCCACCTTGCGTGAATGTAGGGGTGTTGAACGCAGGCAAGGCACTGTTAGGAAGGGAAATGAAACTAATAGAAGCAGGTGTATTGGGCTCTTGCTTCACCGCTGCTCTGCTTGGCGTCAGGAATGACGTAGGCGTGGGTTTGGATGCTGCCTTGTTGTTAAGCAAGGGCTCCTTCCTTACCGCCAGTAGAGCCCGTTTTAACTTCTGCGCAGAGCGTTCGGCGTTCAATGCAGCAGCCGTGGTGACCGCTACATGGGGAATTACAGCCGATGGCTTCTTAACGCTTGACTCTGAGAGCCGTTTGTCTCGTGAGCTAAGGACATTAGAAGGTATATCCAGCTTTCTCATTCGCTGCTGGAGCTTGGAGACGTCCCCGCTTTGTTGCGTGATCGAGATATCGATGTTGCGGAAGGTACGGTTCACGGTATCCAAAGATGGTGCCCTGTAACCAAATGATTAGACGTTGACTGCATTGTAGGATTGAAAACGTACTTTAGGCTCGGTTTGCCTGCCTTTAGCTCAGCAAGCCTCTTTTTAGAGGATTGCAGATGGTCCTCGAGCTTCTGTACACGGTCCCCAATCGTCTGTCCATGAGATCAGCATACTATCCTGTCAATCAGAGAGAACTGTACCCTTATATCCCTCCGTAGCTGCGACTGAGTCTCCAGATATTCCGGTCCAAGGGTTCTGATCTTGAGCATCTTCGCAAACTCACTGTCCGTCTGAGCTCGAGTAAATCGAATGATTTCCTCCTTTCTCGTTCCCGCTGTATACTATGCATTAGACACTGATAATCTTGATCTCAGCATGAATGACTGACCTTTCAACATACTACTCTCAAGTTCCTTTAGCAATTGTTTGAGAAGCTTCCGTTGCTCTTTTATCTTTTTGATGTCACCTTGGACTTCAGTCATTACACGACCATACTCCTTGATATCTCCAGGCGCCCATTTCGTTGCATCTGCTAGGTCTGCTTTCACATGAGATTGTCCTGGTGTTTTCTTTGACTTGAGTTCGGCGGCTTGCTGTGTTGCACGCGCTGCCATAGTTTTTAGCTAATCAAAGGGTGAGCCTTCAGTTTGAATCTGTGTATCAAAGACTTACGTTGTCGAGTTCCCAAGTTAGACGTGAGACCATAAACGAGCACTCAGACTGCATGCCTTGTTCGATGGGCGGAGCTGGCGGAGATATAGAAGGAGGGGGAACTGTAGGTAGCAGTGGACCTGGAGACAGAGACGTGGAAGCAGCGAGTACAGCCCCATGTGGCTTGAAGCTACTGAAAACTCCAGGAGGCGGATGAGTAAGAGCAGGAGGCGCTTCCGGTGTTTTGGCTGGCGTGCCGAAGATGCTGGGAGACGCAGGACTGGGACTCTCGCTCGGCTTCGGAAAACTGAAGAAACCAGCTGGAGGGGGCGTAAAGACCGGTGGGGTTAGAGTCTGAGACTGAGTTGGAGCTGGGGCGCTGAAGATGCTTGGCGATGCAGTAGCTGGACCACCGAAGATGCTAGACGGTGCAGGAGGTGCAGTAGTTAGCAGGGGCTTCGGAGGTAGTGTAAATGCCGATGGCTTAGGCAGTGCTGTGATGACTGGCACACTCGCACTCTTGCCGAACAGAACTGGGGGCGTTCTGGGCCGGGAGGAATCAGATTCTGCGTCTTGCGTCACTGGGGGCACCCACGAGCCGAACTGCGGCCTCGGAGAGGCAGGATGCGGTACCACAGCCGGAGGTGCTGATTTTGCTTGGGGTAGGAAACTGGGAGCTTCCACGTCTCCGGTGAGGGGAGCATTTGCAAGAGGTGAGCTTTTGACCGGTCGAGTACCCGTCGTCCTGGGAGTTATAGCGAATGGGGAGGAGGCAGGAGGCTTTGGAAGAGGCGAAACCACGGGAGGTGTAGCACGTTGAGCTTCGGGTACGGGAGATCCAGGTGGCGTTGTACTCTGGTCCCTAACTGGAGATATCTTTCGAGGTGGAGGGGAAGGTGAAGCTGACAATGTAATGGTCGGTAACTCTGCTTTTGGAGTGGTCGATCGAGACCTTGCAGCAGATGATGGAATGGAAGAAGGGACCACTGTTGGCTCAGGCTCCCCTTCTTGCGTCTGCGCTTCCCGCTCCTCCTGATGTGTATCCCCTTCCTTTGGCTCTTCTTTATGCTCTTCCTGCCGTTTTCCCTGTTCCTCCCACTCTTCCTCTAGCTCCTCGGATTCTTCCTCCTGTTCCTCTTCTCGCTCGTCCTGTTCGTCTGGCAATTCAGATTCTTCAGATTCATCAGATTCATCATCAGAGATAAATGACTTCGTGTCGTCCTCAAGCTCCCCGTCCTCATCCGATTCTTCAACAGTCGAGTCCGCATCACCCTCAGCCGCATCTTCAGCAGTAATATCAACGAAGGATGAGGCCATCGAAGAAGAGATAGACTCCAAGGAAAGTTCGTGAGGCAAAGCCTTGTCCACAACTTTTGCCTCCTGCGCTTTCTCCTCGACCACGGGAAGCGGCGGAGTGGTTGTCCTAGGTGGCGTTTCCTCTTGCTTGACAGCCTCTTCCTTTGCAACCGGCATGGTAGGCGTAGACGGCTCTTCTACCTTGACATTCGCAACCTCTTTAGCGGGCGTCTCAGGCTCGGCAATGCGTACGGAAAATACATTGACAGATTTCATTTTCGAAGGTTCCTTGGCTTCGTCACCAGTACTCTTCAGTAACTCTCCAAATGACTTCGGTGCACCCGCAAACGCGCTGAAACCCCCGCCCCCACCTGACGCAAAAGCACTAAAACCACCCGTTTGAGGCGTCGAGAAAGCTGACTGAGGTGGGCTGGATGGGCTCTTGAACGCCCCTCCTGGCATAGATGACGCACCAAATGTAGGAGCTGGGGAACTGGGCGTCATGGTCCCAAACGGACTTTTCGTTACAGCGCCAGGCATCGACGACTGGCCGAAGGCTGGAGCCCCAGTAGTAGGTTTTGGTGGCGTCGAAGGGGTACTTGCTGCCAGAGCAAATGCAGAGACAGGTGGCTGTGCTGGCGCCGGTCTGTAAAACGGAGACTCTTTCGGTAGTTCTCCCAATCCGAACCCAGAGGAGGGTTTCATCGAGAATGAAGATGGAGATGGCTTCAAATTACTGAAGGCGCCCATTGTTGGAGCTGGCGCAGAACTTTTGAATCCAAACTCGATCTCTTCACCCCTCTGCGCAACAGGGGAAGGAGACCGGCTTTCGTCGCGCGGCACAGATGTTTCACGTGGAGCGTTAATTCCCTGGGTAGGCGTTGATGCATCGGATTTCGTAGCATTGGCTGCACTACCCCATACAGGCTTCTGAGCACTTGTATTGGAAGTAATAACTCCAAAAGCACTTGGTGCACCTGTTGCAAATGCGGCGAAGCCTCCGGAAGTAGGTGTTGGTGTTTGTGCAGTATTAGTGGCTGATCCGAAGGCCGGTTTACCAAAAGCCGACGTTCCAAAGCTGGATTGTCCAAACCCAGACTGTCCAAATGTACTCTTCCCAAAGCTAGAGTCAGGGGTGACTCCAAATCCGCTCTTCCCGAACGCAGAAGTAGGTGTAATAGCAGATCCAAAGGTCGGGGTACTTGCTGAGGTACTACCTCCAAATGCCGATGTAGTCGACGCACCACCGAACGCACCGAATGGGCTCTTTTGCTGACCTCCGTCACCGAGAGCTCCATAGCCCGTTGCAGGCTTGATGAGTCCACCTCCCACTGAATCACTTGTAGGAGAAGCTTGAGATGTAGCTGCGTTCCCAAAAATGGAGGGCCTTAAATCAGCACTCTGAGGGGCAGGGTTACCGCTGCCGAGTGAGAGCCGACCAAAGCCGGGTGTATCATCTGCAGCCATACTATCTTCTGCAGGCGCTAATGTCGGCGCACTCTGTGAAGGCGCGATGGGTTGTGCTCCTCCAAATCCGAACTCTGTCTGTCCGAACTTTGATGGTCCAACGGAGCCAAATGCCGCAAACCCTCCCGAAGTAGGCGCGGAATCAAAGGCAGACTTCCCACCTTGAGCCAACGAGGCTGATGGAGCGGCGGACCCAAACATGGGTGTAGGCTGTCCGAATGATGACTGACCAAATGATGATTGTCCGAAAGAGGGCTGAGCGAATACTGAAGTTGGTGACGACTGTCCGAACGCAGATGTTGTTTGCTGACCGAAAGCATTGGTTGTCGATGTCTGGCTAAAAGGAGACTGACCGAACGATGATTGTCCAAATGAAGGCTGCTTCCCGAACGCAGACGACTGGCCAAAATCAGGGCCTGTCTGAACGAAAGTTGACGCATTGGCAGAGGGTGGCGTGGGTTCAATAGGAGACGCATGCATGTCGTTGGACGGCTCCCGCATTATCGCGGTTGGCACGGCTGACAGTGTCTGAGCGTTCTCCATCATCGCTCCCGAGGACTTAGTTACCATGCCCGGGTAAGGTGTTCCCTTGATGTTGAGGACATGCCAACCTGCTAATGTCCCGTCTGATGCGTATGCATACATGATAGGTGAAGGTGGCAATTGGACACCCTCCCCGGACGCACTCGTGTGGTGGAACGGCTCAGTGCTAGTTATATCAAGTTCTAGGCCAACGAGGACGGTGTCGTTCATGTCCTTGTCCAACGGGAGGCTCGGCGTCGACGTTTCCTCAAGTAACAGATTCGACCAATTCTCTTCTACACATCCAACCACCCCAATGTCTGACGAAGTACTGTCTCCTATAAATAACAATATCTTTGCGGGATCCCATCCACGCAAACACACGATGAATGCACCAGGTGGCCGCAGCCCAGGCGAAGGGTAATACGGAGAGGAGAATTTAAAGTCTTGTGCAGAATTAGTTTTGCCATCAAGGGAGACATGGAAGTGAGTCTGTTCGACTTCTGGGTTGAGAGGCAACTGGGCGTAGATCGCATGGAAAGACGAAGTAGATAGCCAAGTCGTGGATATGACGCAGGCGTTAGATGCTGAGGGTGGGCTTGGAATGCTGGACTTTGGGGAAGAGGTAGAAGTAGGTGCGTATGTGACGATGGAGCCACTTCTCATACCCAGCGCAAGCTGCTTGCCCTTGGGAGACCAGGATACTGTACAAGGGTCAAAACATTAACATGTTATAGAAAGAAAACACGTACTTGATGCGGGAATGGTATTTGGTAAACTCCCTGCTACCCAACCTCCCACAGATGTAAGTTTTTGCACGTCGAGAAGCTCTACTGCTAAACCATTTGAGCCACCTTGAGAGTCCCGTAAGATAGCCACGAGTTCCGGAAGGTCTCCCGTATTCGGAGATATCGAAACAATGAAAGCAGAAGGCACCGCAGGAAGTGAATAAATGAGATTGATCGGACTGTCTCCAGGAGAGAATAGGTGTTCTGTGGCGTAAACCATAATAGACCCCTCAGCAAGCCCAACGACGAGTCTGGAGTCATTGGATGCAAATACAACTATATTTGGAGTGGTAGCACCCAAGGAAACCTTCCTTTGAGGTTGATACGGTCGGTCATCTGTATCGTTGGCAGTAGCAAATGCGGTACGAAGATCGCTGAGTGGCGACAGAACAAGGACTGCAAAGACACAATTCAGCAATGATTGCGAGGCATGTGGGCGTGTAGTATTGATACATACTTGTCCCAGAATTGGAATCTCGGCCCACTGCTGCAAACCATCCTCGAGAGTTTGCGACCGTAAATAAGGAGGCCCGGCCTGGGATGGGCGAAAGGTTTATGGGTTCTTGGGAAAGGCGAACACGAGCGCGCTTATTCAGTTGTCGAAGAACGAGAAACTAAATGATGAACAGTTCAAGAATATCCAAGGTAACAACTGAAAGATGGACGAACATCGGCATCCTTCTCCCCCGGCTCAGATGACGTTGTTTGAACGGGAGGAGTGGCTGTAGGCTGGATTTGTGAAATGTTTGACATGTAGAAAGCTTGCAGAAAGCTAACCACAAGGCTGCTCGTCGATTCGAGATACAATATTCTATTTGGCCCTGTGTCACGTGTCCTTGTAATAACGTTTGTAACTCCGACTGCTTTAGGTTGGCCCTCTGGAAGGACGTGCTCTCTTGAAATTTATCACTGCCCTTGTGCATTATTCTTCCTGAACCAACCTTGTAGGGGACTCTGTGAGTCCTTGCATAAATTGAAGAATGGGTTAATGGGTCAACCAAAGAACTTCCTGTGTGTAGACATAAATGCTGATGGCCCATGGCTCCTTTTGCGGCGGAGTTGTTGCTTGGTTCACGCCATGAAACACTCGCCATTGCTCGCCCTTTGCGACGCGTACAGGCCGGGGACTACGTCGTAGCACTATCATTTCTCTATTCGGCTCCTACCTTCGCATTCTTCCAACATATAGTTGCAGCATTGGCCGCATTGATGCTCCTGTTACCTGCGTCCTTTTTGCAGGCTCGTTTGATTCTGTTAATCCTACAGCTGCAACACCTGACAGCCGGGTGGTATTTTTGCTCGTGAGACATGGGACATCTGCAAGTATCCTGCATGGCGAGTTGTCGTGCACCATAGCTGCTGTTTTATTATCTATTCGTGGTAATACACATAAACCTTATCCCTTCTTCACAGATCACGAGAATGCAGTCAACTTGATTCAGTATGTGCTTTCAGGTGTTCTGACACACCTGGAACAGTCAAACGGCGCGCTCGTTATACCGATAGCTATTTTTTTCCACCTCCTTCGTCCTCGCTCTCCTAGAGTGCTGTTCACACTAGCGGTCTGGCACTAGAATGTCTCGCAATGATCGTGTAGAACCGCTTGGCCTCTTCTGCATAACAAAGCGGTGGAGTACCACCCTCTGTACCGCTGGTAACATTTGCAACGGATGATTATGTGCCTGATCATAATTTTACAAGTAAGTTGTCTTTTTTTGTTGTTTCTCGGCTTGAAGGTGCTTATGCGTCGAACAACTTTTTCCATTCAGCCCAAGCATTGACTCTCGCGTTGTACGACAGTCATCATCTGCCTGACCTCCCGTACGCACGGGGGTCTAGCTCATTCTTTGCCGTCGTTTACACGCCTGGTCATCACAGCTTGACATCGTGCAGGTGCGGCGTCGTCGTTTTCGCGATATACCGCCTTGGTGTCATCTCGGTTGTGATGCTTTTGAGAGCACACCCTGGTTGGTCTTCTTGGTTATCCGTCGCGTGCATAGCGTACAGCTCCGTGACGAGACCTCGCTCCCTGAGGGCGAAACTACAGATCATGCCTGGGAGTTTTTGAACGAGCTACACAGCGCTTGTTTCCTGACAACGCGGGCCTCTGGCCACAATATCGGACACATTTTACGTGGGTACAATGATTAAACACACTCGCAGGCATTGTGCAAAACGTTGAGACACAAGTGGGTGTTTTACCCACTGTCTCACGTCACAGCAGAATTCAATCATTCGGCAATGTGAGTGTCTCATTCCCGCGGCCTGTTGGTACGACGATGGAACCTAAGCTGCTGTCACGGTTAGCGCAGGCATGGTATGTGCGTAGCATTTGGCTTGCAGATCACATCTGGGGAAAATACAAATGACGTATCCGTGCCCTCAATGCTAATCCTTTCTCCCCAATTACATATTTACCGCATGGTTTGCGACCTTCCCTTTGATTCCTGGCTTCTTTAGTTTGTAGTTGAGCCATCGTGGTACTTGGGTTGTACTTCCTAAGTTACTACGGTACAGGCCCGGTCCTTCGCCCACTCCTTTACCCATGTCAGGCAAAACAAAATTCATCATTAACATAACGTATTGAAAAATATGAAAGATGATCGATGAGGCTTCAACATGATATACTTGAAGAATTAATGTCCAAGATGTTGTACAGATTTGCTTTGTTCCCGTATACGTTCAGCTTTGCCATTTGAATTACAAATTTCCGGCGTTGCGAAGGACTGGTAATCAATATTAATATTAATGATGTTGCTACAGCAAACTAACGTCGTCGTCGATAGGCTCTCAAAAAAAAATCGTAGTATTTTTATCTACATTGGAATATTACCATTTTCGAAAAAAAAATGAGTTATTATGAAGTGGATGCATTTCAAAATGTGGTGGGCAAAGGACCGGTCTCTAACTGTATATGTCCCTGAGCTTACATGTTGACTAGTAACGTAGATGTTTTGGACGTTTCTCCATCACATGCACGGCCAGTGCCAAATGCACAGCCAGTCACACACTCACCCCTTCTTTCAAACTTACCACAATCTCTCTTGCAACGAAACATAATGGCGGTCCCACACAATGCTCAGTCTGCCGCACTGCTCGCCCACGTCGCGGCACAATTGCAGCTCAATATCTCCTTCCTGGAATCTCAGAACTACATGTCTGCTGAAGACGCCGACAGCATGCGTGAAATAATATCACGCCTGCCCGGCGGCACAGGCCAGTCGGTTGTGACCACCAACTTTAACGTTATCACTCCAGCAGTCATGACTAGAGCCATCCCGCCTCCATCTGTACAAGCGCCCGCGGTATCGCCAATTTCCTCCCAGAAACCTAGATTCGCGAAAGCGATCTGGTCATACAATGAGGACGGGGGAGTAAGTTTGCTTCCTACCCAGTACTATCTTATCAGTATTTACTTTTGCAACCAGGAACCAAATGATCTTTCATTCGCTGCTGGCGAACTCATCGAAGTCATCTCGGAGAAGAACGAAGATTGGTGGCTTGGTCGCGCACGTGGTCGGGAGGCTCTATTCCCATCTAACCATGTCGAGAGCGTAGACATCCCCCAAGCCGATGCAGTTACGACAACTGCAAAGAAACCGTATAGGCCATTTGGCGCCGCTTTGCATGGGGTTGATCAGCCTCCCGCTGCAGGTGTAGGCGTCAACTCTGTTGGTCTGCAGGAAGCATCTGGTCAGGCAGACAAGAAGAATAAATTCGGAAAGTATGGTAACACGGTTTGTCTTATCGCCTTAAAATCAGGGGCGTAGGCTGACACAGGTTCGGTACTCAGATGGCCCACTCAGCCGCAGGAGGCGCTGGGTTTGGTGCTGGTAAGGAATCTATTGTGGAGAAATGCAAGTCGAATGTCACTAACGCGCTCTTATAGGTGCTGCCATTGGCGGTGGTTTGATCAGAGCAATTTTCTGATATGGGCATGGCACATGGTTTGGAACTTTGGATATCACATGGACCTAGTATTGACAGTGTCTATTCATAATCACCCACTGTGTCTTCAAGTATATTGACAAGCGAGTTAATATCCGCAATGCTGTGTCGCCTCCTTCTTAATGAGATTAGTGCCAGAAGGGTCGATGAAGGCCGACGTCGCAGCAGGCGTGCTTATGCTCGATTTATGCAAAGTCACTCGCATACCTAGGCTTCAGGGCCTTGAATGCACCTTCCCCCCGGGGCCCTTGGCCTCCTTGCCCGAGCTGTACCCGAATTTCTTTGGAGACTCAACCGTTCATCTGGGTCAATTTCCCTCGCCCGATGTATACACTTCACTGTCCAGCATCCGATTCAACGAGGAGCTCACACTCTACGGTGACCGAACATTCGTATCTCCACTGATAACGGATGATCTCGATGAAATAGTATATCCCACGTCATGTTTCACATCTGGTGCACTTACCTACTTACGCCCCCTGACAAAAGACATGAAAGCTGCGTCCGGAGAATAGACTGGCAGGCTTAGATCCCGTCACGGGGGTTGTTCGACATACTCGACGCAATTAAGCTACCCTTGTTTGTCTTGACGTCTGCTGTACGGACTCACGTTCCTCCTGTTGTCATACAAAACGATTTAACTCGGTTGATTTTCGTGAGATAGATGGTAGTTTCGAAATGCACAAGACATTGGGCTGGATATTCCGGCGATTTTTCTCTCTAGCCATCCCCTGAGCTTACACGGCTTCAATTATATCAGTGGGGTGCATTGTGCTACGGAGTGCTACAGAGCACTCTGTAGCAAGTTATGTTTCCCTGATGATATTCTCGCGAAGTACTGCGCCTCCAACCGTCCGGCCGTGAACTAAGATCCATCTAGCCAATAAGAACTTAAGTTCGGTACCATATCGTGCATCAGAGACTACCAGTCGCTCCTTCAAGTCAACAACCTATCAGAGTTAATCGTAGAGACGAGTGGGAGACAACCTTGAGGCTGACATCTAGATCGAGAATATTACTAACAGCAGTGCACGCGTCAGTGCTGCGCAGTATGACGGGTAACGCGTCTTGATTATGAATGACCCGTACGCACATACAGCTAGTCCAGACTCCACACCTATCTTAGGCTCCTGTGATATGATTGATCCACTTAAACGTAAGACAACAGACGATATAAACTACATATGGCCAAAGTACAGGGGTAGTATGGTATAGAAAACACTGAATAGAAGATGGGTCCAGAAAAAAAAGTTCGTGTATACCACATTTAATGCTAGATCTGTTTTAACCTCCAATCAAACGTCATCTTTTCTGCTGCGCTTCTCCACGAGTGGAGCAGCACCTAATTCCACATCATGCTCAACAAACCTTCCTCTTTCACCCGGGGTGGGGGCGCGCTCCTTTCCTTTGCGGCTCGGATGGCTCCAAGACAAAAATTTGGTCTTCTCCTGTGGTGCAGTCGCCGCCGTATCGTCTGACATGCCCGCGCCAGGCTTAACCTGTTGCGAATCTTTCTTAGGCACACTCTGACCCGTTCCCTGCGCTTCATCTGCCTGCATCTTCAAGAATTCATCCCCTCTTATCCTTAAAAACTCCTCCAGAAGCGCGGCGTTCCTTGAATTCGCCTTGAACACGGCCATGACAACATCGCCCGCTACGGGCACTAGGCCGCTCAAAGCCGATATTGCATTGTTGAGGAGCATGCGGCGCACGAGCCAGCCTGGTAGTTCAGCTTGCCTTGCTTTGCGGACGACCAGGAAATAATTAAGTGTGACATCGGCAACATCGCCAGCGCCAGGGATAATACCGATAATGAAGGTCCAGCCAAATCGCAGGCCACAAATGGAGAAGCCTTTGTCTAGGTAATGGGCACGGCGCTGCACCGACTTGAGAATCTTTGCATCACGTGCTGAAAGGCCGGGAGGTATCGCACGCTTGAAAATAGTAAGACCTGAGTGTATCGGAATGAAGGGTTAGGGTGCGCCACCTTTCTGCGGCGTTGTTTGCCGTGCTTGTCAGTATAAAACTCGTACAACGGGTCTTCGGGTCGGTATTGCTCGAGGTTCTTTTCAAATAGCCTCGTACCTGCCTTTTGAAGGTAGGAGGTCATGATGGGGAGAAAGAAGAATGGAATGAGCGACCGTGATGCATTGTTGCATATATAACAAGATGCACCTGACAAGTCAAGAATCTCGGCTACAACTTTTTGTATTCAAAGTACGATTTTGGTGACAAAACTGATCTATATTTGGTATTGATGTAATCTGAGAATATATAATGAAATTTAGATACGATTTAGTCAGCAATATTACATTGCTTTCGTTTTTGACGTCAATATGCCTGGCCACAAGCTCGACGAAGAATATGTTCAAAATAGCTTTCACACTTATCTCAAGTCATCTCTCACACAAGCAAAAGTAGAGAAACTGATAGAGGATGAAATTTTAGCATCCGCACAAGCAGATCTCATGATTACTGGTGCGCAGCAGCCCTCAAGCAGCTCTAATGCTTTGGTCTGATCACCTCTGACGTCGATGTGACAGGTCCAGCATTATGCTTGTATTTTGCTGCTCTTAGATGTACAACAAACCCACCATCTGTGCCACTTCCTCGTGCTACAAAGTCCGCACCGCCTCTCGAGCTCTCGTCAGATAATTGCCCACCGGCATTTCTCGGCTTTCTAGCTGTCTGGGCAGCTACGGTGCCACGAATTCAGGGCCTTATCCCTCAAGACCAGCATGATCTTGCTCGTATTATCTGTAACCTCCAACCTATTGCTATTCCTCCAAATCCTGAGTGCGCCGGCATCGCTGCCGATCTACGTGCTGTGGCAATTGAAATCAGTCAGAGACGTACCTTTCAGGATAGATATGCAAGCGATCTACAGGCTGCCTTAGATGCAGGCTCATCAGGCAGTGGTCTGAAGGTCAAGACGAGCTTTGTACCACCACCTGTATATTCAGATCAGCTTGCACCGGAATCGTCCGGATATGGGCCAAAGAAGCTCTCTTCTTCTCCTCTGTCTCCATCATCCGTTCTGTCCGCATTTCCCTCGCGCACGCCTTCTCCTACAATACTCACCCAAGATACCCCTGAAATCGACTTCATCCGCGAGACACTTTACTCCGCGCTTGCAGTCGTATTAGAGCACATTACAGCTTCCCGGGATCACGGCCCGCACCCTCTCGCGCGACTCTTCAAATATGATCCTCCACGTGCCCATTTTGCTGCCGTCAGCCTTGCCATTCTTGAGGTGGCCACGATGCAGGGAATCATTATCCCCGATCAAAATGCGATCATGTGTGTCAGTGCACGAGAGCCCAGAGGGCACAAGCTCACGCCAGATACGTGTCCAGAGCCACTTCGGCCGTTCATGATGGAGCTCATTGCCATTGGGCGAGACGCGCAGGTGATGCAGGACGAAGACAACGAAGAGACCATCAAAGCTATCGAGAGAGGTGATGGGGATATACCAGAACCTAGGTTTGAGCGCGTGCAGGCCATCATCATCGATGGTGTACGAGTTGATGGAGGTACTGCGGGGAGGTGCAGAGCGCGTAAAAGGAGCGTGGAGGGACGGGTTGTGACCTTTGCTAACAGGGTGAATGCCCTTGGGCTGTCGATCAGTAGGATCAAGGCATTTAGAGACAGGGAGAAGGAAGTATTCGATGTGTTAGGGCCACGCCCGTAAAGTTTTGGATGATACCTAGTTTGGCTGATGATAGTGCATGGATGCAAAGGTGATCACGGACTTACTTTACTAATGCCAGTACTCTGCTGTATTTGATACCATATTGATTTGAAACTTATGTTGCTCATCTCCACACCAGCGCGATCTACCGGGCTCTTGCCCGTTTGGACTCCCAGCTAAATTGAGGACACAGCATAGACACTCTTCCAATGATCGCCATCAACACAAGGTCTCACTCCACATATCTCGATGCAGTACTCCACCTAGTGGTACCAACATTGCCTCTGAGGCCATATTTGGCTCATTGGTGTATTGCGCACGGACCGGAACGAATAAATTAGTGATCCATGAAATCATTATTTGCTGGTATATCTGCCGAACAAATGATGATGACGGGAGTGCATCAGTATCGGGCAATGGGTTGGCAGCGAAATTGGCGAATCGACCGCGTGTCCTCGGTCATTTCGTCGAGATATTAATGTGGGGAAAGCATGGTATGGGTATGGGACACTTGTCTGCGGGGAGAAGAACTCACGCGGTGGAGCACAAGGCACATGAGGGTGCGGACATGCGGAATGCACCAAGATTCGAAGTGAGCGCTGGGACTCCGTCTTCTCCGAGTCCCGTGGCGTTCTACAAAGAAGTGCACAGCGTAGTCCACAGCCCACAGACAGAAGTGCTCTTCTAGACTCACTCCTGTGCTACTTGCGAGGCCAGAAGTCAAACCTAAAGTACGCATCTGAGGCTTGAACCGGTAGCGCGCTTGACAGGAAGCTCAAGGTTTACGATGCAATCTTGCCGAGGCAGAAATACCTCGCTAGCAATGTAAGTGTTGGCTTGTTAACTTAGGTAGATGCTTACTTGCTGCTTTCTGCCGCGTCACTAGCGGACTTCATCCATCTGCCCTATGGACTCACATCGATCGAGCCAGCTGAACCGAGAAGCAGCAAATGTGAGGTGGGGGCATATTTCATCTTCTGAGTCATGGCTAGCGGTGAAGGACGGCACTGTGTTAGTGTTCGTGACAGGAAGAAGCGGACATCTTTAATCACTGAGCCAATGCAATACACGCGATGACACAAACGGTCGATTTTCGAATAATATTGTTGTGGCATGTGTCCAAGAGCCGAAGTCCTGAAACGTTCCTGACAATCAGCCAAACACCGTGAGCGGTCTGTGTGAAAACCAATATTTTGAGGGTAAGAGTCACGAAGGATGTAAGTTATTGGAGCTCGTAAGTACTAGTGTCTCTGAAGGGATAGAAGCGTGTCAGACCACCGGGTCTACTGTCACATTGATAGAATCTTCATGGTATCCTTGTAACGCCACGTCAGTAATGAGATAAACAAGCACAGTAGTCAGATCATATCAGATAAAACGGTGAGCCTGAAAGGCAAACACAGCCGGACATAAATCAAACAACTTTCGAAAGGTCATAAACACACGATCAAAGAGTCATATGGCCCCGGCAAACTTCATCATCGCTTATAGGAAAAAAAAAGTGCGCTCACCAATGAATGCATGGCGACATGTAAACCACCAGCCTATGCATCGCCGTAGTCGTCGTCATCCGTCAATTCCTCCCCCTCTTGAATTCCTTGGTGTCTCTGAAATCCTTCGCGCCGGGCCCATGAACAGCCATCGGTGTAGGGCATTATTCGGAGGGGTAAAATGAGGGTATACCACGGGCTACGAAGAGGAGGTTAGAAGAGTAAATTAAGAGAAAATCACAATTTACTATCCGTCCGGACCAATGTTGAAGAAAAGGCGCAGGTTAGTGCTCTTTCTAAAACAAAATTAGAATATTACACCTATGCTCGACATTTTAATATTCCGCTTACCCAAGGTCAAAGGAATTTACAAAATTCTGCACAGCGTATCAGCATGTAGATGATTGTGCCAGATATAACCACGTACATCGCCTCGGGCCTTTGCAACGCGCTTGTAAACTTCATGATCTTGTGCCTCGACGGTGGTCTCTCCACGAGCAATACCCCATAAATGCCACGAGAGCATGATGAACACCGCAATACAAATAACCACAGAGAGCATGTAGGTGAGGATATAAGCTAGCTCTGGCACCATATAGGGCCAGTTGTGCTGTCATATCTAATGAGCATTGGCTGAATGATATTGATGGGGCGACACACAGAAAATGTAAGGCCGAGTGCCTCTAGCGCTTGAGAGTAGCCCAGAATGCTCAAGAAAAAGGTTGATAATACTAGGTAGGCCCTAATAGAAGCGCATGAGCTGGGGAATTGGGAAGAGGAGGTGAAACATACATAAAAAGGACAAAATGCCTCTCATTGTTTAGTCCAACGCATTGGTTTATCCCTGCAGGGAGCTAAAAGGGACAAGCATGCCAAAGTAATAGAGACTCACACTGTAGAATAATCAACCAACGGGTGAGCAATATCCCATGAACAGAGTGTTCAAGCATTTACAGGACAATGATGGTCGTATTTCATCACACACCGGCCACATATCCGACAATGATGGGCCCTCTCCGTGAAGTATAGGTCAGTCTCCTGGGTCGAATCAGAGTAGGTGTACTCACTTCTGGGCGCATCAATCCACATCTCCTACATGCAGTGGTACTCGCTGTCACTAGCGTGATGCCACGGTCGGACCACCGAGCTCCAGCGCTCGGTCGTTGATAAGGCGAGGCCCAGAGTCGACCACTCCCTGGCTGCAAGACCTCATCTTGGACGAATCCAGGTGGGACTGTACATACATAGTAATAGTGCATGAAAAGGTTGAGTGCAATGAGCACACAAGGGGGTGTGGTAAGCCAACGAAGGGGAAGGCTGGGTTGAATCACGGTGACTAGGATTGAAATTTAGGTGAGTGTGTACAATTGGACAGCAAACTACACACAAAAGCTGGCTGCTCCAATTGTCTGCAGTATTACTGCAAGCCCAACGAAATATGGGCCTGCTGCGCCTGTGATGCGGTCTCCAGCCCGCTCAAGCCATTTGAAGCACCGAAAAACGTGACGAGCACAGAGCATGAAGAACTATGAATGAGAAGCCCTAGCCAAGCGAGTCCACGATGGCCTTGCAGTTGAAGTTCTGCTGATGAACGTCTGAAAGAAAATTAGTGCGAGAATCTGGAGATCCATCCGAAACGGAATCAATTTCTGATGTGGCCAAACAACTGCTTCCCATATGCATATACAGGAACAGGGAGACTAAGTTAAAACTAATTGTGCTACACTTTGATATGATAACCAGTCAGCTGCTGTTAACTTACAGATTGAGTAGTAAGTACGAAGGACTGGACGATCAAATACAACACCTCAGCATTGCATGCAAGCCCCACAATACTATGAATAAGTTACGCGGCAGAAAAGTAATGTTGCATCTGATACACCTTCCTGAGAATCACAACCGCATCCTACGGATACAAGGAATAGATAATTCAAAACATATATGCCGCAGGGGAGAGTAAATCATTATCGTCATCGCTCCTTTCGCCGAGGCGTCCCTGGAATCTTGCGCGGTGTTGCACCAACTCCGGGTGGCAGCCCTGTCAGCCGCCGCTCGCCTACAAAACCGCCGCCTTCCTGTACCCGCTGCACTTCTCGAACAGCACGCCGTGCAGCATCCCCAACTTTAGCTGGCGGGCGGTCCATATCTACTCGTGATAGCGCACGGAAAAGTTCTTGTTGGTCTTCAGGTAGATGTTGGCTCGAGCCGTTCTGTATCGGCAGATGTGACGAAAGGGAAAAAATTTGTGACGAGGGAGGAAGAGAACGCGATCGGGTCGAGAGCGCCAGTGACAGCAACGAGAACCGATAGTCGAGTTCTGACTCAGCAACGTTTGTCGTCTGGACTGCAGAGTGAACGAATGAGAACAGACTGTCCACCTTAAAGTGGATACTCGCTATTCGTTCGTCGAGGACATTCCTTGACTCTGATCTCATATCGGACATTATGCGTTTGATGAGATCCAGATCAACCTTCTCTCGAAAAGCGTCCGAAAGTTCATCCTCACGAGGTAGCAGCCACCCCCAGTCATCCGGTGGCTCTTGTGAAGCAGCTCGTTGTTTGCCCTTCGCTTTAGCAGACGAAGGGGACTGCAGAGCTTGGCGTCGTCTCTCCAGATCTGCTTTGGAGTTGGTGATATAAGAGTTGTAGAAGTAGTCGACTTGAGTCCACGCATCGGCCTCTGCTGATGCACTGTACAACGGACAAATCGTTAGTAGCTCATGACTGTGTATGTAGACTGACAACGAACCGCTCGATATGCTCGCGAAACTTGATCTCCCTCTCTCTATTTTTCACATTCTGTTCGTTTGGCTTTAGATTTCGCTCGCCACCAGCCTGTTCGTCCAGACCATGGCCATATACAGGCGTATCGATCTTCTTCTCCGCAAGCATGCGAATGAAGTCGTCCTGTACAGTCTTCAGAATTTGCTTTCTGTGTTCATCAAGCGGAGGTGGGTCTTTGCCACTTCCGCTACTTGATGCTTTGGATTTTGGCTGGGACTTCGAGCTTGAAGATGCTTCAGATATTCTTGTCATAGCTCGGGCAGCCGACCAGACGAGCAGCTGACGTGCTCGTTGTGGATCAGGGAGGTCGCAGTCAATGTGTTTGTAGAAGCTCGAATCAGATACAGCAGCATGTGGTTGAGCTAATAAAAATGATTAGAACCTTCGCGTGGACGTATAGGGAAAAAAAGGTTTATTAAAGGAGAGAGACATACTGATTACACCAGTATTTTCAAAACTTGTACTTATGCGCTTGCCGCGTGCGCTCATTGACGTTCGTCGAGAGTGTTGGGGTGTCCTTTGTGGGGTACGCGGAGGAAGGGACACCCCTTCACGGAGTAATTTATTGCGTTCTATTTGTGGGGTTTCGCTGTCGGGTAATGGATGAAGCGCATCAGAGGGATATCGCTGAGAGGTGTGTTTAGGGGTAGAGGGAGGAAATTTGAATGAAGAGTCAATTGCATCTTTGGCGCGCGACCGCTGACGAAGATGAACGGTCTCAGATTCCATCTGCCTGATATCCTCATCCAACTCTGGTTCCTCACGCGTCGACGAGGGTACATCGCGTGGCTTGGCGCTGGTAGGTGCGCGTGACGAGTCAGCTTTGAACTTCTTAGCTGGCGGCTTGGAAGGTCCGGCTATGGAGCTAGTGGGAATGGGTTGCGAAAGAGACGAGGGAGGACGAGATGGTACTCGGGTAGTTGTGGTCGATGGTTGGGGAGATGAGTAATTGTTCTGCGGAGTTGTAGGACGCGATATCGGCGCGCGTACAATGACAAGCCCACCTGGCTGTTCCTCACCAATGTCTAGACGCGATTTATGAGTGCTCCACGCGACTTGCCTTCAAACTCTCACTTACACTTTCGTTTGAACGCGCCGTTCGGCTATAGTGAATCATTCAATGAGCAAAGTGCGCACATGGATCGAGTGACATACCTTCGGCCTCTTTGCTGCCTGTACAAGTGGATTAGCGTCATCAACTGCCTTCCGCTTTCCTGGTGGTTTGGGATCTGCAGGCGTCATTGGGTTTTCGAGTCCTCCAACAGCGTGTGTAAAGGTCCTGTTCATGAATTTTCATGAAAGCACAGGAGTTCGAGGTCGTAAGACGTATATTTGTTCGTCGTTGCCGTTTGATCCCGGCGTCGGCGTCGGCGACGATGATCAACGGAGGAGGGAACCTACAGTGAGCGGAGTTTGAAAGGAGAATTCCCACGTGAGACTTTTGATCAACAAACTACTGGTACAGTGTGACGACTATAATGTCACGTCACATCAGGTATAGCACAAAGACTAGTATATATGGCTTCTCACTTCATACGTCTGGCTCCGAATATGCCAGTTCCTACTCTAACAATGTGGCTGCCAGCTCGTAAGCCTGCCTCAAAGTCAGCCGTCATACCCATACTGAGCAGCAAATTTCCGTTATCCCCCCATCTTCCGTTGAACATCGGATTGCTTCGAAGCATCCCTTCTAGTACATCTCTGGTCTTCTTGAGCGTCTCGAAATCTTGATTTGGCCGCTCCGACGACGCTAGAGATTCCGTTTGTGAGCCAATGGTCATCAGTCCCTGGAAATGTAGCTTGGGACAATGTTCAATGATGTGGCACGCAAGCTTGAATAGCGGGGAGTCGGCGGCTTCAGTTTCGGTATCCACATATTGCAGTCCCGACTTTTGGACTTCCCCAGACGTGTTGACTTGCAAGAGCATGTTGAGAGGTGTCTTGCGGTCAGCAGGTATAGCACTGTTGTAGATATCAGCATCTTCGATGCTAGTCAAACTCTGGATGGCATAAAGATTCGACACCGCTGATTTTCAGGATGAATCTTCACGGATCGATACAGCCTCAGATGCACATACTTGTAAGGTCTCTCATCCTTGCTTGCCTCCGAAGGTCGTCTCCTTCTGTCTTCTTCATCACACCTATGAAGTGCCATCGAAGGCTGTCGAGGTCTGCCAGCTATCGATTGCGAGTCGGTCCCTTCTCGTTCACCACGTAGAGGCAAGTACTAACCTTTTTCGCCTTGTTCACTAGATCGATATCAGAATTTTCTCCGAAATCCATTTGGCCTTCCTCATAACAAGCACGAGTCATCCATGCTGGCTTGGTCTTTGACACAGCTACCAGTGTTGGAGCGTGAGATAAAGATTTCGAAGCTTCAACAAAACAATTTTTGGTTTCAGCGAGGTTCTGCAGAAGCTCTGCCCGCCGCTGTGGGGTTGCTTTATCTGACGATGTCGAAGCCATTCTAGTCTTATAAAGGATTGACGGTGCCCGGAAGATGACCCTGTGGTGCCAGGGCATGGGCTCGGAAGTAATGTCACGGTGCAAAAGGCAACTCACGTAATCATTGGTGGTAATCATTACCGCACCAGGGTACTGTACAGCTTATAACTTCAAATCTCATTCCTGTACAGTCTTCACAAGTAGCACCCTCAACTATGCTGAAAATTCATGAGTACTGCCACATGGATTTCGGTTGATGGCCAGCCATTGGAGACTTACGCTGTGGAAACATCTCTGGCGACCAACGAAGTGACATGCTGGATCCCGTCTGAAGCTGGCAAGGTGAACGCCACTTCGCGTTGTTAACTCGTTTTATGTCTGACAATAGGCATTCTCAGGAGTTTTCTGTGCATTGTCAAAACACTTCCGCCCCTGGCCTCAATACCATTGGTGCATTCGTCTATATCGATGGACAGGGGTGCCATGGTAGCTTGTTCGAGCGCTGGAATGTGAATCACACTGTCGAGTTCAGTCATGCGTTTGTTTCAGATAGGATCACCAAATCTTTCGTATTTTCAAACGTTCAGCTGACAGGTATTTCCGCACGTTGTTTAGTCATTGATTCAGTGCCTCACTGTTATGCAGATGAAGATGAATTTGTGGATGCATCATCAGCCAACTTAGGACAAATCCAAGTCAGAGTTTGCAAAGTAACAGTCGGCGAATACTATAATCCTGCTCAGAATCAGCTTCAAACTGAACACAAGGTGCACGAACGGTCGAAGAAAGCAGTGACACACTGTGTTGGGTAAGTTGTGTGGTGTGCGCAGGTCATCGAACTGAACACTGACAACTCGACACATATCTCTTCTAGGCTTGGTGAAGAGACTATTATTCCACAAACAATGTTGCGCAAGACACAGAGCATTGGTCAGCCTCTTGCAAAATTCACGTTCAAATACAGAGACCGAAGTTTGTGTTTTGTGTTTTGCTCCTTATTGTCTTCACGGAATTTTCTGGTAGATCTTTTGAAAGCGAACGGAATTATACCAGGTCCAGCACCGTTGAAGCGCAAGGCACCGCAGGAAATCATTGACCTCACTGTCAATGACGTCCAGGCGGCGGGGAGCAGCAGATCCAATGATCCAATCCGAGGAGAACAAAACCCGCAGAGAACAAGAGAGACGGAGCGCAGGAGCAAGAAAGTGAAGCAAGAACAGAAGCCCGGTGTATTCGTAGAAGTCATTGATCTGACGTAGCTCGTGTATTGCACGATGAAAACAAATGATTGAGGGCTATCTAGCTAGTAAGTTGTATCATTGGTCTAAATCACTTCGTTGCTTCTCCAGCCTTTTTTATGCTCTTGCTACACCTCGTTTTTAATCTTGCATGCGTTATTCTCGCATGTAGCAAGGGTGACCAGTCATTTGATCGAGGCTTGTCATGCACGTTGCATAGTATTAAAGATCTTGCTGGGGAACACTCAGTACAGAAGCTTTTACACTTTATGAGGTGAAGCCGAACATCCGTCAGCAAATATTGGTCTGATGCATAATGACGTAGGTGGTGTTTCGGGTAACGAGGCGTTCGTGATGCACTGGGAAGGTGATATCAGACACCTTTAGGGGGATTCAACGTGTCCTTCGCCGAGGAGATCCGATGAGGCTTTTATTGTTGATGCCCGAGACTGCATATACCGCACAAGTAGCTTGTGAGTTTTTTTTTCAGCTGTAGAACGCAAGTGCTCATGACCGCGTAAATGGCAGCCCGCGCACATGTGGCGTGGTCAAGCTTTCCCGCCACACTCTCCGCCTAGTAGAACGATGAATTGCGCAATGAGAGCTAAATCGTGAAGAAGTATGATGGTTAGGTAGGTACTTATACCTAGCAGACTGAGATCTCGATTTGTCACAAGGGCTTCTCAGATCTTTAACACGCGTACGGTGACTTCGAAGTTGCGTCATCTTGACTGTAGGGTTTGCCTGCTCCACTGCCTGATGATTTTCTATTAAATAACAGCCACAAACACGAGGTATGATTTAGAATCAAACTAGTACGTGAATGATACCTTCAAGTTTTCACATACCACCACTCCAACAAACTTATCACCCTTTCTCAACCCTAAATTCGCTTCATCTTCATGTCCTTGCACGCTAATACAAATTTGAACGCCACCTTCCTGCGCAGAATCAATCTCTCTTTGGCAGACAGCAAACCTTCTTCCGCTGGACGAAAATGCCACTCACCATCAGCTATTCCCCTTCGCAAACAGCACCCTCATGGCTGCAGCGAGGCAGAAAAGTTTGCATCACTTACTAACATCGGGATTGCTTCTCCTTTCCGGCACGCTCGCGGCTTATCGGATCATGTGCCCCCTGGTTCGTATCATGCACTACTTGATCGTGTTTGTGCTAAACATTCATCTTCGCTTCTGCGGCCGGCTGCGGTTTCTTTTCTTTTGGCCCTGTGCAATTTGTCCACAGATATCTACCGCGGTCGCAGCATCAGCCTGTTCGTGTCCCGTGGCGCAGCAAGGGGTTTTCCCACTCGCAGCGAATCTACCCTACCCTACAATGCGGACAATCTGGCCGCCCTGACATGTAGCTTGTCTTTTCGGGGAACACACGACATTTCTTCTATGACTGCCATGCCCGAGATCGCTAGCCCGACTTCGTCCCTGTCCTATAGCGCACTTGATACGCTACTTAAGGGAAAGGCCACTTCAGATGCAGGCGCTCCATTCACCCCTTATTCTAAAGACGCTAAAGACGAAACCTCAAGAGGAGCGGAAGTTTCGCATTCTTATCCCCTCATCATGACAAACCCAAGCACAAATAGGCACTCTTTGAAATCCCTTACAACCCCTGTGGGACCAAAAGGGCCCGGGGTCGACCAAACAACAATCGAAAAGCCACGCTTCCCATCTATCTCACCATGCCCATCCATCGAGGCGAGCAGTTCGTCCTCTAGTGACTCGAGCTCGTCGTGCCCGACAGCGCGGTGGAGGCGTTCCCCGTCTCCAGAATCCCGACCAACAATGGTCATTCAGAGCACTCTTTCGACGCACTCCCTGTCCGTTATGCTTCCCCGTTCCATACAATCAGAAATGGTGACTGTTTCTGTCAAAAAGGGAGATAGGTTAAACATCGTGGCTGATGCATGGCACATGGAGAATGACTGTACGTATGCACCATCTGTTAAATGGTGGAGTCTCAACTCATTCCCGCGGATCTTAGGTCACTACGAGTGGCAAGTACACTTTGCACCCGGCGACGCAGACATGCCTAGTGTCCGTGCACGGTTTGCGCCTGACGGGAAACTTACCATCACTGTTCAACGACGCAGTCCAGGGCAAACTTCAGGCTATAGTCGGGGACCATTGGGAACCAGGTTCTGAAATATGCAGACCGATAGTGGTTTTACGTTATTTTCTTTTTTTTCAAAGCAATTCTACATTGTAGCATGACCACGCATACTACTATACGTTCTCTTAGTACTAAGTCATATCCTGTATTCCTATCTGTCTTGGTGCATGGGGTAATTTCCCCATGTATGAATCAAAGTTAGTAACGTTCCCGGATCAAATTTCAAAGGTGAATTCGTTTCGCGACGACAAGCCCGACTTGGGTCACTTGGTTTGACTTGCACCCTAGGTTAACGATCCAGTATGGTACAGATAAAGGCCTCTCTTAAACGCGGGCGACGTTCACCAGATCCTCTTCAAGCGAAGCGGGATTCGGATGCTATTATTGGCGACGGTTCCGAGTCGGACTCGGACACGTTTTACTACGACTCGGCACTTTGAAAGTGACTGTCACGGCAAAAAGACGAAAGGGAAAACTCGAGAGTTTCTGCCATTCATGAACATGGCCATTTTCAGGTGAGCATAGTAGTAATCCGAGTCAAGTCGTATAGGCACCATAATCATAGTCTGAAGCTTCGGAATCCCTCGCGCATCACCAAGGATTGTCGAAGTATGCTCGTGCAAAGGTCTTCTGCATTCACCTGGCGAGAAGTGCCAACAGATTGCCAACTTTCCTGATATCATTGCCCAACTGGTTTGAGCAAGCCTCGATACGCAAGTCTAACCCTTTATCTTCATTTTCACATACGTGCTTCGTGAATAACACTCCAGCGGCGCTTGGACTAGCCGACTTTTGTTGGGTGTGGAAAGGAGTCAGGTCTGTTACTTCTGGCCGCTCAGGTTTGAGTACGTGCTACCAGCAAACCTGGTATGCGTCTAGAGACCCTGTTCCTAAGTAATTGGCACTCAATTATTGTGATCACATAGATGAACTCTTAGGCGATTACATGGTCAGAACTTCACGATTTAGGTTCACAGTGATCGCGAATGGTTTGCCATGGCATACTAGTACTACTAGTATTTGACTATTTTGATAGATACCTTGGACGGACTTTTTTAGTATTGAATTACCTTGAGTGCCATCACTTTACTTACCAGCTCTCTTTCAGTCAAGCCCAGGAGAATCATCCCTTCGTTGCTCAACCATTTCTCTTATCAACATATTATGCGTTTGCGACAGGTCATATCGTCTCATTTCATAACCTTGCGCTCGACTAGGACTTTCTCGAGTTAGCTGACTACTTACTGGTACATACTACTAATACAACTCAAGTTGGTGATCGTAAAACATGGATTTACTGTGTTTCCTGAGGGTGAGCAACTAACTTCGTTCCAGACACCTGTCCCATCCTCATCCTTTCCAGCCCTCCAATGATACCTTCAAGCCCATTTGGAAGGATTTCGTGGTTGTTCGGCTACATAGATGTGAGACATAGATCCAAGATAGTGATCGCTGAACAAACCTGAATAACACCCTCTGAGAGCCACTTTTCGACCATAGTCCAGGAGCTGCGGAACAGCTCGTGATTCGGTGGGAGATGTGGGCTCCCGGCGGCGAGAACGACCTTGCGTCCCTTGCATTCATCTTCCTTGACTGATGCAGAAAGAGTTAATATGAGGATGCCATTTTGCGCCAGCAATCTCCATCCAATGGACTGTGTTTTTGGCACCGAGATAGCGTCAAAAACGATCCTGATAGGACTATCAGTTACTTTGTTAATGGCCGCCACCAACTGGTTGCCGGAAAGACGCCGGTCAAAAAAGTGGGTTGCGCCGTAGTCCCTGACAAGGTCTTCATTGCTAGGGGATGCTGTAGTGACGATAGGATAGAATCCTGAAAGACGAGCAAGTTGGATGGCTGCGACACTGTCATGATATGGTCAAAGAGGCGAATCACAAATCGCTTACCGTATGAACCCACAGAAGAAGAACCGCCAAGGATGACGATGGGTTTTTTTGGTTCATGACCACTGACACATTTCACCCAAGGAGGGTCTATGCCGGCCTCCAGGTGATTTCCGTATAAGCCCGCTATTGCAGTATCCAATCCCAGAGGAACAGTAGCTGCGCTATCGAAAGATTGGTTTGAAGGAATCTGGGATGGGATTATAACTGGTGATGTGATCGACCCTCTCAAAACTTACCTTTGCGGTGAACGTCGCAACTGTCAGGGTGTATTGCTGAAACGCACCTTGATCGATAATAAGGAAATGTCCATGCGCCAATCTATGAATCACAGTTGAGCCCATCAGACCAAGGGGAAAGACTTGTCTAACACTTTATCGCCTTTGCGGAAATTCTCGACACCTTCTCCTAGTTCTTCGATTATTCCAGCAATGTCAACGCCCAAAACGGCAGGGTAATGAGTGACATATATTCCAGTGTGCTGTATCTTGTAGTCAACCGGGTTCAGGGCAGCAGAGAGAACCTTGACCAAGAGCTGCCCTGTACCAGGGCTAGGGATGCTGCGAGAGCCGACTTGGAAATTGCCCCGCTTTTTGGGAAGAATAAGAGCTTTCTGTTGCAGAGACATGAGATGTGCATTGTGGAGGTACACTTGCTGCCTATATGATAATTCGAAAAGTCTGGAATAAGAAAGGATTTAGAAGTAGACGACATCCGTCATATTTTGAAGAGATGACGATAGGCGTTGTCCATTTGTTCATCACCAGCTCTGTCCACGCCTATGGTTTGTATATTGTAAGGCTAGTCCAAGGCTAGTCACCGACTCAGGTAGAGTGGAAATCTGGAACTTGCCAGAAATAGAAAGAGTTTCGCGGCGGTGGTCCGCAGTTGTGTTGGCTGACAACGTGCACTGGGTCTAGCTACCTACTGCAAGGAGAGTAGGATACGGCCAACATCAATGCTAACGATCATGCATAAACGATTTCCATTATCCGTGCTGGGTATCGTGTTAATACCTTTGGTTTCTGGGCGGATAGACAACTCGTCATGGCCAGGACGCGGAACATCCAACTACGAGATATCCGTACGTACCAGTTATTCATGGCGTCGCGTCTTGCGGTGCTCAGATATTACTTCTTTCTTTCTTAGTCCCTCGCGTCTTCTTCCTCAATAGGTATGCCTTTTTTGCTTACCTGGATCGTTGGTTAACCATTCGTCCTCTCTAACCTAGACAAGTGTCCACCTTGTTTCAATTGTCTTCTTCCGGCGTTCACCTGCGGTCAATTTGGTCACTGCGATGAATACGATGGCCAGTGTAAATGTCCTCCAGGCTGGGGTGGGATAGACTGTTTACTTCCCCGTAAGTCATCGGTTCTGCGCCGTTTGGATGTCCATCACCTATGTTCTTTTCTAGAGTGCGGTTCCCTGGCAGATGGCGTTGAGAGGCCGCTTCGAGAAAATGAGCCATGTCAATGCAATTCTGGCTGGGGAGGCATAAATTGCAATGGTATGAACCATTCTGCATTATAATACGTCACCACTATCCAACCTGATTAACTTCCGCTAGTTTGCAAGACCGACAGTGCCTGCAATGGCTTTCCATTAGCCGGTGGTATCCATACCGATATGTTAGATGAAGATATCGCAAATATGACTTGTTACACGGGCGGCGAGACTGTCTTCAGCAATCACCAAATGTGTGACATTACTAGTACGCCTCGGAGTCCATCGATACGTCGTATACTAATCTTGGTAGACCGCAAGATCTTGGACATGCTCCCCGACCGTCCCCCGCAAGTTACATTCAGTTGCGATAACTCCTCTGCAACATGCAGCTTTCAGTTCTGGACTGCACAAGAAGAATCCTTCTATTGTGCGCTGGACACGTGCTCCTCTGAGGCCCAACCAGGATACGACACGAACACTACGATCTATGCGTGTGAACATATCAAATGCAAATGCATTCCTGATAAGTTCCTTTGCGGAGAGGAGGGAAGTGTTGGTAAGGTTGCGCTGTAACTCATCTTGAGCTTTCCATAATATCACGTCATAGATATCGGCGAATTCCTGACAGAAGAGATCCGTGGACCCGCGACTTTCAGCTGTAAGACTGCTTCTGGATGTAGGTTTGAGGAGCCCGCTATGAATAATCTAATCAACGATATCTTCGGGGATGCATACATCACCCTCCAGTGCGCAAGTGGAGAATGCTTGCATTACTCTCAAGTACCAGGGTTCCATGTGCGTAGAGTGATTGAATTGACGCGTTCGTATCCTCACAACCTCATAGCCCATACCCAAACCTGACAACACTAAATGGATTGCTCTGAGCTCTGCTGGTGCGGGCTTGATTGTTGTCCTGACTGTTGCAATCCTTTGGTATGTCGGTCGATCGCGCAACGGTGGTGATTTCGGCAAAATCAAGCTGCCGGAAAACGAAGCCTCGAAGCTCATGACAGACCACGTTCCTGCATCCCTCCATTTTTCGAATATATCTTACTCTCTTGGCAACCGCACGATCCTCGACAAGATTTCTGGGGCCGTCAAACCGGGTCAAGTCATGGCGATCATGGGTGCATCCGGCGCGGGTAAATCTACCTTCCTCGATATCCTCGCTCGCAAGCGCAAAGTGGGCCAAGTCAGCGGCACGACACTCGTCAACGGGCGAGAAGTCGCGGACACAGAGTTTAAAAAGGTAGTGGGCTTTGTGGATCAGGAGGATACATTAATGAGCACATTGACGGTGTATGAGACCGTGCTGTACTCTGCGCTATTGCGACTTCCGCGGGAGATGAGCTTAGAGGCCAAGAAGTACAGGACACTTGAGACAATGAACGAACTCGGTATCCTGGGCATCAAGGACTCAAGAATAGGTGACTCTGGTATGCTTAGTGTCTGCTCGGGTTATGGGCGCATACTAACTATTGCGCAGGACGCCGGTCAATATCTGGAGGCGAAAAGAGACGCGTCTCCATAGCCTGTGAATTGGTTACTAGCCCTTCCATATTGTTCCTGGATGAGCCTACAAGTGGTGAGGTTGTGCTTTGAAGAACGCCAATAACGCGCTGACACTGTACAGGATTGGACTCTTATAACGCCTTTAATGTCGTTGAGAGCCTGGTGACCCTTGCACGCGATTACAATCGGACTGTTATCTTCACCATTCACCAGCCTCGCAGTAACATTGTCGCCTTGTTTGATCATCTTGTGCTTCTCGCCCAGGGGAAAATGGTGTATTCCGGAGAATTCGCCAAATGCCAAGAATACTTCGCTAGCATCGATCAGCCATGTCCACCAGGCTTCAACATCGCGGATTATCTCAGTGAGTAGTGTTATGATTCCATGGCACTGCGCGACTGACCTCTGCTATAGTCGACCTAACAGTGCATGCTGGACTTGAACCACGAAGCCCGGGTTCTCCTTCCAATGATGCGGTATCATCGACATCTGGTGACAGCCTTTTAGATGAGGAGCGTGCCGTTGGTGCATCGTCTGTACGATCACAAGGTCTCTCTTCCACTGCGGTAGGGGAAGAAACTGAGCTTCGAACGCGTCGCGTCTCTTTCACATCCTCAATCAAACGCAAGACCTCGCAGCTTCTGGAAGCTGTTCGAAGCTCACCATCTGGTGACAACGTGCTTACTCCCAAACTTGCGCAGCTTGTCGAGGCATACTCTACTAGTGAAGTTGCACAGTCGATCAAGGCTGAGACAGGGGAGGTTGCCACTGCACAGCGTGGAGCTGATGCACACGCGGATGGAGAACTGCGAGACGTTGTGGTTGAAAGCTCTTTACTGCGGGGTCGGAAAAGAGCCAGTTGGGGAACGCAGTTCACGATTCTGAGCGGTCGGGCGTTTAAGAATCTCTACCGTGATCCGGCATTACTGGCAGCTCATTATCTATCCTCTGTCGTGCTGGCTTGTAAGTCATTACTTTTTCTCGTGGTTTCGTGTATTCATTTGCCCTTTCTCAGTGATCTGTGGCCTCTTCTTTCACAACGTCAGCAATGACATCGCAGGCTTCCAGAACCGGCTTGGTGAGTAGCCTTGTAATAGTTTATTTATACAACTAATAGGGTTCAGGCATTTTCTTCTTCACATTGGCGCTCTTTGGCTTCTCGTGCTTATCTAGCCTTGGATTGTTTGCGAACGAGCGAATCCTATTCATGCGTGAAAGGTAGGGAGATTCTTCCAAAACGTGTTTCCCGCATTCATTCTATATCACAGAGCAAACGGCTACTATTCGACCTTCACTTACTTCTCTTCGAAGGTAACATAATTCGATCCATACTGTATTGTTTTCTAATTCGACCCTTGGTCAGGTTTTGTTTGATATCCTGCCACTCCGCTTGGTGCCTCCGATTGTCTTTGGTGGGATTGTATATGGCCTAGTTGGTCTTGTACCCACAGTTCCGGCTTTTTGGAAGTTTATGTTGACGCTCGTGCTGTTCAATTTGACAACAGCAAGCGTGATCCTTCTGTTATCGATATCATTTGCTAGTACCAGCGTGGCGAGTTTAGTTGGCACCTTGGTCATGCTTTTCAAGTGAGCCATCCTACGTATCTAAATGCCGGCAGTGTTGATTGATAATCACCACAGCCTCCTCTTCACAGGCCTCCTGATTAACAGGGACACTGTCACACCCGCTTTGCAGTGGTTGCATACCGTTTCATTCTTCCATGCTGCTTTCGAGGCGCTTGCTGTGAATGAACTGAGATATCTCCAGTTAAAGGAGATTAAGGTAATGTCGATGACCAAATTTTGTTTATTATCTAACGTGTTCGCTTCAGTATGGTGTTGAGCTGGATGTTCCCGCGGCTACCATTCTTTCGATATTCGGTCTCAGAGCTCAGGTGGGTGATAGATGCTTACACTGTCATAAATCGTGCGCTAATGTTCTGATCCTGTAGTCATTTTGGTGGCCGAATATATCCCTGCTTGGTATATTCTTCGTGGTATTTACAACTGCGAGCTTCTTCATGCTGCATTTCTTCGTCAAGGAAAGACGTTGAACACCTTTTCTTGCGATGTATGTATGATTCCATTCGTGGAAGACAATATAATAGTATATCTCAGCATCCCCTTACTCGTTTCGTATTTATGAATACTACAATAGCAATACATTTTTCAGCACCGCAGGACAAAGAGGCTTATGTGACGAGTTTGGTTTATCACCTGCATTGGGATTTGTGTTTGTAAATGACTTTTCGCTCCATGTAGGTAGTTCTTCGAGGCCATTAAATTTACTGACCTGTAGACGCAACTAGACAATTGTTGCCGACGTTACTTGAGCGAATTGTATGACGGGGAGTCACGATTCCCACTGGATGTCCTGTGATTGGGGGATTAAGTAGTATGTATCTTGGCTCAGCATCCCTTGTACACAAAAATAGCGCTACCTAGGCCTTGTGCTGCGGCTGAGGACAACAATCACAATTTGATTATATTGATCCGGAAAAATCACTTTTGCCTACCTGGGTGCAGTCATGGATTATTAGGTCGATGGCGCGATTGAAACGTTCAAACCACGACGTGTGTATTTCGAACGAACGCCGTCGACCACTGGGAACACATACATGCGCCGCTGAGATTGAGTCCCTCGCATTGGGGTCCACTAATCGGCGGCGGAAAACGTTCCTACTCGCTGCTAGATGGTAGCGAATTAGGACCCATTATGACCGCTCCAGACGTTGTTCCTTGATTCCCTGGTACCCTTCTGATCGAATTGGTTAGGGTCCAGGAAGTCCTATCACGACCCTGGTAATACTAGAGTGGTGATTGGAATTCCGAGCTGATTGATAGGAGGGTGGAGTACCAGCAAGTTAACTAACCCGACTCGGACAGCCACGGGTGCGTGCTCAGGCGAACCACCGCAAAGATCCGGCTGTGTACAATTCAATTCAATGGGTGTCGTACTTGATAACACTGATCAGGCTGTTAGCAAGCGGGTACGTACGAGCAAAGTGATCGCTTAGTCTAGTAGATCATTCGCGTGCAGTTCATATCGGCGGTTCCAGGCCCAGCCGATAAGTACGACCCTGAGTGAGATTATTAAATATGTTGACCTTCTTGGGGTAAATGGGGCGCCTGGTACTGGGCAGTAATCTGCAGTAATGCGGAAATCCGACCTGCCAATGTCAACAACAAATCCCCGCGAAAGTGACGCGTTTAATTTTACGTCCCGCGTTATGTTGTTTTCCCTCGAGTTCATCTTCATTGCAAAAGTTAGTGGAGGACGTTATGAATTTGACCTGGCCTAGAGTTGAGGTTTTGCCTATCTTTGCTTATGTGAGCGCTGATTTGGCGCAGATGGCCGAATATGTCAGGAGGGAGCTCCAACGAGTATAAAAGATGAAGACCGATAAGAGTGGCAAGACGCTCCCGCGAATCACTCTCACACTTCTGCCACTGCTTCGCCACACCGCGTGCGGCATCTTCTGCTGTCAGATCAAAGGTAAGAAGGGATTGACCGACATCATGATGTAACTCACGCCAGTGTCACTTGTCTATCACACGCCTAGCAGTGACTTTATTACCTTAACCTACCTCTTCAGTAAACGATCAAGATTATAATGGGTCATCAAGAAGCATCCGTCCTCGTCGATATGTGTTATGCAGTCAAATGTGACAAATGCGGCAAAACTACCTGGAAGGTAAGCAATCGTCTCCTTGGCGATGTTGCGTATCCCGGCTGGAGGCGGCAGCGCATGCATGCACGCACGATGTACCGATGCGCATGGTGATTGGCTGACAGAGATGGCTTACGGTGCTTCCGCGGATGCTGAGGGCGGAAGTATCATGGGATTGAGAGATCGCAGGCTGGACCTGCAAACTTTGTCTATTTACACATACCCTCTCTTGTAATGATAGGCTGAGATCTAACTGACGTGTCACTTCAAACAGGGGTGCGGACTTCACGTCGAAGAGGTGAGAAGCCGCCTCAGTGTAAAATTCGGGCGTTGGATACTATGATCTGTGGTTCCTTTCGAAGATACCGCATCACAGCCTCCTCGCATTTCTTCTTGAACTTTGAGGGTTCAGGGAGGGTCGAATTTTAAAACTTCTCGTGACACCTTGTACTGACATATTTGTATGGGTATAGGTTATGAAAGACGTCAAAGAGGAAAATAAATGTGTTTGTCCTCGTTGAGGATACGATAAGCGGTCGGCAAAAGGACGCTAGCATCGAGGGTTGTACCTTGATGGCACTAGGGCTGTGGAGGGCTGCATTAATGTCATCGAAACGTTTACCATCCAGATTTGTGATGCTATGTAGTTCGTGAAATCTGTAATCTACAAGGCTGTTGCATTACGGAGTGTCCGGGGTCAAACACATCTCAAATTGGTCGTTATACGCTGCTTTAGATTGCAGTTTCTTTGAAGCGTCGCTGTTTGATCTCCTCTCCCTTTCCTCGTCTTCCAGAGTCTTCCAGTCTATTCAACAATCATTTCCGTTCCATTGATTTGCAGTTTATTTCTTTGCAAAGGACTTCATGAGTCCTCAAACAACATGTCTTCCGACATAGACTCAGCAAGCAGTGTGCATGCTGCAGAAGACCCCTCAGGACTCCCATTCGATCCGCCAGGCAGCGTTCGGATGACAGCTGAACTACGCTACAGGTATAATGATGACCGCAGGCCTATAGTGAACCAGTATCTGCGCGGCCACCGAGTCGGGAAGGGTCAGCATGGCGAAGTATGGGTGTGTTGGGACTTGTCGGAGAATCGTCGCGAACTCGTCAGTTGTCATTCTTTCCCCACTTCTTTGAACCGATCTTGTTGACACAACGTCCATCAGGCCATAAAGGCTGTCAAACGTAATAACCCACGCGCCGAGAAGATGAACATGCTCCGCAGGCGAAACATCCCTGCGTCGTCTCACACACCACTTACAGAAAAACTTGGAAGCCTTGAACATAAAATACGAAAAGAAATTGCGATAATGAAAAAATGTCGTCATGGACATGTAGTTCGCTTGTTGGAAGTCATCGACGACAAGCTAAATGATCGGATATACATGGGTAAGCATCTGGTCTCGCTATCTTCCGTGGACTCGGAGAATCGCGCCGCCTATCTACTTCCTGACTACAGGCCATGGGTGAGCATCTCAGCTGAGAAATTATGACCTTGTGGCTGCAGTCTAGGAAACAGTATGATAGGAAGGTTTATTTGTGTCAGGAAGCCATGTACTCACAGCCTCATTTCTAGTCATGGAATATCTAAGCGGCGGAGAAATCAAATGGCGCAACGAACAGAATGAGCCTGTATTACAGGTGGACCAATGTCGACGAATATGCCGCGATGTCATACTCGGCCTCGAATATCGTAAGCTTGATGGCATTCTCATTACCACAAGCTAATCTGGACACTCCCTTTCCTTCTCAACACGCAGTCCATTACCAGGGAATTATTCATCGTGACATAAAGCCCGCTAACCTTCTCTGGACTGCGGATCGCCAAATGGTCAAGATCAGTGATTTTGGGGTCTCGCATTTCTCATATGCGCAGCGCCTTGCGGCTGCAGGGCGTGGAAATGCCCTAGATGACGCTAACGACCCAATTTTGCTGGATGATTCAGACCTTTCCAAGCGCGCTGGAACTCCGCCATTTCTTGCCCCTGAAGTCATTGCTGAGTATAATGGCGATCCTTCACCCTCCATATCGACCTCTGCCACCTCGACCACGCTGCCATCCTTGAGGTCTGCGCCACATATAGGTTCCTCTTCCACTGTCCGCCCAAACACATCCCAGCGGCTGCAGATTACAAAGGCCATTGATGTGTGGGCTCTCGGTGTCACTCTGTACTGCCTTCTTTTCGGTAAAATCCCGTTCAGAGCCCCAGATTCGAGCGAATACATGCTCTACAATATCATATGCAAAAATGATTGGGAGCCAGAAGACACTATGGGTTACGATCACCTTCCAACTGGTGGGCGGAAGCCCAAGGACAAAAAGTCTGAGGGATTTGTTGTCATGAATCTTCTTGACAAGCTGCTTGAAAAAGATTCCAACAAACGCATGACTCTTGATCAAGCAAAGGTTCGTCAATTTTCATTCTGCGCGTATTTGCCCCAATATCTCCCATTTTACGTGTAGCAGTACGCTTGGTTCCTGCGGGATATTCCACATCACCAAGAATGGCTTCGCCAAACGTCACCCTCCAGGACTGACATGGTGAAGGTCACGGAGTCTGACACCCTCACTGCGATGACTACCGTGCGCTTCAGTTGGGGCTGGCCAAAGCGCCTCACACGTCGCATATCCTCGTTATTGAAGGGCGTTCGTCCTCCGCGTGCCACGTCATCACGTCCTGATGAAGATGATTACGGTGTGCGTTCCTCGCCTACCATTGCGGTAGAGCGGCACAAAAGCGCTAGTGCGCGAATGTCAAGTTCAGAATTCGATGAGGAGGGGAAGCGCCGTGGTATTGCACGCTCTGTCATCGTGCGTAACGACTCAACGCCGAACATGGGAAGGAGAGAAGAATCAATCGAGAGGTGGGCCCGGAATGCATCCAAGAGCAGGGCGCACGAGTCCAGTCGGCCTTCTTCACGGCAGAGAGAATCCAAGCCGCTTCTTCCACTTGACCAAAGCCAACCTGGTGCATCATGCTCTCAAGGTTCTACCAGCCGTGGTAGAGACAATGCCAACACTCCCCTTCCAGACGATGCAATGTTCTTGGGCGCCGGTGGCGTGTGCAATGACCCGAGCAGCCTCATTTCGTCAAACTTGCCTTTAGGCCTCAATCAATCAATCTGTCACTCTCCCACCGCGTTACGACACCCACAACCTGAACGTATTTTCATCGCTCCCCTGACTTCAGCTGTTCCCGACCCGCCCTCGCACGACTCTGGGCACAACCGGCATCTCACTATTCGGTCTGCTACTCAAAGCCCGAGTCCCTTGCAGCAAGTCGCATACGAATCGGAATCCAGCGCGACGAGCGGGGATGATTTCGACGACTTCGACGACGACTCCAGTTTCTTTCGTGATACTCACAGAGATCGCCAAGCGGAGTCGGAGGCTTTGCAGGCTAGCACCAGCCTCATGTACGATGAACTAGATGAGGATGAGAGTGACGAGGAGACAGTTCCTATTGAAGTAAAGCGGCGGCGTCCATCTGTTTCCGTCACGGCTGCCTCTCCCGTACCTCTTTCTGACTTCTCCGATGACGCCCACTGAAGTCGAGTCATGCAATTTTCTACACAACACTTTCAGCACTTTATGATATCTCTCGGACTGTCACCTAGACGACTCCTCATCCTCCCTCTGCACCATACCAGCGGGCGGCCGCCTGCAGTTTCCACTCATTCCTGACTTAAGCTCACATCCAATTTTTCTTCTAGACCTATGTATTTCCACTGCATCTGTGATTTTATACTTTTTTGCTTCCCTTCCAAGAGGCAACATAGATTTAGGTAACTCGCTAAACGTCACTGGCGAGCAAGGAAACCACGAAATCTATACCGTGTTCTTACACATAATAAGCTGCCGATGTAAATCTAAAGATATCTGACTAAGTATTATGTGCTCATCTTACTTGTTCCCATCATCTCCTCTGAAACTCCAATATTAATAGGGATCAAACTATGGCTTCCCGCGCCGTGACAGCCCTTGTCAGACGTATTACTGATGTATGTAACTTACAATAGATCAGATCATCAGGTGCTAGTAATATCGGGATGACTCGATCGGTGCCTTGCTGGCAGCACCGCGACCACATCAGCTAGTTCATTATCGCATACTCGTCTGGACAAGTTCACTGCTATCTTGATCAAAAAAAGGTGGGCATCAAGCGCACCATCATGTCCACCCTTACTGTGACGCAAGCTTTCAATATCTCTGCAGGACGGTTCAACCTCAATCAGCTCTCTCAAAATGGTCACACACTCCGATGGGATTCTTGTCTCAACTAGTGTCAGCACGCCGGTTGAAACTAATGGGCCTGCTGTCGAAAAGGTCGTCAAATCTCTTCCAGCAGACTTCTACACAGAGTTTTTGTCCGATGCCGCCAAAACACGGAAGCCCAGTCCTAGTTCGTTTCTAATCTTGTTACTTATCGACAGTGATGTTTTAATGGTACCACTTCAGTTCGCGGGCTGTTCCCATTGGAAAATAAGCCAGGTGTGATATCACTTCTAGCGGGAAAACCCAACGATGCTATGTTCCCCTTCAAATCGTTATCTTTCAATATTGCCTCCCCCACGGACCCGTCACAGGAACAGTCAATCTCGATATCTGGAAAGGATCTTTCGACTGGCCTGCAATACGGCCCCACTGGTGGTCTTCCTCGTCTTCTGGAGTGGTTCATAGGATTGCAAACCCTTTCTCATGGCCGTAAATCAGGCGAGGGATGGAGTTTATCCGTTGGCAGTGGTTCGCAGGACTTAATTTATAAGGTTTGGAGCTTTTTAAAAATGAATGATCGTTCTCATGTTTCCGCAGGCGCTCAACGCTTTAGTGAACACCGGAGATGCTGTTCTCGTGGAGTCTCCAGTGTACGCGTGAGTTAAAGATAGTCTGAAGAGAGGTCCGCAGTTTACTGATCACGGTCTATTCAGTGGTGTCATCCCAATATTTGAAATCCTACACTGCGAGCAGATCGGTCGGTCGTATTCTGGTTTTAATCTTCTCATGCTAAGTCAATTTTAGAGGTGGAAACAGATGCGAATGGGGTGTGTTCTCATTTGTTACGCAATATTTTGGAGAATTGGCCTGTCGGAAAGCCGAAGCCGAAGATCTTATACACGGTGCCCGTAAGTTCTATTTGTTCTATCTATGGACCAAAATAACCACATTGCAGTATGGCTGCAACCCTACCGGTATGACAGCGACTCTTGAGCGTCGCAAAGAAGTGTTGCAACTTGCACGCGAACACAATTTTTTGATTCTAGAAGGTGGGCAGCATTTCTTGTTTTTGGCGGAGTAGGTTGAATCGTCCCTTTATCCAGACGATCCCTACTTCTACCTGTACTTTGGAAAAGCTGCTCGGCCACTGTCATACTTCCAGCTAGAACTTGATGAGCCTGAGGTCGGCCGGGTTATCCGGTTCGACAGTTTCTCCAAGATCCTCTCCGCAGGCATGCGCATGGGCTTTGCGTCGGGTCCGAAGCCTATTATTGATGCCATGAACTTGCATGTACGTACAAGGAAATATACTTGCGTGTCCTGTGTATCTTACATTCAATCAGACTTCAACGGCCAACCTGCAATCCTCATCACTCATTCAGGCGATTACCCTCGCACTAGTCGAGGAGTGGGGCTACATCAATTTCTTCGCTCATACGCGGGCCGTTGCCGACTTCTACCGCAAGAAACGTGACGTGTTCGAGTCTGCTCTGAATACGCACCTTGGTGGACTTGCGGAATGGAGCACCCCTGAAGCGGGCATGTTTTTCTGGTCTGTGCCTCTGAGCAATCGCTCGAGATGATATGTTAACAATGTCATTACAATAGGTTCAAGCTACTTCTCTCACCAGATCAGGCACCTGGCGTAGATGAGGGTGATTCAGAAGATCTTATACGAACCAGGGCATATGAGAATGGTGTGCTTGCACTCCCTGGCACGGTCTTCCTTCCCAACGGACGTAAGACGGCATTTGTGAGGGCCTCGTTCTCTTTGTGTACAGAAGAACAAGTGAATGAAGCGCTGAAGCGCCTCAGAGCTGTGTTATTGAAAGAGAGAGGACAAGCGTAGAGAGGTTGAACGTAATACCAAACACGTAGATGCTTGCATTTTGTCCAAACCATTTAGTGGGAACCATTAAGTTCTTTGTGCTTTGTCAGTCACGTGGTGTTGTTCATTTTATCGGTGACTGTATTTGGCACGTGTTGTGGACGATCAAAGTCATGTTTGGTTACTGTGGCAGCCAAAGCATGCTTGGGCAATTTCATTGAAGTAGTGGAAAGTAAGTGCATTTTACAAACCCCTTCTTATCATCAGCTTATCATGGTACGTGTCTTCTGCGCTAAGAAGTTCATTTCTGACCTAAAAACCTGCTTCCAGTCGAACTACGAGCATAGCAAGCAATCAGTATCAGACATCGAACAAGTACTCTACGACATATTTAACAGACACCCAGATTCACGTAGAGTCCAATCAGGAGAACCAGCGATACCCGCAGACGCACTCCCGGATGTACTCAGTGCATTTTCAGACTCGTATAATGGCGTCGACCTGCTCAACGATCGCGAGATGAGCGCACTCAAGGAAATCCTTGCAGGCAGTCCCGGAATTGAAGTTACGCCTCATATCTTGCTCCAGGTCGCCGCAGAGAGGACTAGACACAGTCCGCGAGACAGCCCAAATGATTCGCCATTGGAAGAGGATGTAACGCTGCCCGATGATCGAGGGCGCAATCCTTTTTCTCGCACCACTAACCATTCGCGATCAACTAGCAGAGGCTCGGTAGGAGCTTCACGCGTCACAAGCCGGCCACCGTCTGTGCCGCCCAAGACGCCCAATACGGGAATTAGCTCGGCCTTTGATACGTCGCGGCGACAGCGAACAACCCCGTTGGACGCACAGCCTCCTTCAAGCTGGTCAAAGCGCCCTGCACCTGCCAGCAGACGCAAAAGTATTGATGGAGGATCTCAGCCCGCTCTTAGTGACTCAGAAGTGCGCAACTCTTTCTACATATATTTATCTGTTGAACTGAACTGCAATTAGTCGTCTTTCTCCTCCAGTCCCAGTGTGTTCGGTCGAACGCGCACGCCTTCAAATCCAACGAGTCCCTCAAGCATTTCCATTGGACTATTCTCCCCCAACTCGACTGCTTCGTCGCCTTTCGCGCGGCCGCAATCCCGTACACAGTCGCAGCCCTTTACAAGCATTGGGATCCACTACTTCTCTCCAGACCGGGATCACCTCTCTTCGGGAGAGCATTCACCTGACATAGACTCGTCCTTCGATTACCCACAGAAAGGCGACAGCTTTGCGCGCCAACTCTCCTCGTTGCCCATGCCACGCTCAGCATCTGACTCTGACTCTGATGACGAGAACCAGTCGTCTTTGGGCTTAGTTACTGAACGGTCAGCAACGTCGTCAACTGTGTCCCTTGAACACACAGAGAGGCTGGAGGCTTTGCAGAAGGCCAACGCAGAGCTTGGGCGGAAGCTGATCGAGGCTGAGAGGACACTTGAGAACAGGCTGAATGAGCACGACATGGACTTGGATGAGATGCAGGGGCGCTTGGAAGAACTCAAGAGTGAGCTCACCTCTACTAAGAGGGAGGAGAAGGAGCTCCGAACGAAAGAGGTGCGTAATGCATAAAGTGTGTGGACAATGTCTGATAGATGTCATTTAGCGAACCAACTCAACGCAAATTGCGGCGCTGGAGTCTGAAATTGCAAAGTTGGAGAAAAGTTTGGAGAACGCGCGTTCGTCTTACCAAAGCTTACAGAAACAATACCAAGAACAATGTGGTAGGTTGACTCTAAGATGTCGAAAAAAATGTGGCTCACATCATAGTAGCGGAATCCGAACGCTATCGCAACCAGCTCCGTCGTCGGGATCAAGAAATCAAAGATTACCAAGATGCTGCTGCGCTCCAGTCACTTGAAGCTGTGAAGTGGGCTAAAGAGGCGTCGTCGTATGAAGATCGTCTCGCACATCTTGAAGAGGAGCTATCCGTTGCGCAACAAGCCCACGCACAGCTCGATGAGCAGAAGCAGGAAAACCTCATGCTCAAGGAAACCATCGACCGCATGCGGTTTGACATGGACGAGATGCGCAATGCTGCGACAAACGCTACTGCCGGAAGCGGGCACTCTAGTGCGGCAAATAGTGTGAGCAAGAGTCTGGGTGCTGAGCTCATGGGAAAGATGGGCGAAAGCTGGGGTGGCGAAGATGATGGACTTGAGGATGAGGAGGATGGTGATGAATTAGAGCTGGATATGAATGAGGATACGGAGGGTGAGGAGGAGGACGTTATTCAAACCATCATAACTCGGAAGAAGAGGGTAAGTGATCTTCGCAATTGCGCCTCGCATCTGACACCCCAAACAGAAAGTTGGCCGTCTTAACAAAGCCGAGATCGTCACTTTCTCAGAAACCAAGAAATATGTTGATACATTCACTCAACACGACGCTGCAGAGCATACATCAGGGTGTGCAGTGCAGACACATCCAGAACCAAAGGTTCTTACTTCCCCGTCCTCCATCCAAACGGAAGAAGTTCCCCGTGGTATCATTGCAATTCAAACCGATCCAGAATTGCCACGGATCATATCAAGCATTGAAATTCAAACAGATGAACCAGAGTCAGAAGTCTCTCGGTCCGTCTCACCGCAGGTCACCCCGGAAGACGACGAGGCACTCGCGTCTTCGTCGTCGACTGTCCTCCCTCCCACGCCCAAGGGACACCTGGACACTCCTCACTTGAATGATGCACCTCCTTCCTACAACTTCGTGACCGAGCTCGAGCAAGTCAATAATGCATTAATGGGCCGGCACAAAGGTATCACTATACCAATACGCGGCGTTCCCGGGGGAATCTCAGCCGACGCCGTGGAGGAGTGGAAAGCGCTGAAGGAGGAACTCGGTGTGGAATGCGAGATGATAGATGAGCTAATTGCCAGCTCGACGATCAAGCCTCAGCCGCGTCGTCAAAACCGTTTCTACAAAATCTACAATACTTATGTCGTCGGCAAGGGTGGAAACGAAGGAGGTGAGGAGGGCGACACTTGGCTTGCTGGGGCTGCTCGGCAGGCACTCATCAGCGCCGGGGCTATGGCGCTCGTATTTTTATGCATGGCTTCGCGTCTGCCAGCTATCGGGACGCAATATTCGCCTGTTGGCGGCCCAACAATATACGACCGCGCTGCTTGGTCGAGTTTCAACAGCATGCAAGGACCGGGCGAAGGCTTCGGATATGATGGCACTTCTGCTTTGTGGAATATTATGGGGCGTGTTGGTTTCGGTGCTGCTAGGATTGCAGGTGGCTGGCCGACATGATATGATGTGTGAACCCCATTCAGCCCAAAATTCTGTATCTCATGTTCATAATTCTTATCGCATCATCTATTTCTTGCCACGTTGAACTGCACTCTCTTACCACTTTCCCGGCTCATTCCTCTCTTGCCTCCTACTATGTGTCACTCCTTCGTTTCGAAATATTACAATTAATGTATTGTATAACAACCTTGAAAAAACACATTGACCCAAATCAACCGCGATGTGACATTTTGCTTCCGTTGCTCATACCACTCACATGTCTAAATTTTTAGGACACGAGCAACTTCAACCTGCCGAAATACATCAATATTAGCACTGATCACATTAATTTTCATTCCTAACTACATTTGGTTGCCGCGTTCTCGCTTCTCGTACTGGCACTCTCCCGATTCTCGTATCTCAGTGCCCTTGCTGCTGAGAAACTATTTTAGTGTCCATATGCTTTCCATTACTTCCCACACACTGGCACAGGTTGTATCACTTGCGCACTGATGCGCGTGCTTCCCTTGGCTCCTTATCTCATCCCACCTCTCAAAATATGAGGCACTTCAATGTCGTCGTCCTAGGAGGTCTGTGATCCATTCATTTGTGACTACTGCATTGTTTCATATGTTGTAGCTGGAGGAGTAGGGAAGTCGGCCTTGACCGTGCGATTTGTTCAGGATGTCTTCCTGGAGAACTACGACCCCACAATTGAAGGTGCATCCTCAGTGATAGTCCAATTCAATGTGACGTGAGAGGCTTACTGTATCCTGTTTGCAGAAGCTTATCGACGCATCCTCGATATTGATGGTGTAAAGACTTCGGTAAGATCGCGTGTGTTCCTACTTCCCCCAACCCCTTTCGTCGACGTTATTTCTGACCATCTGTTCCCTTGCAGCTAGAAGTATTGGATACTGCCGGTGCTGAGCAATTCACTTCTCTGAAAGAGCTTTATATCAAAGTAAATATTGATGATCTTGGGATGTAGCGCCTCAAACTCACACCAGTTCTCTACAGTCTGGCCAGGGATTTGTTTTAGTTTTCAGGTAAGCACCACAAAAAAATGGCTGTATTTATTTTTGACCTACTGATGTCGCTGTAGCCTCACACAAGAAGCAAGTCTTAGGGAGCTGGACAACCTTCGGCAGCAGATACACCGAGTGAAGGGAATGGACAGCGTAAGCGCCCTTGATTATTACCGAATACAACGACTACCATTATACGCAGGATGTCCCTATCGTTGTTGTTGGGACAAAGCTCGACCTTGTCACAGAACGAGAAGTGGCGAGAAGCACGATACAATGTCTGGTGGCGCTGTGGAAGATACCATTCTACGAAACATCAGCCAAGCGTGATTGGCACATTAATGATGTCTTCCAAGAACTTGTCAAGCAAATGCTTATGCACTACCCAGATGAACCACCCCTGAAGAAGGCTTCACGTCGGTTACGCCAAAAGCCCTGCATTGTGATGTGATGCATGCAGAATATGTGACGCCACTCACGATGTCTTGATTTATTATGCCCATCGGAGTTGCATCAGGTTCAAACTTCGACTATGATTACCCTCATGCCGTTTATACACGACGTTTGACATATATACCCAGCACAGACTTATGTATTGCCCCGATATCTATGTACTTATTTATTACGTTAGAAGAATATCACGTAAGCATATTGTTGTTTATTTACTCCAAATCAAACGCATTTTTTCCAGCTCTTTGTTCCTTGCTCTTTAACCACCACGCTTTCGGATCCCCGCAACATCCTTGTTTTCTAATTCTCTAGTTTTAGCTATAGACAACATTATGGTAACACTTTCCGACTTAGAAATCATGCATTTTCGCTGATGTCCTTATCCAGAGTCACGGTAATTATGGTGGTTATGGTGGTGGTGGTGGCTACGGTGGTGGTGGTGGCGGCGGATGGGGCGGTGGTGGCGGCGGCGGCTACGAAGACAGAATGGGAGGCTTAGGCGGTGGTCTTAGAACGATTGACTGGTCGTCGCAAAAACTCGAGCGCTTCGAGAAGAATTTCTATGTGGAGGACAAGCGTGTTTCAGCTATGACTGATAGAGAGGTGGAAGACTTTCGGAAGACCAAAGAAATAAAGGCATGCGAGACTTTGTGGAACGCCAACAGTGGTCGCTGATGATTTTTTGAAGGTTCAAGGACGAAATGTCCCAAGACCCGTCACATCCTTTGACGAGGCAGGGTTTCCTGAATATATTTTGGCGTCAATTCGTGCACAAGGCTTTGCTGCGCCAACTCCCATTCAGTGTCAAGCATGGCCTATGGCACTGAGTGGCAGAGATGTGGTTGCGATCGCTCAAACAGGGAGTGGGAAGACGATTTCTTTTGCTCTCCCCGCCATGCTTCACATTAATGCGTATGTGTCTATCTCACTTTCTGATTCTTTACTTACTGGGAATTAGTCAACCTCTACTTGCACCAGGCGACGGTCCAATCGCACTTGTCCTTGCGCCCACCCGTGAGCTTGCTGTACAAATTCAGCAGGAGTGCACGAAGTTTGGGTATGTTTGTCAGCTCACTGTGTTGGCTTTAGCTAATGTATATAGGTCGAGCTCTCGCATCCGTAACACTGCCATCTACGGTGGTGCTCCCAAAGGTCCTCAAATTCGTGACCTGCAACGTGGCGTTGAGGTCGTGATCGCTACTCCTGGACGGCTCATTGATATGCTGGAGACATCGAAGACCAATCTTCGTCGTGTCACATATTTAGTCATGGATGAGGCCGATCGCATGTTGGACATGGGTTTCGAGCCCCAGATACGCAAGATTGTGTCTCAGATTCGCCCTGATCGTCAGACACTGATGTTTAGTGCTACATGGCCGAAGGATGTGCAGAAACTCGCAAATGTAAATGTTCAATATTTTATGGTGCTACGATTAAATCTCACTATTTGCAGGACTTTTTGAAAGACATGATTCAGGTCAACATCGGGTCTATGGAGCTCACTGCCAACCACAACATTCAACAGATTGTCGAAGTCTGCAGTGACTTCGAGAAGCGTGCTAAGCTGATCAGACATCTTGATCAGATCAGCTCTGAGAACGCTAAGGTACTCATATTTGTCGGGACGAAACGCGTAGCGGACGACATCACCAAATACCTTCGTCAGGATGGCTGGCCAGCTCTTGCCATCCATGGCGACAAAGAACAGTAAGTTTTATGGGTTACTCCCGCGATGTTTTCTGAGCGTTTTCACAGGCGGGAACGTGATTGGGTTCTCGGGGAATTCAAGGCGGGTCGCTCACCCATATTGATTGCCACGGACGTTGCGTCCCGTGGTTTAGGTACGTGTGCCATTTCTTGCAAGCGCTCCATCAGGGACTCCTACAAATGGGAGGGCTTTCGAGCACTCAGGTTAAAGTAGCAATGACCCGCCTTTGTATCTGGGCTGTGTTTGCTCGCGACTCTGGTGTTCACTAACGCGTGTAGCAAGACGGGTTGACACTGCTCTTCCTCCGTGCTTACAGCCAGGCTTGAGGGATAAAATTATTCTCAAGCGAGACGTGCTATAGCAGAACCGCGTGATCACGAGAGGATTCCAAGTCGTCAAGGTTCCATCCGCCAAAGCATCCTGTGTCCTCCCGTCAGTGAGGGCCAAAGGGATTCAAAGTGCTATGGTCCCGGATGTGGAGCCCTCGTCACGGACTTCCTGGCATATTTCCTCTCAATATGACCGCTGCTTCGAGCTTGGTAGCTGTCTTCCTGGACCGCGATGCCCTTTGTTCATGCTACACGTCTCCCGATCTTGTGACGTGCCATGAATGATGTTTGTATGAAGTCGTTCAATCTCTATTCCTTGTTATGTTGGACGCGCTTGTGTCTCTTCATTGTTGTCATGTTATTGATTGTGCAATGTGCTATATGTTGTTTGTTCCTATGTTATTCTCTTGTTCTGTACGTGACGCGATTGCATTGCATTGCTGGCATCACAGATGTCAAGGATGTCGGATATGTGATTGTGAGTGTTGCGGTGGTCTATTACTACTGATCAGCTGCTTACTTCACTCTAGAACTACGACTTCCCAAATAACTGCGAAGATTATATCCATCGTATTGGTCGTACGGGGGTAAGTTTCTCTCACCCAACCTACCAATTCTTTGTCTTGACTCTCTGTAGCGTGCCGGAATGAAAGGTACCTCATACACGTACTTTACCACCGATAACTCGAAGTCTGCTCGCGAGTTGATATCCATTTTGCGCGAGGCGAAGGCCGATGTTCCACAACAACTAGAGGAAATGGCCATGTACAGTGGAGGAGGAGGTGGTCGCAGTAAGTCCTCAGTATGTCCATATGTTTCATGTGCTGACTTTGCCATTCAGGTCGTTATGGCGGCGGAGGTCGCGGTCGTGGTGGAGGTGGAAGATATGGTGGTGGTGGCGGTGGGGGAGGTGGTGGCGGTGGGGGAGGTGGTGGTCACGGCGAATATGGCGGTGGCAGAGATCGATGGTAGGCTTGACGACTTCTTGGTCCAGACACATAAATATCTCCCATATCCCTCTTAATCATGATTCTGTTGCCACTTCTTCATTGGCTTTTGGTCACAGCACTGGACATAATCTAAGAACTTAAAACGGGCGGGACATCAGCTCAAACAACAGGTAATATTTTGGGGAGAATGTAATTCCACTAATCAGCGCTCAGCGAAAAGGTCACTGAAACCAACCCTCCGGCTAAAACCTGTCCGGCGCAAACTACGGCGCTACGGCGGATATATCCGCAGTCCGGCGGCAAGAAACGGCCAGGTAGCGGACTTTCAAAACACCCTAGGTACGTCTAATAGTACGTGTTAATCTTATCACTCCTTATTATTTTCGTATGGACCTCGTATGAGTCTCAGCTACCGCTCCCCAATAGTTACTGTCCAGAGCCCCAGTGGGTGTGGGCTACCTCTACCAGTAAAGTTCAAGCGGGGCGGTATCAAAGGAGAGGGTGGGTTGCTAGTAATCACTCATGGCTAGCTACTAGGGCTTTGGATATGGTGGGCAGTGTGATCGAAGCAACATGGTATTGTCATGTAAATAGTTGATAAAGAATAGATTGTTAGTTAGGAAGCATTGAAGTGAGCTGGAGGTATCGGGTATTGGTGCTGTAGTTGAATGTCGAGGGTGTTTTTAATGTCCGACGTGCCGTCTGTTAGCTACCAGCTTTGCCGCCGTTCTTGCCGCAGTGCGCCCCGGACTTTTATGCGCCGGAGGGGTGGTTTCAGGGATGTTCTCAGGCATTCGGATCACATGAGTGTGCTTAGCAGCGCCTTGTTACGTAATGTATTAATCACTTGTTTGAGTCATTCTGATTAGAGGTGGATGTTTATAGCGAGGCATCGATACCTAGTCACTCAGAAAGTCAGAGGCCTCTCTTTTCATTTGATACACCGATCATATTCCATTCGACCTTTAGCAATGGCAACAACTCCGAACGATCCTGGCTTGGTCACCCCCGAGTCTGACGGTCCTTCGAAAAGTGCAGGTGAGCAGATCCTTGTTACTCTAATAGTTTGGCAATCTGATCGGCTGTCGAATATAGCGAAAAAGGAGGCCAAGAGGCTAGAGAAAGAGGCGAAGCTTGCTGCTAAACATCTCAAGCAAGCTACTAACACTCCTGCTGGCGAAAAGAAGGCGAAGGCGGACAAAGAGAAGAAGGAGCAGGAGCCTGCGTTTGTAAACACCACTCCTAAGGGCGAGAAAAAAGGTGCGTATTAAACAAACCCTTCTACTTTCTTTTCTTGACAATGTGTAGATATGTCTCAACCGATGGCAAGTGGGTATAATCCTATCGCAGTCGAGTCTGCTTGGTACGATTGGTGGGAGGCCCAAGGCTTCTTCAAGCCTCAGACCATGGAGAATGGAGATACTAAAAAGGAGGGCGTCTTTGTGATTCCGATGCCTCCCCCAAACGTCACCGGAAGCTTGCATATCGGTCACGCGCTGACCATTGCTATTCAGGATTGCTTAATACGTTGGTAAATATGAATCCGTATCTGATATCATCGTTATGCTCACAGTGACGATAGGAATCGGATGCTCGGAAAAACCACCCTCTTTGTCCCAGGTTTTGATCACGCTGGAATCTCGACACAATCTGTTGTTGAAAAACGGTTATACAAAGCGGAAGGCAAGACCCGACATGATCTCGGTCGAGAGGTGTTTTTGGGCAAGGTGATGGAGTGGAAAAATGAGTACGTGTTTGCTTTCTGATCGAACATTCTCTTACATCGTGTTAGCTACCAAGCACGCATCACCGATCAATTAAGGAGACTTGGAGGAAGTTGTGACTGGGACCGTGTCGCGTTCACCATGAATCCTGTAGGTGTAATTTTGAGCATCTCTTACATATCTGATCGACTGTTATCCAGTCGTTATCAAAAGCTGTTACTGAGACGTTCTGTCGGCTCCACGAGGATGGCATCATCTACCGCGCCAATCGACTTGTTAATTGGTGTGTTCAGTTAAACACTACCCTCTCGAACCTTGAGGTGAGTCTAAGAATTCATCCGTTGGCAAATGACGTAAGTTGTGTTATATAGGTGGACCAAAAACAACTCTTGGGCCGTACTTTGCTTAACGTCCCAGGCTATGACCCAAAGGAAAAATTCGAATTTGGTGTCATCACCTCATTTGCATATCACATCGAAGGATCTGGTATGTTCTATTTGATGTCTATGCCATTGTTTTCTCATTTTCATCAATA